GTTTTTTTAACCTTAAATGAGGTATTTTTATTAAAAATAGTACAATAATCCTTTAAATTACAGGATTTAATGCTGGCAGGTAAAAAGTGACCATGGTGCGCAATTGATAATTATCACCGAATTAAATAATGTATAAAACTTAAACCAAAGGAAATTTAAATATTAGTGGGGACTTAAAAAAATCCGATTTAATTTAATAAGATAATTATTACCAAAAAAAGTATTATTGCAGAATCGTATTCAGAAGAAAATACACAAATACCTACAACTCTTTGACTTTTTACAATATACGATAATTGCCAAAACTATAACTTTTCTACATAAAAGCTTCACTTTTTAGTAAAACGGCGTTCCATATATTCTATAGAAAACTCGATATTTTAATAAAAAAATCTATGAGAATTATAAATGGCTCTGCGAGTGTAGTCATAAAAATAAAATGTATTGTTGGACGAAAAAAGAAATTTTCGATTCTATCTAATAAAAAACATTTTTCCTGCTTCCGTTATTTATGAGGGGTTAATTACCCATAAAATTTCAATGGATTTAGGTCGAATTACCTATTTAAGACGACCCTTCTTTAATTGTTTTTTAATATTTTTTCAGCTCCCTTAAATTGGTCTACATTTTTTCCGTCAATCCTCACTTAGGTCCGTTACAAGTTTCCTTGTCTAGAATGGTTATGGACATAATGAAATTCTTCTTCTTGTACGTGCTCGTCTTATTCGCCTTCAGTTGCGGTAAGTTTATTTTTGCATATAGTTGGGTGTCGCAAGAGTGCGCATATGTTAAAATTCAGAAAATTTTAAACTATTTGGGTTAAAAAATCAATATACGAGGTGTGTTCAGAAAATAACGGGAATTGTTAAATTTCGCGGGTTCGGAGGGTCCGGTTGTCATAAAATTTTCTTTATTATGTTGGTATACATTTTCGTTCGTTCGAAAGAATGTATCCAATTTTGCTTAAAAAATGAAATAAATTCTGTGAAATATTAACAAAGGCCTGTAGTGAGTCTGCTATAAGTAAAACAAGATTTTACAAGTGGTATAAGAGATTTCAAGATGGCCGTGAAGACGTTGAAGATGACGAACGCCCCGAACGCACATTAACAACCGATAAAAACATGGAAAAAGTGGAAGAAATGGTTATAAACCATCAGAGAAGTCGCTGATGATGTTGGTACATCGATTGGCTCATCCCATGAAATTTTTTCGAATGTTTTGGGTATGAAACGCGTGGCAGCAAAATTTGTTCCAAAATTGTTAAATTTTTGGCCAAAAACAATACTGTAATGATGCCCCAGCCTCCATATTCGCCAGACATGCGTCTGTCTGACTTTTTCCTATTCACAAAAATAAAGAGAACCTTAAAGGGCCGTCGTTTTGCAAGCATAGATGACATTAAAAGCGCATCGCTGAAAGAACTAAAGGCTATCCCGAAGATCGAGTTTTAGAAGTGTTTCGAGTATTGGAAGAAGAGCTGGCACATGTGCATAATATCCTATGGGGACTATTTTGAAGGCGACATTAATGTGGACGAATAAATAAATATTTGTTTCAAAAAACGAAAATTCCCGATATTTTCTGAACACACCTCCTTTCTTTAAAGATATACATTTTTAAAACTTTTAACCATATTTTTTGCTTACAATGATTTATAGCTGTTTAATATTTAAAAAATCCATTGCGCCCTTTTAACATATGTTACCTTACACGCCATGAAAAGCATCTAAACCCTGAAATCAATTAAATTAATTATGCCTCTCATTCCATTCGGCCGCATAATAATAAATCAGGCGGCTATCATTTGCAATATGGATTGTAAAACTCGGTTTTGCTCTTCTGCACCGGACGTTTTCAGGTCTCAATCAGCTGCTGTGGTATTACGCCGAAGCTGAACGGCTGCACTGCCCGTCAGAAATTGCCGATTCAGCTTCGAGCAACTCCAGCATAGGGACGAACACCGACACCAATGCTTGTACTATCTGGAGGAGGTTCTCGAAGTGAGTATTGAGTTTTATAATTGCACTAAACAACAAAGTAGCACAACTGATTAAATTAACGTTAAATTTACGTTATACCACCATTAATTAGTTATTAATAAAATAAAGTAGCGTGTTTTCGCGTTAGAAAGAGAGAGCAAACAGTTAGTAATTATAGCGTTATTTTTACGTAAATTTGTGGTATTTATATTGTTTTTTTATTAGGTTATTCTTTTGGTAGATCAAAAAGGTTATTATGTAGGTAAAATAACGAAATGAACCATTCCCCAAATTTGGTAATTTTTCGTATCTGTACCGTTATAAAACCGTTTTGGTTAACCGTAAAAAAACTTTAAAGTTGAAAATTTGTAGTTATTTAAACTTAAAATGCTGCTTGGGATCTGTTCTGTGATTAAACCTATAGATGCCCACCAAATATATTTGGTGAAATATATCCAAAGTTAATTTTCCAAAAAGTTATATCAAAAGTTAAACTAACCAAAATATGTCTTAATAATTTAAGGTTAACATTAGAAGTTAATATAAAGTTATGTAACTTCTAAAATAACCTACTTTTTAACTTATAAGTAATAATACTAACTAGTTAAATATTTGGTTTATTTATAGTAAATTTAAACTCTTAAAATAATCTTAATCTACTACCTATATTGAAACAGTCCGATTCCGATTCCATTAATAAAGGAAAACTTCTGGAACCACCGATAAAAAGAAAAGTACAATAGCTTTAATCGGATCACATAAAACCTTCAACAATGAGAGCAAAAATCAGGGAAAAACTAATCGATCTCATCATCCAATCAAAAATCCCATTTGCGTGACCGCGTGTTCGACCATAAAAGTCGTTTTATGTCATTTTATGCTTCCGAGCGTTTCCACACAGACTTCCAGTTCGATCAAACGCTGTCCATCCGCATCATTGCCCCGTGTTGTGGTTTTCCATTTACATGTTAATTTCTCTTGTTAAACAGTTAAATGCTTCGACAACTCGCGAATTAATATTTCGAGCCTGACGAAATGCAGATTGGAAACCGAATTTCAGTCTGATTTCGATTTTAAAGTGGTTTTTGTTAGAATATGTGTTTTCTCAGTTTTGTGAAATTCCCAAACAATCTATCCAGAAAATTTTATGGTCACTTTAGAGTCTTATTTAACCATTAAACAAACCATACAAAAGCAAAACAAGAATGATTGTACCATGGATTGTACGAGGTGTGTTCAGAAAATAACGGGAATTGTTAAATTTCGCGGGATCGGAGGGTCCGGTTGTCATAAAATTTTCTTTATTATGTTGGTATACATGCCCCCGAAGTATGATAAAAACTTTAGCTGTTTTCATTGTTTACTTTGTCTGTGGCAGCCGCTAAGGTTAGACGTGTTTTATGAGCTTGGCGATTTTCGTTCGTTCGAAAGAAATGGATCAAAGAATTTGTCCTATTTTGCTTAAAAAATGAAATAAATTCTGTGAAATGTTAACAAAGGCCTATAGTGAGTCTGCTATAAGTAAAACAAGAGTTTACAAGTGGTATAAGAGTTTCCAAGATGGCCGTGAAGACGTTGAAGATGACGAACGCCCCGAACGCACAAGCACAGAAACATGGAAAAAGTGGAAGAAATAGTTATAAACCATCAGAGAAGTCGCTTATGATGTTGGTATATCGATTGACTCATCCCATGAAATTTTTTCGAATGTTTCGGGTATGAAACGCGTGGCAGCAAAATTTGTTCCAAAATTTTTAAATTTTGAACGAAATTTTTGGCCAAAATCAATACTGTAATGATGCCCCAGCCTCCATATTCGCCAGACATGCCTCTGTCTGACTTTTTCCTATTCCCAAAAATAAAGAGAACCTTAAAGGGCCGTCGTCTTGCAAGCATAGATGACATTAAAAGCGCATCGCTGAAAGAACTAAAGGCTATCCCAAAGATCGAGTTTTAGAAGGGTTTCGAGTATTTGAAGAAGAGCTGGCACATGTGCATAATATCCAATGGGGACTATTTTGAAGGCGACAACATTAATGTACACGAATAAATAAATATTTGTTTCAAAAAACGAAAATTCCCGATATTTTCTGAACACACCTCGTATGTTGCTAGCGGCGCGGAAATATGTAGGAACGACCTGTGTATTGTTATGTGGGTGAATATATTGAGATGTCCCCCAAGTGAAAAGGATTATTTTTTATTTTTGGTTGTTTCACAGTTAGTCTAGAATGGGGTTTTTGGGAAGCCACCAGGTCTAGTAATAACATAACATAAGTGGTTCTGCACTAATGCAAGAATTTTAAGAAATCATACATTTTGAATATTAGAGCTTCACGGAGGTTAGGATCTTGTATGTTTTTTTTAAACATCCCCTTTTGACTCCTTAATATTTTTTAAAAATGCAATTGTATACATACATAAAATATTTATAAAAAAATCCACTTACTGAGATATTACACTTCACGGTGGATAGGTTTTTAAAAAGCAAATTAGTGAACATAAACTTTTGAATTATAAAACAGCAACACTCTCATCTGCATATAAATTCTAACTAACCTTCAGGAATCACATGTATCTATAATGTCGTAAACAGAGGTTTTTGCTTATTTAAAATGATTAAAGCGCCATCCGTTGCATAAAATTTAAAGCAAAACAGATTCACGGAGGATAGAATCAATTTTTGTAGCACCTACATAAATGGTTATAAAAATTATTTCCTTCAATTTTTAATAATATTTGATTCGATTGCTTTGGATGTGTTTAATTTACTTAGTGAACTGATATTTTTAGTATGCTTTTACTACCTCAGATATTTGAAAACATATAGGTTAACCTAGATAGAGTATAAGTCACGGAGGATAGGTTTTAGACTTTTAAAACATTGTAAAAAATAATTAATTGCGGTTAAAAATCTGGAACTTGAGCTGTAATATCCACTTAATTATGAAAGATCAAAATACATTTCGTTAGATTCACCCATGATAATTTTTTTCAAGTTTATTTGAAACGAGCCAGACGCTTTTCTGGGCAGTGTTCGGCCTCATCGATCTGGAAAGCTTTGAATTGCACGAAATAAAAATATTCACCCGTTTTTGGGGAATGTTGATGTTCGGGACGTATTCAGTAATCAACATAGTGGTACTACTGAACCTCCTGATCGCTATGATGAACCACTCCTACCAACTAATATCGGTAAGAAAAAAATAACCATGTCTGTAGTACAGAGTTCGAAAAGTAGATTTCTATAGGAAAGAGCAGACACAGAATGGAAATTTGCGAGATCAAAATTATGGATAAGTTATTTCGAAGAAGGGGGGACAGTTCCGCCCCCTTTTAACGTCATCCCCACCCCGAAAACCCTGTGGTACATTCTGCAATGGTTCCGAAGAAAATTCTGCGGCCAATCCAGGGCCGCAAAAAAAGAACACATGAGGACGATAAGGGTAAAAATGCATTATACAGGGTGGTGAAAATGATCTGTACTCCCCTGTTATTTCCAAATTCAACGCAAAAAAGAAAGTACTGTTAAAATCTGTCCAATCTTGCTGTTTGGGAGTGCAGGTCCAACCACCCTGTAACAATATCTTATTTTTTGTATAACGTAAAGTATTATTTTCAGAAAAAAGTGAAGCAGGCCAGCGAAAGGGACTTCAGATATCAGGTAGGTCAATTTGACAATTTTTTGTTACGGCAAAAAGATCATTTTTATAAAAATTAATAATCTACAAACGCTGCTTTCAGTAAAAGCATTTGCATTAATTATAAAGTAAATTTACGTTATGTTTATAAAAATAACACTCTTCCAGATGCAGAAACGCATTGATAAATATAGTTATTAGATATTATTTAAAAAAAAAATAGTTATATACCGTTTACAAAAACGTTTTGTAGTATTAATGAAACCCTAAAGGTATTATTCATAGAAATTTTGTAAATTTTACAAATCCCTTTTTGTTTAAAATAAAACTTTTTTTATAATAATAATAAAATTTATGTAGGTTAATTTAACAACATATTAATCGTTAATTCAATAAACTATTTTCATTGTAACAATGGTCACATTTTCAACCTACTGTTGGGTGTTGGGTGGTTTTTTTTTTAATAATTGCAAGGCATTAAAACAAATTATTTATTATAACAAAAAAATTAACTCATATTATATAATGTAAAAATAAAAAAAAATACGAACTCACTTTTTAAACAACAAGTCTGCTTCGTTTATGGAATAGACCTTAAATATTTCTTTTAGAAAACGTCGAAATTTTAATTTTCTTATAAACAACTATAGTTATCTTTTTGATATTTTTATCATGCTAGATTTTACCACACTTCACTCGCACAAGTGAAATAAGATTATAACACAGACTGTGGATTATAAAGTTATGTTCACCAAGGAGAGCGCTGGCCCTTTCCCCCTCTTTTTAAGGGAAATAACAAAAATTTTGTTACCATTGCAAAACAATAGTAAATATTAAAAAAAAATATTATATATAATTTTTTTTTAATATTTACTATACAAGGTGTCCCTAAACTTAGTAGCATAAATTTAGAAGCAGATTAAGCAAGTCAAAATAAGACGAAAATCTAAATAAATATTTTTCCTAATTACGTATGTTTAAAAGATAGTGTTACTTATAATATCATTTTTTTTAATATAACTTCTACTGTGGTAGACTTGGAAAGGTGATATTTTGCGAACAGTCACTTACTACCAAAACACATATTCACACATAATTACAATTGTTCGAGTGAACACAGTGTCGTAGAAACAGGGGTTGCTTAAGCTTATTGTCCCATACAAACTTTGAGGTTAGGTTTTTATACAATTTGATGCAATTTTTTCGATTACTCAGTTCGGCTACTATTAAAAAGGTGTACCTCTCAAACTTCGATAAAATACTTAAACCGTTTCCGAGATATTCGAAATTACAATAATTGTTATATCGCATTAATGGACTAAAAGGTATATGATAACAAATTTTTTAATTGAAAAAACTACAATTTTTTTTTATGTGACGGTCAGGGCAAAATGTCCCGAGGCTCATGGAATGCCCTTTTTAGTTTTTTCAATTAAAAAATAATAGTATATTAAAGAACTAATGTCATAAGACGTCATTTTGTCGCACGCGGACAATTCATAAAACGAGCGACGAAGGAGCGAGTTTTATAATGGACAAGTGCGACAAAAGGTCTTATGACATGAGTTCTTTATGCTATTTTATCTATTTTGCAAACATTTCATAAAACAAATTAATTTTATACCTTATATTTAATTTGGTGGAATTTTACTTTACATAGTTGGTATCACAGTTTGAAGTTTGAAAGGTCATTAACCTTTCAAACATTATCACATTCTTTCGCTATGGCGTCGTTAATTTACAATAAGTATTTACAATAAGCGGCTGTTAAAGAAGAAAAAAGGATTTTCTTTGGTGTTAAACAAAATTTATTGCACGAAAAGTCTCGTAAGTACTAGAAAACAAATCATAAAAATATTATAACCTATAGGTATTCAAAATTGTATTTTACCAGTAGCCAACCTATAAAATCAAAATTTTGGGTGGAATAAAGTACCTCATTAAAGAACCAAAAGCGGTGTTATAATGAAGTCATTATGAAACCAAAATAGATAAAATTTGTTATCATATACCTTTTAATCCTTTTAAAAAATGCGATGTATCAATTATTGTAATCTCGAATATCTCGGAAACGGTTTATTTTATCGAAATTTGAGAGGTACCTACACCTTTTTAATGGTAGCCGAACTGTGTAATCTAAAAATTGCATCAAATGTTATAAAAACCTAACCTCAAAGTTTGTATGGGACAATAAGCTTAAAGCAACCCCCGTTTCTACGAGACTGTGTTCACTCAAACAATTATAATTATGTGTGAATATGTGTTTTAAAACCAATTGGTAGTAAGTGACTGTTCGCAAAATATCACCTTTCCAAGACTACCATAGTGGAGGTTATATTAAAAAAACCGATATGATAAGTAACACTTTATCACCCTGTATCTTGGAAACCTAAGTAGTTAGGACAAATATTTATTTGGGTTTTCGTCTTATTTGGACTTGCTTAATCTGCTCCTAAATTTATGCCACCAAGTTTAGGGACACCTTGTATACAGTATATAATTTAATTTGTAAGAGTCCAAGTTTAAAAAAAATATTTTTGTTATTGTTCTTAACGTAAACTATTAACAAAGATTTTTTAACTGAAATAAAATTAATTCGAATTACAACGATAGTAATTTAAAAAAGATGAATATTCCATAGTAAAATAAACAAATTTTACTGTAACAATTGCGCATTACTTTATGTAAGCGCAATTCACACACAACTATAGATTTAACAAAAACATTTTAAGTTCGACAAAGATTTAATATAAACATAAAGTATTTCTTATTGCCATGACAATATGATAACAACTGTTACTTTGTTGGATGAACATTTTTTTTATAAAAGCTCAACATTGCTGCTTCATTGTAGTAAATGAGAATTTTATTAACAGTAAAAAAAGTTTATTCTGTAAATAAAAATAATCTCATTACTTTGACAAATCCTAGGTTTTTCTCCCAATAAATTTAATAAAAAAGGTACCTTAGGTGGTACATTTTTGTATAGCCATTACAATGTTTAATTTAAGTTAAATAATATTATTTTATTAATCGCTATCATTGCATGTACATTTTTCTGAGTGTATCAAGTGAATAATATTTACTTGATAAGGATTGCAGATCTACTCGTACTAGCAATTGAAACGTACAAAAAATCTTAAAAATATTTACAGGGTGTCGCAGGTGGATAAAAATTGTATACTTTGATATACCTCTATAATATTGGTTTAGTGGTTTTCAATTACAAATTGTTGTTAGGTAATTTCAGGGACAAGTTTGTTCAGCAAATCCACCAAATTGGGTTGGCTAAACAATTAATGTTCATTTGCGACTATTAATTGAAATAAATTGCATAGTTTGGTTTGATATTTTGTCATTGTTTTATAAAAACTAAAAAAGTTCATAAACAGAGCTCCAATAAATTAAAAAGTATTTTATTTCATATTTTAATGATTTTTGACTACCAACATAACATTGTTATTTTGCCTTTGTTTAACGGTTATGAAATTAATAACATTTTTTTGTATTTTACTTAATTTTAGCTTTTTAATTTCTTCTTAATTTTTAGCTTGTTAAATAAAATGCAGAAAATATCTCCCATGAGAATATTTTTAAATGGGATTATTTTAAAATTTTTGTCGCAAAATATACAGCCAGGGCATTATTGAAAAATTAAAATTCTTAATGAAATGTGTATGTTTCCACCCATTTACGCACATTACACTGTTTAAAATTTCTAGACCATTTTAACACCAAATTAACACCATACATGGTCTATATCGATACAAACCAAAATGGTGTTAAATGGTGTTCGTTGCTCCAGTGTAAATTTAAATACTAAAATAGTGTAAATTTAACTTTCACACAGTATTAAAATAAATTTTACCTGCTGTAAATTGAACTCCTTTTCAGTGTTAAATATTACCTATGTGTTTTTGGTAAAATTAAATCATATATGATTTAGTATACTACATAAAAAAAAGGAAACAGGAAGTTCCTTGACGCATTACTAGCATATTACAAGTGGTATTATTCCAGAAAATTGAACTGGAGATAATGTTTTAGTGCGTTCAACCACCTTAAAATACTTAAGTATTGACAGCTTTTTCCACCTACTTAAGGTCTCTGTAGTATCGAACAACTTGTAGTGTCACACCAAAGCAAAGGACTACCTGAGCTTATATACTCTTCATGTAAGTCAACAGAGGCGAGATTTAAGAACATCACGTGATCCACATAGCCTTTGCCGCGATCGGTACACACTATGCAACCAGGAATGCACGGCAAATTGTTTTAATCGTTTTAACAGACTGCTTTAGGTTGAAGTAACTCTTATTTTACAAACAACATATTTAGTAAACTGGTTTCACTAAAGTTTTCTGGGTTAATTCAACCAATTTAAAAAATACCTATCTGATTTAGTACCGTCAAACTAATCTTTGTTTATATTAACCTTCCCACAGTTGATTTAAATAAATACTTATGGGTCAACTAAATTAATATAGTTAAATGAACTATTCCTTTTTTTCTGTGCAGGTGCACTTCTCAAATATTTTTAGATAAACACCGTTTTCGTGTTTGCTGTATATAACATTTTCAACCATAATTCATGGTGTTTATATTAACACCACTTGGTGTTGGATTTTGACACCATTTTAAGATTACTCTTTACACCACAGATATTTTAAACAAATAATAAAACAAATCAGATCCAAATACTAAAAAACATTTGCTTCAGGGATGAGTGTACTTTTTATCTAAATTTTGGGAGATTGTATTATTGGTCCCTTATTAATTTATTTTGAATATTAGATGAAACAATACAGTCACTAATAATAAATCAAAGACAAGATGATGGAGAACTAGCATGGATAAAAATTTATTACATTTTTAAGATTTATTATGTAGTATCTAGCTGTTAGGGCTGGATCAGAATTATTTAGAACAGTGACTTGGTGGAAGAGTGCCAATAGAATGGCCTCCCAGATCTCCAGGTCTGATACCATTAGACTTTTTCTCATGGGGTCACTTTGAGCATTTAATTTAAAAAGCTAAAAATCAAAGTATTTTGATTATTGTTGAACAATTTGTTTATTTATGCTTTTTTAGTTATTATATGTTGGTTAGAATTATTTTGTGTTCTTCATGGTTTCCAATGAGTTATCATATCTCTTATATTTTCAGTCAGCAACCCTTTCCACCTCACAATATTAATGTATGTTTAAAGCAAAAAAATTCCTTACAGTTTTAGCCTTTAATATTGCTCCTAAGTACTTTAATAATAATTTTGCAGTTATGTTTTATTTATAGAATTTATGATTTTGTCAAATATTGGTTGAAGCTATTTACGGATTAAAAAGCCAACAATTTACACACATTTTATCTTATTTTACATAGACCAAACTTACTCGGAACATTACCCCAAATCGAATTTCAACCGGCATAATTTGCATATTTCGCATGGAGATACTAACCATAAACCTAACCAACCCCATATCTCCCAAACTATTGTTCGCCGTTTGTGATTGCAGAGCATAATGCGTAACCTCGTTAGACGCTACGTAACCGTGGAGCAGCGCAAAGCCGAGAACCAGGGCGTAACCGAAGACGACGTCAACGAGATCAAGCAGGACATCTCTGCGTTCCGTTTCGAATTAATCGAGATACTGAAGAACAGCGGCATGAACGTCCTCACTGCCCACAGCGGACTGGGTAAGAGAAGTTTCAATCTTGTGTGGAATTTTTAAGGATTCTAGGGAGTGCCTCCCAACAATGGGGTAGTTAAATTTTTTCTGACCTATACTTTTATGGTTTTATTCAAGGCTTTTTGTAATATTAAACATTTCTGTGAAATCAGAATTTCAATTGAGTTTACCGTTTTCGAGATATTTACAAAAAATATAAATTTTTATGACGTCACAAACCTCGCCATGTGACCAACATTCTAAGATTTCTATTGGTTGAAAATTAACCTGTTGTCAAGTTGTCTTGTTAATGATTTCATTCGGTTATGTCAGAAAATACCCGAAGAGGTTATGTACAAATACTGTCACTGTCAGTTGAGTGAAAGATGGTCACCAAATTCATTAAGTACCTATCTTCCTTATTACGAGGTATCATATTACTGTTTGATATTTTAGAGTCCAAGATATATCTAAAAGAATATAAAGAACTAGGCATTATACTAATGAAATGCATTTACGACAAAATATGATTACAATTATAGGTACTTACTTTATTTGTTTAAAAGCTCCAATGTTCAATGTAACCAACCATTCCACAAGATTCCTCTGCTTTGGAGTCCGTTATTAATAAATCACTTATCTAATATCAATTACAAATAACGACAGAATTACAAATAACATAACAATAACATTGATTTTCAATAATCTAAATTAAAAAAAAACATAACCCGAAAAAAATAAACGTCAAAAAATCAATTCTTCTTCTTCTTCTCAACTAAAATTATAGATCAAGTGGTTTTATAAAACTAAAATATTATAACGTGGCGCCATCTATCGTAAGAATCTTAAACTAAACACACTGGCAACCATAGAAAAAGCTGGCAACGTTGTCAATAGCCTAGTGAGATTTTTTTTTGTAAATATCTCGAAAACGGTAAACTCAATTGAAATTCCGATTTCACAGAAATGTTTAAAATTACAAAACGCCTTGAATAAAACCATAAAAAGTATATGTCAGAAAAAAGTACCCCATTCTTATACAATTTGTATTTTTTATATTTGCTATTTAAAACGTCGGCGCGAGCTTAAACTTCATATTCAACACTTCAATAGATTTTAATTACCTTCTGTCAGCTCATTGTAAACAATCGCGCACTGTTAAGAGCAATAGAACAGTCAATTATAAAAGTGTTAGTAGAGAACAGAGAACTGGGAAAAGACGCAGGCCGTGAAGTTTAAATGTCAAAGCTTGTAGCAGGTCGTTAGAGCTTAGTCGAAATCCGCTTCTAATTATTCCTCATTTGCATACTTTATGATTTCGATCATCGGGCTGCTCAAAGCGAATTCGAGTCTACTACGTATATGATATTCAAAGCAGATACGAACCATATACCTGTTTACCATAATTGATGTCGATATGTACGCTGCGACGAATTTTAAATAGATTCGAGCATTCAATTCGGAATTAAAAAATGGGAGTCCCAACAAGAACTAAAATTTAGAATAAGAATGGAGAATAACTGTTTTTAAATGCGATTTCATTCTTCTTAATTTTGGTCTAACGGCATGAACTTCAGTTATCCCATCTTCTTAGTTGTTATTCATGGGTTCGTTGTTTACGAGGATTTTGTTAGAGACAGGACAGGTTTCATGACCCACTTTTATTAGCATTATGTCTTTAAAAAATAATAAGAATCTCCTTACTTGCCTTGAGCCACATATTCTAGGAACTGGTAGCAGAATGCATTGCTGCCTTGAAGATGATAACAATAAACAATATTCTATATAGAATATTGTTTATTGTTATCAGCTTCAAGGCAGCAATGCATTCTGCTACCAGTTCCTAGAATATGTGGCGCAATGCAAGTAAGGAGATTCTTATTATTTTTTAATTTGCATGGAGCTCTATTATTTTAAAGCCTCCAGTATTCCAGTGATTTCACATTAAAATATGGTCGTATAAATCATATACAGAGACGCATGAATGGGCTCAGTATCCATCTGTATAGATTCCTTATAATAGAAGGGTATGATAATAAATGTTTACTTAAAACTTAGGTACTGGAGGCAAGAAGAATCGCCAGAAAGAACGTCGCCTGATGAAAGGCTTCAACATCGGTCCTCAACCGTCGCAAAGTACGGGATCTCTGCCGCCTGTCGCCGAGTTTATAGCGTCCCTTCAGCATCAAGAAGGCAACCACCATGACTTCTTCGGTTCGACGTTATCAGGGATATTCAACTCTACCCCTAGAAGGTTGCATCAGCACAGCAGTACGGTGTCTTCCTCTCAAGGAAGCATCAACGAGAGCGGGAACCACCACCACCACAGTCATCATCATCATCATCACAAAGGATTGTCAAAGTAAGTGGGTTGTTTTATTTTTTAAGAGTTAATACATTTTTTTAATGGGGTAGTTAAATTTTTTCTGACCTATACTTTTTATGGTTTTATTCAAGGCGTTTTGTAATATTAAACATTTCCGTGAAATCAGAATTTCAATTGAGTTTACCGTTTTCGAGATATTTACAAAAAATATAAATTTTTATGACGTCAATAACCTCGCCATGTGACCAACATTCTAAGATTTCTATTGGTTGAAAATTACCCTGTTGTCAAGTTGTCTTGTTAATGATTTCATTCGGTTTTGTCAGAAAATACCCGAAGATGTTATGTACAAATACTGCCACTGTCAGTTGAGTGAAAGATGGTCACCAAATTCATTAAGTACCTTCCTTATTACGAGGTATCATATTACTGTTTGATATTTTAGAGTCCAAGATATATCTAAAAGAATATAAAAAACTAGGCATTATACTAATGAAATGCATTTACGACAAAATATGATTATAATTATAGGTACTTACTTTATTTGTTTAAAAGCTCCAATGTTCAATGTAACCAACCATTCCACAAGATTCCTCTGCTTTGGAGTCCGTTATTAATAAATCACTTATCTAATATCAATTACAAATAACATAACAATAACATTGATTTTCAATAATCTAAATTTAAAAAAAAACATAACCCGAAAAAAAGAAACGTTAAAAAATCAATTCTTCTTCTTCTTCTCAACTAAAATTATAGATCAAGTGGTTTTAAAACTAAAATATTATAACGTGGCGCCATCTATCGTAAGAATCTTAAACTAAACACACTGGCAACCACAGAAAAAGCTGGCAACGTTGTCAATAGCCTAGTGACGTAATTAGGAGTTTTTTTTTTGTAAATATCTCGAAAACGGTAAACACAATTGAAATTCTGATTTCACAGAAATATTTAAAATTACAAAACGCCTTGAATAAAACCGTAAAAAGTATAGGTCAGATTAAATTTAACTACCCCATTATAATTTTATACATACGATGCGCTTGACATGCATGCTTTCATTGTTTCCACCATAGAAAAAGGAGTTGCCACTGTACGTTTTATTTTAATAGTTTTTTTTGATATACGCAAATATTTACCTATCTAAACATTGTTACAAACGAAATAGCGAGAGACCAGCTAGCTGACCAATTAGAGCACAGCTGACCTGTCAGTGGGACACAGTGTTGCCGTTTGCAAGTATTTTACTCGAAAATCGGGTATTTTCATAATATTTGCGGGTGATTTGCAAATTTCTATCAAAATAATAACAAAAGAAATTTTCAGTAAATAATATTGTATATTTACTAAATATGCACAATTATTTTATTCTATCCTGTTACATTTTTATTATTATTTTAGTATTTTGTAATTTATGGCTAGGAACTTTTATGGCAACACTGTACGTAAACACGAAGATCAACCATATTTGTCTTATGAGTCTATCGACATGATATTAACTCCTTTTTCTATGGTGGAAACAATGAAAGCATCTCAAGCGCATCGTATGTATAAAATTATAATTGTTATAATTATTACATCTTACCTTTGTTATTATATAGGTAATTATGCAATAAACTTGGCTTATAACAACAGCAAAAATGTTAATAAATACCTTTCTATGTGTTTTATTTTACGATAACCAAATTCAACCTCTATATATGAATTATTTCGGATATTTATTTTTATCGCCATAGGTACCTACCATTTCTCTACTAAAAGTCTTATTAAGTTTAAAAAGTCTTATTAACTCTTCCAGAAGACTCCCAAATCTTGCTATTAGTCTGACTTTATAAGACTTATCCAGACTTTTTCCGACTTAATAAGTATTATTCAGACTTTTTCAGAGAAAGTAAGACTTTCTCAGAGAAAAATTTCCACGAGGGTAATGCATTCTTTTTAATTGTTCTTAGGTTCCACATAAAACGCACGCACAGCCACAAACGCCGCTGGGGCACGCTTATAGAAGCCGCCAAGACGGGCAAAGTTTCCCGGTTGATCGGCCGGTCTCGATCCGAAGACTCCGTGTGCAACAACTGCCAGCGCGAGAACGGGCGCCACGCGCACGCGCACTCGCCGCAGTCGGACGAGTGCTCGGCCAGCCGGTCGGACTCGAACCCGAGCCTGGACACGCCTGAGCCGGCGCCGGCTCCCGAGCCGGAGCTCCACGGTTTGGCGCAAGGCCTGGCGCTGCTGAAGAGGAAGAGGAAAAAGTTTTCGGCCTCGAGGAACGCCAGTCCTGGCTTGCCCGGCGCGCAGCAGCCCGAAGGGGGGAGTGCCAAAAGCAAGGCAGTCAACAAGAAGGTATGTTTTTACTTGAAAAAGGCAACTTTGGTGATATTAGGAATATTCCCCAACAACAAAACAAAGCGCAAAGTGCTTAAAGTACTTTTCGCCAACGACTGGGCATCTTCAGAAGCGAAGTGTAACTAAATCTAAATGCTAAATCCATCATATGTATATTAATTATAACCTAAGGGTGACTGACACGGAAAAAAGCTGCACTATATTAAAGAATAGTAACGTTTGCCCAAGAATATACTCGTTTACTATTCCACAAAAAAACATAATATTTGATTGTAATATAGCCCTATTCTTAAGAATTTAGAAGTTTCACTTATATTTGAGGCCTGTCAGAGCAAAGTCAACAATCTCCCGTCAGACTAAAACTGAGTAAATTGAGATAATTGATTTTGGTATTTTAAATTCTAGATTTGTAATTTTTTTTATATATTATATTGAAATATTGTTGTTGTTAGTCTAGTAGCCAACTACAAGGTCTCCAGGATGCATAGTATAGGTGAAATCTATAATTATAAATTGGAGATTGCTGACTCTGATATGAATTGCTGGAGATTGCTCATTTTGTTGTAAACGTTTAAGGAGATTTAGAAAAATAAACAAAAAAATAATTGTATTTTTTCCCTTTAATGGATATAAAATTTAACTATACAATCAATGTGGGAAAATTCTGAACTTTACCACATAAATCTGGAGTTTCTTCTAAATCTGGAATCAGGTTGCCTCGTGCAAAAAATTTTGTATTTTGTATACAACTCATCATCTCCTTCCCACTTTGCCCCGTAATGTTTTACTTGCAATGTTTTGACATTATCAGCCTTTTCTTGCTTTACCTTTTCGTCTTATTATGGTATAATAGCACAAAATAAACAAGGTAACTTTTTTTATAATTCTTAAAACAATAAAACGTAGAATTACCTATTTTAAATATATTTTTTAAGTGCAATTTACTGCAATAGAAACTTAACAGTATGTACCAGTAAAAAAACACAAAATTAAATCTCTAAAATACGTTATAACATCAAATGTTAGGATATCAGGTGACACAAATTACTAATTTCTAATGGTGGAATTGGTGAGATTGTATACTTTGCTGCAAATCTATCAGTGAAGATTGTCGACTTTGCACTAAATGTCATTTTTAAAATAGGATTTTAGGCAGGATTTAGCTCCTTTTGCAGCACATAAACTTTATCATCTTATAGATAATTAGTTGAAGAACAGTCTCCGCCAAAAATATAATTTTTGACCAAAAGTGGAGATTGTCGGTTTTGCTATGACATGCCTCAATTATACTCTCTTCAAAAATAATGTTATTTTGGCAAAGGTGAATTGCTTTTTGTTCATTAAAATGTTACTTGTCTCAAAGTAATGTAATGTTATTTGAGTTTTTAATTGAAAAATTATATGGATTTTAAAAGAGAAAACATTAAGCAAATACTTTAATGAATATTAAATTATTGTTTTACCAAGTAAATTATTTTTGGGTCAAACATAAAATTATAAGTATAGAACTATTTTTGGATATAGAAATGTATTTTTTAAGGTTGTAAAATCCTATTCTATGACCATTATCATGTATATGTTGGGCAACACTCGATTTCTCTGTCCTACCAAATCCAGCATGGTCCAAGTGCTCTTTGAATTTTACTTGGATGGATCGTTTAGTTTGTCCAACATATTTCTTGTCGAAATCTTAACACTGACTTTTCAATTTTAGGAATCTTATCTTTGGGGTTGCCTAAAAGGGTCTGAAGTGTGTTACTGCTTGAACTAAAAGCAATTTTAAAGTCCAGTTTTCTAAAAATCTCTTCAAGACCTCGGGTGTACTGGGGTTTGGAAGGAATAGTCATAAATTTGACTTTTGTGGGCTATGTTAGCTCTGCTTGAAAAGCCGTTAACCTACAAAGGCTTAATTTTATTTACTAGCTTATCTATTAGGGTGATTTCCAAACCATTGTCTCCAGCAATGTCTTTTATAAAACTGAGCTCTTTCTTGTATCTACTTGTAACCCACGAACAAGAACTAACTAAAAACTAGCCTGCTTCTGTTGTGTACAGTTGCGTTCGAGTCTGAAGTGCGTGCTTGTAGGTTTTCTGTAGATATCGAACTCTGTAGTATTGTTAGATCTAATCACTAGGGTATCTTAAAATGGTAGCTGGTCATCTTTTTCCATTCCTTCTATTAAATTCACCTTTGAATTGGAAAAAGATGGATGTAAGCGTTTTGATGGAAAATAGCAAAGATATCGTCCACTTATCTAACAAAATCCTCGGAAAATACCATGAGCTACTAAGTTCCTTCTCAAAGCGGGTCAAGAAAAACATCGTGGGCGAAAAGTACTTTAAGCACTTGGTGTAATAATAATAATAATAATATTTATTAGTGCTATTACCAAAAGGTTTACAACGTCAGAAAAATACAAATATAAAAATAGTACAAGAAATGTAAATATAAATTAAACAAAGAATATAATAAAATAAAGACACAATTAAAAGGTAAAGTTTAAAAACTCATCAATAGAATAAAATGAATGAGTAGTAAAAAAGGATTTTAAAAGCCATATTTTTTACATTATTTGGGAGTCTGTTAAAAAAATTAATTCCATAAAAATCAGGTCACTCTGGCACCTATTCAGTCTAGAGAATTGATTAATTAAGTTGCCCTTATTTCTGGTGTTGTGGTTATGTACACACACAAAAAAAAGTATAGTTAAATTGACTATCTCTTATTCATATTGAACCTATGTTAGAATCATATATGCGCCAACTAAATCATATACTTAGGTTGATTAAAACCTATTGATAAAAATAGTTTTCTTATGACGATATGCTAGACTTGATCAAGACTAACTCTGTACTAATACATAACATAACACTATACTTAAACCATTTATAATAAATAGTTTAATATCAACATAAGTTAGTGTCCAAGTAAAGATATACTGAAATATATTTAATTAATTGTTATAGTTAATTTTACTATAGTTTTCTTTATAGTAACAAGATGTTAGTTTTTAATTAAATATAGTTCAGTTCTTAGCAAACCTAATTAATATTTATTAAGACTATAGTATAAGATTGAATTAATTCACTATTTGTTGTAAAACAACGTCATGTTAGTGTCAAATTAAGCGCATCTTATTTTCAGATACATACATAAATATTTACTTAATTGAACCCATTTCTGGTATTGTTCTTTATGGTAAAATAAAAAAAAATGATTTAGTATAGCAAATTTTTATTTAAAAAAATAACAAAACTTTAACAATGTCTCAGATTTATAAAAAACTTAAAAGTTAACAAAAATGTACAAAAATAACTTTAAAAAAGTATAAAAATAAAAATACAAGTATACTGCCCTGCTAAACCACCGTATCTACAATATTAATTAATAAAGGACAATATATAATTTTAATTGAACAAGAAAAAATATATATAAAATGTATATTATACATATATATATATATATATATATTTACATGTTATAAGTCATACATACACAAGATACCTAAATTTAAACAAAATAAATTCATTCAGGTGAAACGTATAATTCACCATGAAGATTGTGGATTATGGAATTTTGAATGCAAATCAGAAGGCTTTAAATACATTTTTTGATTATTTTCAATAGAGTTAAGTTTTACCTTGAATGCCCTGATAAATTCATTATATTCGATAATATAAATGAGGCTGCAAATGAAAAGAACATCACTGCAGTGACCACATGTGGTCTGTCTTAATACACACAAATTCAATCTGACACATATGCGGCTCAGTGTTAACAAGTTCTAATACTAAAATATCATTTTTAGCATATTTTATTCCCTATTGAAACTTTTTTTATATTAAAAATTCGTTTGCATAAATCAAACAAACAAAGTAATTTATTTTTTTGCGAAAGTATTCAATATGAAATACGGTATTTCATATTGAATATTTCAAATACCTAGATACTTTTTTGAATTATTGAAGATTTTTACACAACCCGCACACTTCATGGTAAATAAAATATTTAACTGAATACTTTTACTTATATAACAAAATTGCAAAACCCTTGCATTAACAGTAAAATAAAAGTTTTTAACGCAAATTAGACAAAAATAAATACTCACTTAAAATATCTAGTTTAATACATAATACCACCTAGATTTTTATTTTAAAAAATAAAAATCTAGGTGGTATTATACACCAACCTTTAACAAAAAATAAAAATATATTTTATTCAGTCTATTATCAATAATATTACACAATATATTGCTATTGAATGGTTTCTTTTAAAGTTGAAAATATACGCAATAAATATGAGGGAATGTTGTCATATGTCGTATTAATTTGGTATACGATAATTTGATATTCGGACTGGACTGGGTATTTTGCTCCAAATACATGAAATAATTTAAATAAGCAATCAAATGCTTTTTTAACAGAATCTAATTGATACCTAATGGTGTCAACTACTGCATAAAAGGATGTTGGGTTTCTCACCGAATCTTCCTGTATCAATAGGTAGGGCTGTACCGTTTGGTTATGTGTTGCAGCTTGTTATTTAATTTTATTTATAGCTTCTTCAATATCAGAAGGTTCCTAAATAAAAAACAAGAAATATTTTAATGAAATAATTATATTATACAGGGTGGCCCAGTTTATATCGTCGGAACTTTACCGAAGGTTTATCGAAAAATAAAGGTATTTTTTCTAAAATATAAAATTTGTGTATGCATTTAAATGTAAATAAAATATATTTTTTAAAGTATTTTTGTTTTTATTATTATACAAGGCGATTATTTTTTCCTGACCATGTACCTTCAATATCTTTTAAACAAAATAAAATATCAAAAAAATGCAAGACACAAAAAATTTAACCATGGACCAAGACTATATTATTATGATCTGAAAAAAACATAACTTTAACTTAAAGAGAACGCAAAATTCAACCAAAGTTTATTTTACAAATTATTTTTATTTTTCGATGACGATAGAAACTGGACCACCCTGTATATTAAACGTTAAACTTAATGCAGTTCCAATTGTTAAATTTAAGAAAAAGTTATAAATAATAAATAAAATTTACCTTTACGTGCACTAAAAGTCCCTCTTGTACTTCAAGGGTGGAAAACTTCCAGATACCTTTGGGTGGCAATAAATGTGGCAGCAACAATAGTTGGATACAAAATTTTTCATCTGAAAAGGAAAAGAATAACTATAGTAACTATAATCAAAACCCAAATTTAAAAATGTTTTTCTTGGAAAAAATAGATACTTACCTTCATTATCAATGGTTTTTAAGCATTCCATAATGCCACAGGATCATGTACACTGCATTTTTTCAAAGATAATAGGATTTCATTTCGTATACATATAATGATAAAATCGACTGTGGATATATGTTTTCAAAATCCATTTCGATCTAAAACTAAAAAAATATATATAAAACCACTTAAAAAAGTACTCACCTTAATTAACCTTAATTTGATAAATTTTTGTGATTACTGCCCTTATCTGATTTTTTTATTCAAACATATATCAAAATAAAGGTAATTTAATTGAAAAAAACAGTGATATTGGGTTGTCTTTGAAAAAGTGGTTGAGACCCACGTTTTGTGCACTTTAAGTTTAAATATTTTTTTGTTGGTATGTATTTATACGAAAAAAAAAGTTCGGATGGGTTAAAGATTTCAGGATAAGAAAAGTATAGTGCAAACTACACTTTTAAAATATACTTACGTACGTACGTGGAGTTCTTAACTTACCAATAAATGTTTGTATAATTTTAGGAGATAAACCCCATTCCCTTAATAACTCTTCCATTTTCAATAAGTATCACTCACAAATAATAAACAGGAACGCGTCTGGTCCGAGATCGAAATCACAACGAATGACGGTTTCGGGTAGAAATGTAAAAAAACAACTAAAAGAAATTATTTTGTAGTCAAAATAACTATATTATTTATGTTATTTTCAAAAGAAAACTAGTGATTTAGTCAAAATATTAGGTATTAATAAATTATTATAAACCATAATAAACAAGGTTGACAAGGACAGAAAATAGAAAATCGATAATTTTTTTGTCTAATTAGTTTCACCCATTCGTATATTTATCCCAAGTCCAATTAGTTTCAATATAAGAATAAACTGTAACAATATTATATATTCTTACATATCGTCGACTTGAACATAACTGTTTAAAACTTTGTTTAATAATAACCACACTATAAATTTATTGTTTAGGTTGAAATTACACCTATACATATATTTAATTTAAACCTAATTAGTTTTAATTTAAGAATAAACTGTAACAATATATTTTATTCATGTTAATTATATTTAATTTAAGAAATAACACTACATAGCGTCGAATTGAACATAATTTTTTAACACTAAGGTTAGTGTTAATTTTGACAATAGATTTTTCTGTGTGCACAGTCATGACTTTTATATAAGTTTAAATTATTTTTTACGTATAGCAAATTATGAAAAATAAATAAGGCAGGAAAAGTCATAATTCCAAGTCTTCTAAATTCAGCCCTGCAATCGTCCCTACAACCAAGGGAGGCAATAATTCTTATAATTCTGCGTTGCAGACTAAATATTCTGTGTGACTCAGAGCACTGATCCCAAACAATTATGGCATACGAAATATGTGATTGAAATAAGGAAAAATAGGCACTAGCCAATACTTCACTGGACACACTACCAACAAGATTACGAATAATAAATATATTGGAATTCAACTTCTTTGATAGTGAATCTATGTGACTGTTCCATCTTAATTTGCTGTCAAACATGATTCCAAGAAATTTAATGGGTTCTGACTTGTTTAAGTCATTAAAATCTCTTAAGGAGAAAATATTGTTCTGTGTCTTGCCCTTGTTTAGGACTAATTGATTCTCGGTGAACCATTTTTCAGCCTGCGACATTGCTCTCTCACTCTTCACCTCCAGAAGTTCAAGATTTTTATCTTTTACTACAATTTTGGTATCATCATCAAATAGTTTTAGATCAGTCGAGTTACTAATGTTAGATAGGTCATTTATAAATATCAAAAATAGGATAGGTCCAAGAACAGAGCCTTGAGGTACCCCCACTTTCACAGTTTCCCTTTGACTCAATTCATTCCCAATTTTGCAAACTTGATGTCTATTTGATAAATATGATTGAATTAGTTTTTTTTAATTCCTAGTTCTACAAAGTTTTATCTTATCTTAGCTCCCCCAGGTTCTGAAGAGAGCCTCGAGCGTGCCCACCAGGGTCCCGGAAGTGGCCCCCGTACCGTCCCACCACGAGCGGCCGTCGAAGAAGCCGCCCGACGCGTCGGCAACTCGCGCGACGCCGGGCAACCGCCGCACGCTGACGCCGTCTACGACCGAGGAGAGCGTCGTGGCCGTCGAGATCAACCACCTTCCTTCGGGGTCGTCGTCCAAGGAGCCGCTGCTCTACAACTCTTCGTCGTCGACGAACCAGAACGGCTCGCAAACGCCCGAAGACGAGAAGGAGGTGCCCGGTTCCGCTGGCACTTCCTACGAACTTCCGAAGTTGCCCGGCATTATTCCGCTTACCGGCCACAACGGGCCCTCTGGATGGCTCTAAGTTTGGTTTTTCGTAAGTTATTTTTTTTTTTTTTATTTGAGGGTAAGGTTGCCAATACAAGTTAGAATTTTTAGCATTTTGGTTTTTGTAGTTTCCAATATTTTAAAAATATTTTTTGACGATTTGAATGTTTTCCTAACAATTTAAAATAAACGGTGTGCGTAAATACATAAATATGTACCTACCTACGCGCGTTAGAAGTTATACTTTTTTGGCTTGACAAAAAAAACGATAAAATAAAATGATTTTGGAAAGTTTTAAAATTTTATAGTTATTTACGATATAAGTAGGATAAGAGCTTTATTAACGTACGCATGCGAAATCGCAAAAGTACGTTAATAAAGCGTTATCACACGTATATTGTACAAATTTTTATCTACGCCTCTAAATGAAAAAGATAAACGGTAATTATTTTTGTCTAAGACTTAATTTAGGGTTATTTTGACATTTTGACTTTTTTATTTGATTGGTTGAAAACGAGAAAAACGCGTGCGTTAATGAACTTTTTATCTCACTCAAAATGAGTGGGATAAGAAGTTCTTATCTCACTGGCGTAGATAAAATATTTTAAAAAACGTAGTTTTTTAACCATTCTAAATTTTGAAAAGAATATTTTAAAATTTCTTAAATTTAAAAATTTTATAAATCATAAAACAATTTGGAAATTATAAGGTTTAGTATTTTTGGTAATTTGAAAATTTTTGGAAAATACAAATTTAATTTTTGAACAATAATTATTAACAAAAATTAATATTTTATATAATTTTTTTTTATTTTTAAATTTTAAACAATTTAAAAATTCTAAAAATTTTGGAAATTTAAAAATTTTGAAAATTTAAAACAAAAATAATGAAATGTAATTTCTAAAATTCCAATTACCAAATATCTAAAACCTTTAAAATTTTCGAAATTTTTAGAATATTAAAAATGTTTAAAAGTACCATATTTAATTTCGCTGGTTTGGTGCAAGACTATCCTAAGTCCATTTTCAAAGAATTGGAGAAAAATACTATTAAACATTTCTATTTATTGTAATTAAATTGTTTTTTGCGTCATTCTTGTAAAAAACCTTCCAATTTTTAAAAGACAATTTAGTTACAATAAATAGGAATGTTTAATAGTGTTTTTCTCCAAATCTTTGAAAATGGACTTGGGATATTCTTGCACCAAACCAGCGATTTTATTTTTAAATATTCAAAAAAAATCATTAAAATTTTGAAAGGTTCCAAAACTTCAAATTTTCTGAATTTTTAAATTTAAAAAATTTTAAAATATTTTTTTATCAGAATTGTTTCCATAATATTAAAAAATCAAAATTTTCGAAAATCAAAATATTTAATATTTTCAAAAATTTTATAAAATCATTAAAATAATATTTTATTTAAGGTTTAAGATTTTTGGTAATTGAAATTTTTTTGGAAATTTGAAAAACAAAAATCTTATTTTTTTTAATTTGCAAGTTTGAAATTTTAAAAATTTCGGAATTTCGGAACTTCAAAATTTTAATGATTTTAAAAAATTTCATTTTACTTAATTTTTTTTTTAATAAATAAAAAAACAAAAATCATAAATCTTAAAATTTACAATTTTTAAATTTAAGAAATTTTCAAATGTTTTCAAAATATTCAAAATCATTCAAATAATTAAAAAAATTTAAATAATTTAAATTATGTTTTAAGGTTTAATTTGAAACAATTTTGGAAAATAAATTTGAAAATTTTATACAAAGTAATATTTTAATGATCATTAAATCAATTTAAAGCTTTTTTGTTTTAAAAATTTTTAAATTTGTAAATTTTAAACATTAAAAATTTTGTAAATTTAAAAAAAAATTTGAAATTTAAAAAATTCCAAATTTTTTTGTAAATTTAGCAGATTTAAAATAAATAGAATTTTTAGCTTTATTGGTTATTTAAAACATAAAAAAATTGATTTTCCAAAATTCCAAAAATATTTCAAATTAACAAAAATCATAAATCTTAAAATTTACAATTTTTAAATTTAAGAAATTACCAAATGTTTTCAAAATATTCAAAATCACTAAAATAATTAAAAAAATTTAAATAATTTAAATTATGTTTTAAGGTTTAATTTGAAACAATTTTGGAAAATAAATTTGAAAATTTTATACATTTCTAAAGTTTAAAACTTTAAAAAATTAAAAAAAGTAATTTTTTAATGATCATTAAATCAATTTAAAGCTTTTTTGTTTTAAAAATTTTTAAATTTGTAAATTTTGAACATTAAAAATTTTGTAAATTTAAAAAAAAATTGGAAATTTATAAAATTCCAATTTTTTTTTGTAAATTTAGCAGATTTAAAAAAAAATTAGAATTTTTAGTTTTATTGGTTATTTAAAACATGAATAAATTGATTTTCCAAAATTCCAAAAATATTTCAAATTAACAAAAATCATAAATCTTAAAATTTACAATTTTTAAATTTACAATTTTTAAATTTAAGAAATTACCAAATGTTTTCAATATTTTGAGATATCATTCAAATAATTAAAAAAAATTTAAATAATTTAAATTATGTTTTAAGGTTTAATTTCAAACAATTTTGGAAAATAAATTTGAAAATTTTATACATTTTTAAAGTTTGAAATTTTAGAAATTTTAAAAAAGTAATATTTTAATGATCATTAAATCAATTTAAAGCTTTTTTGTTTTAAAAATTATTAAATTTGTAAATTTTAAACATTAAAAATTTTGTAAATTTAAAAAAAAATTGGAAATTTATAAAATTCCAAATTTTTTTGTAAATTAAGCAGATTTAAAAAAAATTTAGAATTTTTAGCATTATTGGTTATTTAAAACATAAAAAAATTGATTTTCCAAAATTCCAAAAATATTTCAAATTTACAAAAATCATAAATCTTAAAATTTACAATTTTTAAATTTAAGAAATTTTCAAATGTTTTCAAAATATTCAAAATCATTCAAATAATTAAAAAAAATTTAAATACCTAATTTAAATTATGTTTTAAGGTTTAATTTGAAACAATTTTGGAAAATAAATTTGTAATTTTATACATTTTTAAAGTTTGAAATTTTAAAAATTTAAAAAAAGTAATATTTTAATGATCATTAAATCAATTTAAAGCTATTTTGTTTTAAAAAAATTTAAATTTGTAAATTTTAAACATTAAAAATTTTGTAAATTTAAAAAAAAATTGGAAATTTATAAAATTCCAAATTTTTTTGTAAATTTAGTCGATATAGAAAAAAGTTAAAATTTTGGTAAATTTTGAAAAATTTAAAATTCGAAATTTTTTTAAATTACAAAATTTTCCGAAATTTTCGAAATTATGAATATTCGTCCCTCCTTATCGTTTTCTGCTCGCCACCCATGTCAAAGAGGCTGGCATATTGTAATAATTTATTTTTTTCTTTAATTTTAAAAATTAATTCTTAGTCAAACGATTAAAATTCCCCAAATAATTCAAAAAATAATAAAAACAAAAAAACATTTGCAACCTTACCAAGCATAAACATTTTTTTTAAATATAAAACCATGTATGTATGATTATTTAATTTTATTTATTAAGGTTTTGAATTACCTTTTTATTTTGATGTTGACAACTATATTATATTTCTGGTCAAAAGCTTTTTTTAAGTTCATTCTAGTCATTAAAAAAAATAAGTTTTTATAACTTTCAATTTATTTATAAATTAATTTAACCCCTCACTTAAAAAATAAATCTAATAAACTAACATAAAATAAATATAAAAGCGTGAATATTCTAAAATTGAGTCTCTTTAATATTTAAATATTAAAGCCTCAATATTAAATTTATTTTAGTTATTTTCCTATTATCAACTTATATTTACTTAGGGTATAAAATGTATTTAAAAACTCAAAAAACGTTTTTAGTAGTCAAAAATTAGATAGTTTCAAAAATGGCGGATGCGCGGGGCTACTGTAGAATATTTAAAATAGTATAGTACTAAATGTATTTTAGATTTATTATAATTAAATAAAACAACTTACTAATTAATTTATAAATATATTGAAATATGCGTTTTAAGGTACAAAAATAAAGGTATTAATTTATTTATTTTAGTATGAAAATATTTATTTTTTATAAACAATGTGTAGGAAAACTAAAACATATTATTGGACCACTTTACAGGGTTATAAGAAACATTATTATCAATGAGATTTTTTAACACTAATACAAAATTTTTAATTGTCAAAAAAAAATAAAAAAAATTGTAGATCTTATTTTTTTAAATTTAATTTAATTTTTTTAATAAAATATTTATTACTTAGTATAAATATGCCGCCCATGTATATAATAGTGAGTTTATTTTAAATTAAATAATTTAAACATGTACCAGATCATAAGCCTTAAATTAAAAACTAATTATTGAAAAAATCTATTAAAATATATAATGTAGAATCTACATTGTAAATACTTTATTATAATAATAATGTATAATATCTAATAGATAAAAAATATGGGCACAGAAATATTATAGAATAGAAAGACAAAAAATATTTTAAAGAAAAAAATTAAAAATTATTTTTAACGCACAATGATTTTACCAAGGTGTCGACATTGAAAGGTTGCCTTGTTGCAACCCGATGACGTCACGTTTTCGTTTATTGAATTTGTATGTTAAAATCCGCCATTGGAACCCGAAAAATTAGTTCGTTAACTATAATAAACTAATGTTAAGGAATTTAGAGATCTATTCTCTGTGTATTGCCTATAAATTTAGATTATAATACCGCGAATAGATTAATATTATTGAACGTTTCATCAAAAATCGTTGCAGTCTTTCAAAAATAATCGTGTTTTTTTATATTCTATCTGTAGAAACTTGTGAAAAATACGAAAGCAATATAAAATTTAAATGAGTGCCTGAAATTACTACAAACACTGTTAAATTTTGTGTTGTTTTATTAAATATACTGAGGAACAGAAAAAAGATTCTTATAATTTTTTGTATTACTACATGCATTTCGAAGTGCAGTTATAACTTTCAATTATTTTTTGTACGTCAACCAAAACGAAATTGTCACCAAATATACAAGGATATTTTTTCTGGTTTCTCTGTGTTAATATTAAAAAACTATATTCCATTATATTATCAAGTATGGTGCTTATATAATATTATAAATATATCGATGATGGTAGAAAACTCACTGGTAAAAATATTTGAAATTAACTAAAAAACTAAAAAATATTTTTACTCGTGACTAAAGCGTATGTATAAGAAGCTTAATGTTTAATAATAAAATATTTCAAAGACGAAGTGTTTTTGTTATCCTTTCATCGCTAAAAAATAAACCTTGATCACAGATCGTAGGTATATGGGTCGTTTTAAAAAAACACCCGCCTTCCGCTGCTCGTAAGTTTGAATTCCAATAACTTTGTTAAAAATTATCGGATCTTATTGATTTAAAAACCAAGTGAAAGCCCAACAAGCCCTTAGTAAACTCTTTCAGAAAATGTTTGTTTAGTTATTTCAGAATATTTATTTTTTAATTTTGAAACTTGTAAAACACACATTTTCGCATGTCCCATTAGCGTTTTATAAAACTTACATACATGTTTTTTTTTTAATATTGAATAACCAGAACTTTGTGTTGCTTTATAGCAATCCATAACATCCTTAGTTAATAAAGTAAACAATTTATATATAAATTAATTAATTTTAATCTACTTTTTTTAAATTTCACTCATGTCCCAGACATTTTTTCCGTTGCGTTACCGATAGAATATTTAAAAAAACATATTACCCAGCTGAATTTATTTATTCAATCAGGAAGAAGATATCGGTTGAAACAGGTGCGGGTAACGCGAATGTAATAATTGTTTGTCCGCTAAGTTACTCAAAGAAATAATACAAATAAGGTAAGAAAAAATACTATTTTTCATGTTTATGTTTATTTTAGGGCACTAAAGCTCATTCAGAGTAATTAATTACTGTAATGTTTTATTATTATTTTTTAAATATGGTTTCACAAAACTTTGTCCACTGCGTTACCGAGTCCATTACGTTACCTTATGGTAAGGCAATGAAATTTAGGGTAACGCAATAGAATTTTTCGACAACAAAGTGGATATTTACCGTCGCTTTTATTAAAAGTAGTTTATGATAAACCAATTTAAAATTATTTGTGATTACAACTCATGATATAGATTACATCCAAGGGAAAATTCCACGCAATATACAAGACACCAGCTTATAGTCAAAGAAAAAGGTTGTCTATAATTTAGAAATCTAAGTTGTTATTCTGCAAGTGAGCACAACTACAAGGGATTTTGTTTATGCATTACTCTAAAATCGTACCACCCTATATAGTTTCTTTTTTACGTTATCTGATTAAGTCCTTTGTGTACCCCAGTCCGTTGTGATACCATTGTCTATTTCGTTACTTTTTTTAGTTTTTGTTAAAAAAAATCCTTAAAATGATTTTACTATCACTTGGTAATACCTGTTTATAAATTAGAGTTTAACTCACTAATATAGTGACTAAAAGAAAATATTAATGGTATTGTTTTTTTGTGTACCTTTGTGTACCCCAGTCCGTTGTGATACCATTGTCTATTTCGTTACTTTTTTTAGTTTTTGTTAAAAAAAATCCTTAAAATGATTTTACTATCACTTGGTAATACCTGTTTATAAATTAGAGTTTAACTCACTAATATAGTGACTAAAAGAAAATATTAATGGTATTGTTTTTTTAATAAAGAATCGGAATGGTGTCTTGTAAAAAGTAACTTAACTAACATAAATATTTAAAAAAGGCATACAATTTAAAAAAAAAATAAAATTGGAGTCAAAAGTTTGTGAACTAAGTACATTTTATTTCAAATTATTTTTATAACAACTTTTTTATTGAATTAAATTTTGGATTTCAAATTGGTAACACAGTGGAGACATATAAAGCTAGCTAAACACATTTTTCTGAAAAAAAACGTAAAAAAAATTAAAAAGTGCACTGCCTGTCTTAAATGTAAGTAAACAAAACTCTAAACATTTATAAAAATACAACCAAAAGTCAATTTAAGCAAAGAAAAAATTTGATCTTCATTTTCCTGAAAATGACCCATATCATTAAATGATTTAAATAAATTGACATATCTTTAAACAAAAGTCAAAAAGTCACAGTTTGTTTTCAATGTGTTAAACAAATTTCACAATGGAGAAAAAAGAAATAACTAACGTACAAGTATTGTATAGAGAATGGGGTTTTTACCTGACAGCCCTGGAGCAATATGCGAGATGTAAAACCCCAAAACCAAAATACCAAAAAATTCTTAAAAACCCTTTTTATAGCTTTACCATATTTCAATAAGGCTTACGAAAAAAACCCTGCCGACATTGGAACATTGCTAGGAAGATCTTGGGCCCTTTCCAAAGTCGTGAGCTATAAAGATGCGTTAATCGACGTCAACAAAGCTATAGAGTTAGCCCCAGATAACCTCATAGCAAGAGCACATAAAGCTCTAATAACATACCTAACATGCGAGTTTGAAGAAGCGTTGGTCCAAAATAGAAGGTTAATACCTTTGAGGAAGAAGCCTGAAAACTTCGTAATGGGAGTTATGCATGTATGTTTCTACACGGGTGTTAAACTTGCTTTATAGAGTTTTTTATAGTGCACTGAAGCAATACAAAACTGCCTTGGTGATCGGTGTGGTAGACCTTTAAGAGATCATTTTATAATTATTAGGAGACTTGCTTGGAAAGATCATTACGCTTCTCTTAAACCCTTTACACCAGCACCCAGACAAAGCCTATTAAAACCTGAAAAAAGGAGGGAAAAAAAGAAGAAAAAGAAACCTGTAGAGATTGTTAAAGAAGATAGCAAAGAAGAAGTAGCAATAGAGGAAGATTATATCTCTGGTTTGAAAAAAAATCTTTCATTATACCTCTATGAAAATACTACGTTTTCATGTCTACTATTGGGTGGACCATAAAGATGAGAATAATGATTATAATTATGATGATTATAATTAAAAATTTGTTCAAAACAGCTCATCCTTATAGACCACCCGGTACAAAGATAGTGTATTATCCTTGGAGGATATTATTACGATATAAGAAAAAACCTTGATGAAATTATTCCAGATATTCTGGATACATTGCATAGTGACGTAACGGAGGAAGATTATATTCCACGTTTCACGAAACCATTCCCTTATAAGCCACTGCAAAACTACACTAAAAACATCAAGAACTACATGGCGGAAAAATATCTGGAGTCGATGTATTTGGATAAAATTTACTTGAAAAAAATTCGTACTGAAAAAGGAATAAAATCGCCAAACTTTAATGGTACAGCCAAAATAAAAAGCTTGGCTTTGAATGGATATAAAACGGTCTGCTACAAACAAGTATTTTCTTACGTTACCTTAAACACTTTTTAGATGAGGGTTTTTAGGAATTGCTGCGCACTAGGAGACCATTTTACTACCTGAAATATCTCGAGGTGCACTCCACAGGTGCATTAAAATCCAGACAAGATGAACAATTCCAGATACTGCAAGAAAATGCCACGAAATATGCCGATAAAAGAATCAAAGCTTTGAATTTTGGTCTTGCGAATAAAGATTGGAAATATGTTTTGACAAACGCTGAAAACCTAATGGCTTTTTGCGAAAAAACTCCTAAGAATCTACTAAATAATAGAGACATGTATATGAGTGCTGTATACAGTTCTGTATGCAATGCTCACTATGATATGAAACGTATCAATAATAACCAATCAGAACATGATCAATTGAAAAGAGTAATGGTTACATTTGGTTTCCCTATATCTCGGACTCCATCCAGAGATTCTGTCATTGCTCAATATAGAGACAACATTATTGATCACAAGTACTTATATTGTATTACTTTTTAGCGCAGCTATAAATTAACTTTTTTCGACAGCAAATACATCACACTATATCAAGAACGCTTGAGAAATGCCGAAACTCCAGAAGAACTGGCCTGGATTTACCACGAACTATCCAGATTCTACTCCGATAAGAAACGATACGAATTATCCAGACTGTACGCCAAAAAATGTCTAACCGAAGGCAGAATTTGCGACAACACCAAATGGGTCATCAATGCCCTAACATTAATTATAAAAGTAAACCTTTTGCAATCCCACAAAAACGATGCCAAAAACGAAATACTAAGAGCCATAGATGTTAGTAAAGAAATTGGTGACCCTGCTGTCAAAAAGTTTATGGAGAAGGTAACCAATTTTGACAGTTGTTTGACTTTTGAATGCTGCGACAAACTTGACATTTTTTATATTTTTTCATTTAAACGCAACGTTACCTTAAATTGTAAATTGGAAGTTTGTATTTTCCACAGACCACCAAAACAAATGGACGACGCATTGCCATTCAATAACAATGCTTTGTTTGCGGTCAACAAACGGTCACAGTCTAAGCGTCAAATTGGAGATAGAATTTTATGTTTTCTTCTAGTGACGTCAACAAACGGTCACAGTCTAAGCGTTAAATTGGCGATAGAATTTTATGTTTTCTTCCAGTGACGTATTGGGATTAAAAAAATAATAAGTAGGTAGGTACTTACAAACGATATTTCCATGTATTGTTATTTTTACTAAAAAATAATGTATTTAAACTATATAATTAACTTAAACACGATAGAAATACACAAACGAAAACACAAAACAACAAGCTGTCAACCTTTTTCTATGCTGTCAAATATGACGAATTTACCAGCGTTGTTAATATTTAATTTTAATAATTATTAAATGATTTGCTTTCTTTAAATAGAGAAAAATATCTAAAGAAAATGATGAATAAATCCTTTTTACAATTTTTTTATTATTCAAACGAATTACTGGTAATTATTAATGTTCATTATGTTATGATGAACGTCCAAAAAGGCTTGTAATCTATACTTCTGACAACGTTGGAAGCCGTGTTTCTTTCAACGGTGTTTAGAATGTGAAACTATGCTTTACTCGCTTTTTAAACGTAAACAAATCCGTCCATTTGTTTTGGTGGTCTGTGCAAAAAACAAAAAATTTAACCTCAAATCCAAAACACATCTGTCAATAATACAATTAAGGTTAGTTCACACCACGATTCGTTCAAGTGGCATTCGTGTGCGCCACGTTGCCAACTTTTGTGCGATGTTGCCGTGTTTTAGGCGCTAGTGGTGACCACAGTGTATAACTTTGAGGAGTTGCAAGGTTCCAAGGAGTTGGAGGCGCGCGAAAGGAAGATCATTAGTTTGATGGCGGATACGTCGATGAAAAACGAGGCCGCTCACTTGTTTAGAATGATGGCAATCATGCCTGCCAAACGTAGAATGTCGGTTATGCCCGGAGTTAAGCTTGAGGATCCGGTGAAAAGAGTGGTAAAATGGTTTTTGTTTTCTTTTTTTGGGTTTTGTATTGTTTTTTTTTTCAGAGCAATAAAAAAATGTCCATAATGCCTGGGCCTCAAAAGGAAGCAATGGATTTGGATTATTATTAAATAAGAAATAAAATTCACATCGATACTTTTTATTCTGTAGGTACTAAATATACACTTAAATATATAAAAAATATAATTTTTTTTACAATTTCATTAATTTTTTATTAATAATAATAATAATAATATTTAAAATCAAAAAGTAAAATAAATAATAGGGGTAGATTTTTTAATTAAAAAAATTGTCCTTCCCCAGGAAAGCCTATTAAAGAGTTCCATGGCCATAGCCAAAGCCTTTCTTGTACTGGGTCTTTACAAGAATATAAGCCTAGATAGCACACAAAGTCTTGAAGATGTATTTTGTACGTCTGAAGATTTAAAAAAGACGTCTGAAAGATATCTTCATTTAATATTCTAAAGACATCTTATAAATGCCTGATACCGCCGTTATTTTTTTTAAATTTTTTGATAAAATAGTGAATTTTAACAAGTCAAATCAGCGACTTCATTGTAAGATATAATTAGGTAACATCGTATTTTGGTGTAATAAAAACAACATTAATATACACAGAAAAAACGCTTTGATATAGTCAATAACAATTCTATAATTGATTGTTTTTTCATTTCTCCAATAAAAGTTACGGTTTATTTAATCAAATATGTTTGGAGCAATTGAAGGTAAGGGATTGATGTTATTACAAATATTATATTCAGCCCATAACAAAATATTATCAAGTTAAAATTACTTGTTATAGAGTGAATGGCTCTTTAGATTTAAACCTAATGGAAATGTGTACTTCCTTGAAAATTATAGAAATGATTGCATTCAAAGTTTATCTGATCGAGGCAAAATTAACAATATTTAATTAAATATAACATTGATTTATATTAAAAGTTATAATGCTTCAACCAAAAATTAAAAACAAATGAAATAAGATTAGTCTTTATTTCTTTTAATGTTTATGATTTTTATTCCAATGGAAACTAAGGTAAAGTAAGTTATTACTATCTTACAGTGAATAACAATGTCTTGAAAAATACTTGTTATTTGCCCAATTATCATTCCATTTTTTTCAATACGGCCTATATTCAATTTAATGATTGCTAAAATTCAGACAAACGCGCCAGGGCATCCCCTGCCACACCACACATCGGCAACCTGCAATCGGGTATAGCTATAGTTAAATGTGATCAACTGATTAATCTGTATTTCTGGTGACGCCAATTGATATAAGTGTATACATATATGGGTTATCTCTGGATGGGGTAGTGTTTGGTTGTTTGTTATATTTGCTAATTTCTTGGGGGTTGTACCTGCTAATCCCGAATTTACAAGGTAAGTTGTACATGTTTTTTAATTGTATGTCCGCCATGCATTATCCAGTAATTTAATTACTCAATTATATCTAAATAATAACAAAAAGGTAAATGTGTACAGTTTATCTTGATATTCGGTGTCATACCTTAAAATAGTTATTTTGCTTAAATGGGCGAAGTTTTTATTTATTTATAAAAAAATGTCTCATAGTCTTTTAGTACCATCATGAAATCCTTGCAGGGCGTCCTGAAAGTACATATTGCTTTAGGACTTTCAGCAATCTTTAGGATTCGCCTTTAAATACACAAGATGAAATTCCTACTTCGTTTTAGAATAACCATGTGCCTTGGCAGACAGATCCTGCACATCCAGTACAGTAACTGTTGCTAGTGATGGGTCAGCAACTTTCTTAGAGCCTAATATCACCAACACTTCTAGTAGGTTCCTAAAAGTTCCCACAGAAAACAGAACAGTTTCATTTTATGGATCGAAAAACCTGTGTACACAAGACTAACAGAAGCAGTTTCCAAAATTCATTTTATTTCAGTTCATATTAATGTACCTATTATAAAACTAATATTTGCACAAGAATATACATATTTAAAGGGAATAGAGCTTTGATTGCATTTAATGTAGCCATTCATTAGGAACCATAACTTTATTTATGCCAATGATAGTTTTTTATTAAGATTCATTGTGGCTTCAATTAAATAACAATAAAAGTAAGACAATCATTCATTTGATCATGGATGTAATTCAGGGATTGCAAATACAGTACACCATTGGCTTAATGGTTAACCCATTCACAATATTTTTCTCTGTGTAGGATTTTGAGTTTTGACAATGATTTTTAAAAGCATTATATTCTACATTTTAATTACTTAATACCTTAAAAACGTTTTGGCGATGTACACAGAAAAAAAGGAATGGTTAATTTAACTATATTAATTTAGTTGACCCATATTTATTTAAATCAACCGTGGGAGAGTTAATATAAACAAAGATTAGTTGGACGGTACTAAACCAGATAGTCATTTTATTTTTCTAAATTGGTTAAATTGTATGGTTCAGTTTACTAAATATGTTGTTTGTAAAATAAGAGTTACTTCAACCTTAAGCACTCTGTTAAAATGATTAAAACATTTGCCGTGCATTCCTGGTTGCATAGTATGTACCGATCGCGGCAAAAGCGGTGTGGATCGCGTGATGTTCTTAAATCTCGCCTCTGTTGACTTACATGAAGAGTATATAAGGTGAGGTACTTCTTTGCTCTGGTGTGACACTACAAGTTGTTCGATACTAAAGAGACCTTGAATAGGTGAAAACAGCTGTCAATACTTGAAGTATTTTATTAAGTTGGTGGAACGCACTAAAACAATATCTCTAGCGAGGTGAAGGTTTAATTATCTGGAATAATACCTCTGGTATTATACTAGTAATGCGTCAAGGAACTTCCTGTTTTTTGAAGAATATAAGAAAATGGCTTAAAAATATGTTTCTACTCCAAACATTTCAAGATCTTATTTTTATTGTTAGGTATATAAATGCGCCAAACGATATGGGTAAGTTGTACCAAGCCGTTAACCTAGTTAGGGTAACAAATTATATTTAGTCAATTCAACCTAATATATTTAGTACATTGGACTGGTAGGTAAAGGTCACTTGAACTATATAAATGTTTGTTTCAACCAAATATATAGTTGTAAAATATAACCAAATGCGGTTGTTAAAAGAACTAAATGTTTGGTTGGCTCTATTGAAACAACATATTTAGTTAAATGAAACAAATAATAGTTGGGCTAACTAAACCTTTTTTTCTGTGTAGCAATGCATAACCGAGACGTTTTCAATAGGTAGTCTTTAACATCTTAGACTTAATAATGCCGTTAAAAGGACATCTTAAAGACGCTGTGTTTTGTAACATTAGATATCTTAAAGACGTCTCCAGAGATAAAGAAGGACGTCTCGTGACACGTCGTAAACTGGACGACATCTTTAAGATATCTTTAAGATGTATCTGTGCTATCTGGGAGGTAATGCACCAAATTTTAGAAATATTAATACAGACCAAGTCAAAGAATTTAGTAGAAAGGTATAATAATTATATCAATTATTGATAAGGTTAAAATTGGGGCAATTGCGAAAATAGTATATTATTTATCAAGTTTGATAAACGCCACAAACGAGTTGCATAATATACTTTTTCTAATTCTATTATGGAATATGACCGTTCTAATATCACTTTTATCTATGGAATGACATATATTCCGTAAAGTGTTACAGAATGAAATATTCTATCATGTGATGACAGAATAAACACTCGTGGCGACCTCTCTGTTTTTAATATCTAACAAATTTTAGACCGATCCAACCTCACTTTCTTCCAATTAAATTATTTGTCTATGGTATTTTTTGGAAACGTAGAAAAAGTATAGTCTGAAACACGTTTGGAATTGCATATTCCCCTCTCGTGAAACCGCCTTCGGCTCGTGTGACAATTTTTTCACTCGAGTGGAATATGCCGTATTACAGAATATACTATTTTCTACGACAAATAATTATTATTATCTAAAACTGATTCAAAGCAGTATTGAATCTTTAAAAGATTTAGCTTGCCACATTTGTAACTTTAACCTGCCATATCAGAACCTTTAGCACTCCCTATAAAAATAGTAATAGTTCTTGTAAGTACCTTTATTGACTACCGTTACCTACCCTTGCCATTAAAGTATCATTTTGCGATATTTGCGATATTTATCTACAATTTATAGTAGATGAAAGGCAACGGTATTATGAAAAAAATATATATATAAAATTCGAAAGGACAGTTTATACAGACACGTTGTATATGTTTAACAAAAGTCAAAAGTCACAAATATTTATTTTTTGTTAATCTGAAAAATTTCGCAATGGAGAAAAAAGAAATAACTAACGTACAAGTACTGTATAGAGAATGGGGTTTCTACTTGACAGTCCTGGAGCAATATGCAAGATGTAAAACCCTAAAACCAAAATATAACAAACATTAAAAAAAACCTTTTTATAGCTTTACCACATTTCAATAAGGCATACGAAAAAAATCCTACGGACATTAGAACATTGCTGGGAAGATCTTGGGCCCTTTCCAAAGTCGTGAGCTATGAAGATGCCTTAATCGACGTTAACAAAGCTATAGAATTAGCCCCGGATAACCTCATAGCAAGAGCACATAAAGCTCTAATAACATACCTAACATGCGAGTTTGAAGAAGCGTTGGTCCAAAATATAAGGTTAATACCTTTGAGGAAGAAGCCTGAAAACTTCGTGATGGGAGTTATGCATGTATGTTTCTACACGGGGGGTTAAAATTGTTTTATAGAGGTTTTTTATAGTGCACTGAAGCAATACAAAACTGCCTAGGAGAGAGGTGTGGTAGACCTTTAAGGGATCATTTTAAAATTATTAGAAGACTTGCTTGGAAAGACTATTATGCTTCTCTTAAACCCTTTACACCTAAACCCAGAAAAAGCCTATTAAAGCCTATAAAGAGGAGGGAAAAAAAGAAGAAGAAAAAGAAACCTGTAGAGATTGTTAAAGAAGATAGTAAAGAAGGAATAACAATAGAGGAAGACCACCTCTCTGGTTTGAAAAGCATTATTTCGTTTTATTTTTATGATAATACTGTTTTTATGTCTACTATCGGGTGGACCATTTAATTTTATCAAACCCGCTTCTCATTTAGGACCACCTTTCTGAGATTATCAATTTTTTGTAAGATAGACAATTTTTGCTTTTATTTTTTAAGTAGAATCAAAGTGATAATGCTTTAAGATAAAAGACCTATTTTCGTGACTTAATTATTCCAGATATTCTGGATACATTGCATAGTAACGTAACGGAGGAAGATTATATTCCACGTTTCAACAAACCATTCCCTTATAAGCCATTGCAAAACTACACTAGAAACATCAAGAACTACATGGCGGAAAAATATCTTGAGTCGATGTATTTGGATAAAATTTACTTGAAAAAAATTCGTACCGAAAAAGGAATAAAATCGCCAAACTTTATTGGTACAGCCAAAATAAAAAGCTTGGCTTTGAATGGATATAAAACCGTCTGCTACAAACAAGTATTTTGTTACGTTACCTTAAACACTTTTTAGATGAGGGTTTTTAGGAATTGCTGCGCACTAGGAGACCATTTTACTACCTGAAATACCTGGAGGTGCATTCCACAGGCGAATTAAAATCCAGACAAGATAAACAATTCCAGATACTGCAAGAAAATGCCACGAAATATGCCGATAAAAGAATCAAAGCTTTGAATTTTGGTCTTGCGAATAAAGATTGGAAATATGTTTTGACAAACGCTGAAAACCTAATGGCTTTTTGCGAAAAAACTCCCAAGAATCTTCTAAATAATAGAGACATGTATATGAGTGCTGTATACAGTTCTGTATGCAATGCTCACTATGACATGAAACGTATAAATAATAACCAATCAGAACATGATCAATTGAAAAGAGTAATGGTTACATTTGGTTTCCCCATATCTCGGACTCCATCCAGAGACTCCATCATTGCCCAATATAGGGAAAACATTATTGATTACAAGTAATTTTATTATTATATGCTTTTCAGGGTAGTTATAAATTAACTTTTTTTAACAGCAAATACATCGCTCTATACCAAGAACGCTTGAGAAATGCCGAAACTTCAGAAGAAATGGCCTGGATTTACCACGAACTATCCAGATTCTACTCCGATAAGAAACGATACGAATTATCCAGACTGTACGCCAAAAAATGCCTAACCGAAGGCAGAATTTGCGACAACACCAAATGGGTCATCAACGCCCTAACCTTAATTATAAAAGCAAACTTTTTGCAATCCCACAAAAACGATGCCAAAAACGAAATCCTAAGAGCCATAGATGTTAGTAACGAAATTGGTGACCCTACTGTCAAAAACTTTATGGAGAAGGTAACCAATATTGACAGTTGTTTGACGTTTGTTAAATGTACTTTGACAGATTTCTAAATCCTTGACATTTGCTTAGAAATGTAAGGTAAACAATTTTCCAAGAATATAATGGAGATTATAATTGGAAAATTGTAAGGTATACCTAACATTTTTGATATAAGTACGGCACGTATTTGTACGTGGCCAACTATCCTGTATCTATATATACCTAATTGGAAGTTTGCACATTTTTAAAAAATGGTCTTAAAACAAAGTTTGGACATTATTTTTGGTAGTTTTTGAAGATCCGGATTTTAGTTATTAGTAGTTATTATTAGTATTATTAAAGTTTGGACATGTATTTTTGGTAGTTTTTGAAGATCCGGATTTTAGTTATTAGTAGAGCCCGGATTATATACAACAAAAAACGCCTTAAATATGCATAAAAAATGCTTAAAATAGGCAATAAAAATTATGAAACTCTTTAATGCACAAAAAGATATAGAAAACTTAACCTTAAATCCAAAACACTTCTGTCAATAGTACCATTAAGGTAAACATTCATGTGCGCCACGTTGCCAACTTTTGCGCGATGTTTCAGGCGCTAGTGGTGACCACAGTGTTTAACTTTGAAGAGTTGCAAGGTTCCAAGGAGTTGGAGGAGCGCGAAAAAAAGATTATTAGATTGATGGCGGATACGTCGATGCAGAACGAGGCCGCTCACTTGTTCAGAATGATGGCAACAATGCCTGCCAAACGTAGAATGACAGTTATGCCCGGTGTTAAACTTGAGGATCCAACGAAAAAAGTGGTAAAATGTTTTTTGTTTTTTTTTGTTGGGTTTTTTATTGTTGTTTTTTTTCAGAAAAATAAAAGAATGTCCATAATGCCGAGCCCTAAAAAGCAAGCAATGGATATGGAATATTATTGAATGAAAAGAAATAATATTCACATCGATACTTTTTATTCTGTAGGTACTAAATATACAATTAAATACACAAAAACATGTTTTTATACAAGTTCTTCTACGCTTCCTAAATAATTTGTCAGGGTTGTACTTGAGTTTACTTAATTATTTTAATAAATATTTCTTAATTTTTGATTTTGATTTTTTCCAGTTATTTGGTATTAAATTTGGAGTGAGTAGCAACAGTGATTGTGCGATAGCGACATTTAATTTATAACCACTGTCCGTGGTGTCCTGATTAGGGTTTTAAAGTATCGGGAAAAACCCGAAAAAATTGGGGAAAAACAGTTTTTTCCGTTTTTTCCCCAGGCCTTGGAAAATTGTCTTTTTTGGGAATTTTTTTTTTTAATATACACATTTGAAAAAAAGTGGTTCAGGTTAAAAATTAATTTAAAAATCCGAAACTTTGGGAATACCTTTAGAAGAGTCAAAAAGTAAGAAATGTTTACCAAAATTTTCAAAAATGTTGTTTTTTGCAAGAAATGGCGGATGCGCCGGGATTAATTTATAAAAACCCAATAACTTAAAAAAAATATTTTACAAAAAATCTGTCAACGTCATTTTAAAAAGACCATTTTTCTTGATATATCCCTCAACTTTTATACAACTATCATAAAAATTGTGGAGGATATAATTTTGTATGTAAAAAATTAATTTTTGCTTTTTCCAAATTAATCCCGGCGCATTCGCCATTTTTGCAAAACATTTTTAAAAATTTTAGCATATCATTTAAATTAATTAAATACATATTCGTTTTATGAAAAATATATTCTAAAAATTGTATTAGGATTAAGAAATAAAATGATTGCTTAGGATAAAGAGAGAAAGTGGGAGAGATTGTGTGTAGGCTTTTAAAGTGTCGAAAAAAAACGGAAAAATTGGGGAAAAACCTGTTTTTTTTTCGTTTTTTTCGGCCTTGCAAAAATTGTCTTTTTTGGAAAAAATTGAATTTTTTTTTAAATGTACACATTTGAAAAAAGTGGCAATCAACAAGTTAACATTATTTTAAATAAAAAAAAATCCCCAATTACAAAAAAAAACTAAATATTAAATTAAATTAAAAAAAAATAAACGTAAACGTAAAATATACTGTCTGTTGTTTTTTTTTTGTTGCAAAAAGGAGTACATTAAAAATATCTAACTATAAAATAATGAATGATTTATAAAGTTAAATTACAAAATTATAATTTTATAAATCGAAGTGTTAAATAAAAATTATGTTAATACAGCACCGAATAGGTTTTTTTGTGGCCCGGTAGAATATTTTTACTGAATTAAAGAAAGGAATAATTTTTATAATCATAATATTATATGATTATAATCAGCGTCGGAAATTCACTTTTTTCTCGATAATATTCGTAAAAATTTGGAAATTTTCAAAAAAATTTGCATTTTTTCGTATTACCCTTTGAATAAAATTTAAGAAATTAAAAAATAAATTTTTCTGAAAATTCCTCAATTTTTCCGTTTTTTTCCGGAAAAACGGTTTTTTTCCTCCGGCTCAATTTTTCCGGAAATTTTAAAACCCTAATCCTGATATAAAAAGCCCATTTTGAATTACTATCCTGTAAATTGTATTAGGTGCCGGCCGGCGATATCGAGCCTGTTAATTTATTTACTCCTTTTTTTCTAACAGTTGATTGAGCCTGAATTCTAATAAATATTACATGAAAAATTATGTAACAGTAATTTAAATTCAACAGTAAATAATTATAAAAACTTTATTTGGAGGATGGATACCTAATGCAGATGAAATACTTGACGGATAAAGTTACATTTAAAATACAAAAATAGGGACTAAGACTCTACTTTTATCCAACAAATAAGCAATCAAACAAAGAAACAAACTAAAAAATTAAAACGATGGGCATCAACGCATGTCAACTTGATGTATTATTTATCTAATGATATTTGTATATATATTTAATTATATTATATGTGGGTTGTGCTCGCAGTAAGGAGATATTGTGTGGTTTTAAGGGTTTGTAGGATGTCCCTTTCTTTCAGAGTTCTCTTACAGAAAAATAAGTTAAATGTCGATTGGGTTACGGATATTGTTGCTTTATCCAAGTAAATATTGTTTGTTATACATTTTAATGTTTTATACGTTTAACTCTCTCCCATAATTCCTCATTTTGTAAGGTTTTATGAGAGATAATTATATAAAAATAAACGGGAGCCTTCCAGGTGTTTGACCTGTTTTCAAACGTAATTTATTATCTTTTATTTACTGTATTTCCCTTTTAATACTTTCCTCATGAATACAACACCTCAAAAGTATCTTGGGTTACTAAATTAATGAGCTTTATTACCGTAAGTATTTATTTTATTTATTTGTCGTAATTTAATATAACATGTTGTACGCTTACACTATCTATAATGAATAGTAAATAAAAGGCAACTTCATCAGTAGAAAAAATAGAAAGTATATTTTTAAAACTTGACTGTTTACACCTTGAATAATTAAGGTTATAGACACATTGTATATTTTTGAAAAAAGTCAAAGTCATATTTGTTAATTTTTTTTTAATCTTATCAGAAAATTTCGCAATGGAGAAAAAGGAAATTACTAACGTACAAGTACTGTATAGGGAATGGGGTTTTTACTTGACAGTCCTGGAGCAATATGCAAGATGTAAAACCCTAACCAAAATATAACAAACATTAAAAAAAACTTTTTATAGCTTTACCATATTTCAATAAGGCATACGAAAAAAGCCCTACAGATATTAAAACATTGCTGGGAAGAGCCTGGGCCCTTTCCAAAGACGTGAACTATAAAGATGCCTTAATCGACGTTAACAAAGCTATAGAGTTAGCCCCGGATAACCTCATAGCAAGAGCACATAAAGCTCTGATAACATACTTAACATGCGAGTTTGAAGAAGCGTTGGTCCAAAATAGAAGGTTAATACCTTTGAGAAACAAGCCTGAAAACTTCGTAATGGGAGTTATGCATGTATGTATGTACACGGGGGGTTAAAATTGTTTTATAGAGGTTTTTTATAGTGCACTGAAGCAATACAAAACTGCCTAGGACAGAGGTGTGGTAGACCTTTAAGAGATCATTTTAAAATTATTAGGAGACTTGCTTGGAAAGACCATTATGCTTCTCTTAAATCCTTCACACCTAAACCCAGAAAAAGACTATTAAAACCTGTGAAAAGAAGCGAAAAAAAGAAGATAAAGAAACCTGTACCTATTGTTACAGAAGGTAGTAAAGTTGGAGTAACAATAGAGGAAGATCATACATCTGGTTTGAAAAAAATTATTTCGTTATACCTCTATAAAAATACTGTTTTTATGTCTACTATCGGGTGGACCATAAATATGAGCAGTTTTAATTTCATCATTGCTTTGGGGATACTGGAAAAGCCAGATTGACAACAAAAATCCAGTCACAATTATTAAGAAAAATATTTACTTAGATAGAAATTTTAGGCAAAGTTGAGGGTCCAGATTAAAATAGTGTTTGCAACGGAATGGTGCAAATCAGGATGGTGCTATTTGCATGAAAATATTTCCCCAATTGTTTTATTTAATATAATTAAAAAATACATTTTTTTGTTATAATTTGTTTAAAACCGCTTATCATGGTCCACCCGACACAAAGATAGTGGCCAATATTTTTATTGTTTTTAAAGAGGGACATTAAAACAGCTGATGCTTTAGAAGAAAAAACCTTGATGAAATTATTCCAGATATTCTGGATACATTGCATAGTAACGTAACGGATGAAGAAAATATTCCACGTTACACAAAGCCATTCCTTTATAAGCCATTGCAAAACTACACTAGAAACATAAAAAACTACATGGCAGAAAAATATCTGGAGTCAATGTATTTGGATAAAATTTACTTGAACCAAATTCGTACTGAAAAAGGAATAAAATCGCCAAACTTTAATGGTACAGCCAAAATAAAAGGCTTGGCTTTGAATGGATATAAAACGGTCTGCTACAAACAAGTATTTTGTTACCTTACCTTAAACACTTTTTAGATGAGGGTTTTTAGGAATTGCTGCGCACTAGGAGACCATTTTACTACCTGAAATACCTCGAGGCGCACTCCACAGGTGCATTAAAATCCAGACAAGAAAAACAATTTCAGTTACTGCAAGAAAAGGCTACGAAATATGCCGATAAAAGAATCAAAGCTATAAATTTTGGTCTTGCGAATAAACATTGGAAATATGTCTTGACAAACGCTGAAAACCTCAGGGCTTTTTGCGAAAAAACTCCCAAGAATCTACTAAATAATAGAGACATGTATATGAGTGCTGTATACAGTTCTGTATGCAATGCTCACTATGATATGAAACGTATAAATAATAACCAATCAGAACACGATCAATTGAAAAGAGTCCTGGTTACATTTGGTTTTCCCATATCTCGGACTCCATCCAGAGATTCTGTCATTGCTCAATATAGGAACAACATTATTGATAACAAGTACTTTTATTATTATATGCTTTCTAGGGTAGTTATAAATTAACTTTTTTTGACAGCAAATACATCGCTTTATACAAAGAACGCTTGAGAAATGCTGAAACTCGAGAAGAAATGGCCTGGATTTACCACGAACTATCCAGATTCTACTCCGATAAGAAACATTACGATTTATCGAGAATGTACGCCAAAAAATGCCTAACCGAAGGCAGAATTTGCGACAACACCAAATGGGTCATCAATGCCCTTACCCTAATTATAAAAGCAAACCTTCTGCAATCCCACAAAAACGATGCCAAAAACGAAATCCTAAGGGCCATTGATGTTAGTAACGAAATTGGCGACCCTACTGTCAGAATGTTTATGAAGAAGGTTAGGAAAATTATATCCAGGAGCTTTAACTCCATAGAAATATTGAGGACGCGTTTTCCATCTATTCGCGAATGTGGAGTTGAAGCTCCTAAATCTCTAAAGCCTCATTTATAGATTGCCTTCCTTCCTTCCTTCCTTCCTCCCGTAAAAGATGAACAATATGAAAATCGTAGTATAGATTCCAGCACGGTTTTTATATTGTTCATCTTTTACGTGAGGAAGGAAGGTAGGCAATCTATAAATCAGGCTTAAATGTTAAATTTGGAATTTATGGACATTTGTTTAAAAATGTAAGGTAACAGTTTTTCCAAGTTTTTCATACATTTTTAATTTCAAAGTTTGACCATTAAATTTTGCACCGCCAATTTACCTTGTATAGTATACCAGGCAACTTATGTGTGCCACGTTGCCAACTTTTGTGCGGTGTTGCCGTGTTTCAGGCGCTAGTGGTGACCACAGTTATGAACTTTGAAGAGTTGCAAGGTTCTAAGGAGGTGGAAAAGCGCGAAAAGAAGATTATTGGTTTGATGGCGGATACGTCGATGAAAAACGAGGCCGATCACTTGTTTAGAATAATGTCAACAATGCCTGCCACACGTAGAATGTCGGTTATGCCCGGAGTTAAGCTTGAAGATCCGGTGAAAATAGTGGTAAAATGGTTTTTGCATTTTTTGCGTTTTTTTATTGTTGTTTTATTCCAGAGTAATAAAAGAATGTCTATAATGCCTGGCCCTAAAAAGGAAGCAATGTATGTGGATTATTAAATAAAAATTATATTCACATCGATACTTTTTATTCTGTACTAAATTTACAATTAAATACATAAAAAACTATTTTTTTATTTTTATACAATTTCATCTAGGATCAATAATTTGTTGTTTCAGTCGTCTTAAAAAATGGCTTTCATTAATTAATAATCATAAACATAATCAAAACCGAAAAAGTAATATAAATTAAATACAAAATGATATGTTTTTCAATAAAAATGGTCCTCCACCAAAAATAAATACGGGGTGTCAAATAAATAAATAAAGGTTATTCTAATACGTTAAAAATTATTTAAGCCTTATACGCGCGTACACAGGGTGGGCTCAAAGTAAAAAATACATTTAAATGCAGTTTTTGCGTTCGTGATTATTTTAACCCATCCTGTATTTTGTTAATTACACACTGAACACATTGTTTCCTATGAATTAAACGCTATACAAAATTTTCGCTAGTTAACACCAATTATACACAATATATACAAAATTGTTTATTATATTAAAGTTGATTAAACAAGCAAGTCGAATCACGTAAAACTCTTAAATATTTGGAGGTTAAAATATTAAAACTAATATGGCTACATTATTTAAGGAGAAATAAATATGACTGATCCGCATAAAAAGGTTTTAGTTGTGTGGATCAGCATAGCTAATAAAGTGATGTTTTTGAGGCTGAATCAAGTTACCATGATTATAAAACAATTTTTTTTGACAACTGAGGAGCGATCAGACAAAACGAGACAAATCCATTTTAGTGATTTTCAGAAATAAGTCAAAAGCAAAAGAATTCTTTTATTTTTGACTTGTTACTGCAAATCACTAAAATGGATTTGTCTCGTTTTGTCTGATAGCTCCTCAACTGTCAAAAATAGGTTAGACCACAATCCACACAACAAGTTTAACGGCGGCCATTTTTGTTGTTTACAATTCTTGTGCTTTGGGTTTGTGCTGTTTATACAGAGACACTTCTAGGCTTTAAAGGCCTTAAACTGCTTAGGACAACTATTTTACTCCTCTTGTAAAAAAAATAAACCTTATTTATAAAACTGCCAAATGTCAATTTTAAGGTTAATTTATAACCCACAAATTAACCTTCAAATTGACATCTGTTTCGGAGTTCGATTTTGTTGGTGCTAGGTACGGACCGCTCAATGAAAATATAGGTGAAGAGTCACCTAGGAGGGACAAAATTGGATTCCCGGAATAGAAATATTCCTGTTGCACGATAATATTCCTCGATTGGTACTTTTACAAAGGATAAGAGGAATTTATATAAAGCTAAAATTTGTAAGGTTACATAACCTATTTGTGTCCACGTGTTTGTTAGACAACCGTTGTCCAATGGTTTTTGGTTCTTCTGTAATCATTGGACGTTAAAACTTGTACCTGGTTAATAAGGACTTTTGTCAAGGACCATAAGGGCGGTGGTTGAGCCGTAAGTCCGCCCAAGTTGAAGAAGAAGAAGAAGACATATGTTTCCTTTTTACCAGCAAGTTAACAGCCAACATACTACCCCGGATAACGGCTAAGAATCCAGACCTCTGGCTGATATGGTTTACACAGACCAAGGCCAATAAAGAAAAAGAAGAAGAAGATTGACATCACAGTAAAATGGTTGTCCTTAGCACTTTAAGGCCTCACTTGAGGCTTTCAAGTGCCTTTGGAAAAAACAAAACGTTTAAAACGAGTATTAAACAGCACAAACCCAAATCAGAATAATTGTAAACTAAAATGGCCGCCGTTAGTATGCGCGAAACGAGATAGAACAGACCTTGTTGGGTGGATTGTGGGTTATTAGTATTTATCTAAAAACTTTCGACAAAACTTGCAGGAAAAAGTCCAGTTCTCCCTGTACGCTGTTGGGTGCCTTTGTACCAGCCGTCCTCGCGTTTTTTGTGTACGTAGATAATATCGTTGACCTGCAATTCCAGCTCGTATTCGCTGTTCGGCGGATAGGGAGCTATGCACCGGAAGCGCTCTCTAACCGTTTGCGTTGCTGTTTTGGTCTTATTTCCTGCATCCAGCGAGTTCGATTTTCTGTGCCTGTGCACGTCAGGGCTGGAGCTGGAACTCCCAGCTGGGTTTTCCGATCTAAACCGAAACGAAAGGAAATGTAGAAACGAAACGAAACACGAAAAACAAGGCATGCAGTTAGGCTCGGCGAAATCAATCGAACACAAACCTGTGCGTTAACAAGCTAGGCCTTTCTTTGTGCTTGTGTCTTTGCGAGCTGGAACCGAACAAACGATGGTGCTGTTGGTCTTGCGGTGGCTGTATTTGCAGGAGCTGACTCGGACAGGACCCGGACCTGGTTAGCCACAGAAAACACAAAACGATTTAGTCGCGACAAAATCGTCTATAACTTTGAGGTCCAAGGAGCCAGATGGTTAAAATTTGTTTTGTATACCAAGTTATTATATTATAATATTGAACTAAAATTTGGTATAGTTAGCTCTTGTGGTTTCCGAGATATCTACGTTTGAAATTTGTAGTTAGACTTGGCACCAAGGTGCTAAGTGTTGTATCTACAAAACTATTAAAGCTAAAATTATCAAATTTATAACATATTTTAAGGCCACAAAAAACAATATTTCCGCCAAATTTGAACCTCGCATCTCCTCAAACTCCAGAGTTATAATCAATTCAATTTTCCCGACTAGATCTCACACAAGCAAATCGTCTATAACTTTGAAATCCAAGGAGCCAGATGGTTAAAATTTGTTTTGTATACCAAGTTATTATACTATAATATTGGACTAAAATTTGATATAGTTAGCTCTTGTGGTTTTCGAGATATCTACGTTTGAAATTTGTAGTTAGACTTGGCACCAAGGTGCTAAGTGTTGTATCTACAAAACTATTAAAGCTAAAATCATCAAATTTATAACATATTTTAAGGCCACAAAAAACAATATTTCCGCCAAATTTGAACCTCGCATCTCCTCAAACTCCAGAGTTATAATCAATTCAATTTTCCCGACTAGATCTCACACAAGCAAATCGTCTATAACTTTGAAATCCAAGGAGCCAGATGGTTAAAATTTGTTTTGTATACCAAGTTATTATACTATAATATTGGACTAAAATTTGATATAGTTAGCTCTTGTGGTTTACGAGATATCTACGTTTGAAATTTGTAGTTAGACTTGGCACCAAGGTGCTAAGTGTTGTATCTACAAAACTATTAAAGCTAAAATCATCAAATTTATAACATATTTTAAGGCCACAAAAAACGATATTTCCGCCAAATTTGAACCTCGCATCTCCTCAAACGCCAGAGTTATAATCAATTCAATTTTCCCGACTAGATCTCACACAAGCAAACGTGAGGGTTAAGACACAAAACATGACATGGAAGCGGTTTTTTTTAGTCGTTCGGACAGTTACCTAACGTGTACAGGGTGAGATGGCGAAGCGGTCTGTACTGTTATGTCCTCGAACACAGGGTTGTCCATGGAATAGGTGGAGGCAGGCGGCGATTTCGAGCGCTTCATGCTGGCCAGACGTCGCATCAGACCGCCCTTGTCTTTGCGATCTTTCGACTAAATAATACAATGTTATGATGATATGTTGCTTTTGTTGGAACATGTTAAAGTTAATTCAAATATCAAACATGCTAGGTTCAAAACATTCCTAAATAATAGCAAAATTATTTAACTTAAGTTATTTAAAAAAAAATGCATTTCATTAAGAAAAACCTAAAAAAAATTACTACCTGTTTATGCTTAAAAATCCTCAGTTAAAATTTAGTTAGATCTTGACTTAGTGCCATGGTATTTATTAATATGATGCAGAACCTTTAAATTTAAAATATTATACATGGTTGCTATTGTTATCAATAAAAAGTCAAAATATACAAGGTGTCCCAGAACGATAGCCAATACCAATACTTAGGATGCATTTCTGGGACACCCTGTCCAAACTATGAAAAATTGGGCTAGAATGTTAAAATTTCTTGAACTGTACTAAATTTTAAAAAAGTAAAACTAAATTGTTTAAATTCGGAATAACAATACTTAATTAAAACATTTATTATAATAAATTGTTGTTAATTGTTTTGGTCTGCTTTGTTTCTTAGATGTATAGACACTAAAAAAATCCGAAATCGGCAGTAAAGTAGTTAACAATCGGCAGTAAAGTAAAAGAAATCGGCAGTAAAGTAGAACTTTACTGCCGATTTAATACGAGTATTGTATGCAACGCATTATACATTTTAGGATGTGTCTACTGCTCCTCAGCAGCAACTAAATAATATTTGAACAAAAGTACCGTCGCGGAGGTCGATTGGACCCTTTCCTTAAATGTTGTTTGATAAAAATAATAAAGTTAATTTTATTAATTAGATTTAAAAATCACCGCGGCGGGCAAATACACTGCACGTCAAAATTAACGCATAATAAGTAAAACAATTTTAACTCTAAAACACCTTAACCAATCTTTATGAAATTTTGTATAAGAATACTTCAATTTTCAGTTTAGTTGTTCGAGGATTTTTCGAGAAAATATTTTTAAAGCCCTTTTATTTAATATTTAAAAAAAAAAACGTTCGAAAAAAATCTTTTGTAGGGAATTTTTTTAAGTAAATAAAAAATATGCCGTACCTATTTTTGTTAGTAAACACTGAAAATTTTGTACAAATCAAACGAACAGTAACGAAGATACAGCGCTTCAAATTCGGTAAAAAGGACCCCTTTTTGATTATTTTGCTGAAAAGTGGTCATTTTTGACGACTTTGAGGCGCTGCAGTACATGTACTTTGGTTACTGTTTGTTTGATTTGTACAACATTTTCATTGTATACTAACAAAAATACGGACTTTAACAGCATATTTTTTATTTCCTTAAAAAAAATTTCCCATAAAAGTTTTTTTCGAGCGTTTTTTTAATATTAAATAAAAGGGCTTTAAGGATATTTTTTCGAAAAACCCATGAAAACGTAAACTGAGATATAAGTTAAAGTATTTTTATCCAAAATTTTATAAAGATGGGTAAAGGCGTTTTAGAGTTAGTTAGAATTTTTTTACTTATGCGTTAATTTTTTCGGGCAGTGCATATCATAACCGTCGCAACAAACAGTATACGTAGACGCTTCCTACATTCAAGTGACATTTGATTTGATCATCAAAAGTGATTTCGGATAAAATTTAATATAAACCATTTTTTTATCACTTAAATGGTTATTTCCACATTCATGATAAAAAATACGACTTTACTGCCTTGATACATAAATAACTATTAATTGTATTTGACTCAAAAACATAAAGACCACATTTGGATTTATCGAAAATGAACCAAGCTCCAAAATCTTTTTCTGGGGTATACAAAATTATTTGCAAAATAATTAATTTTTAATGCTGCTCAAAAAATTAATAATATTAATATTATCACATGATTTGGGAACCTTCTCAATCCTTTTAAGAAAAGTTCTAAATAATGATTAATTATTAAATATGAGTTATTACTAAAGATGGGATATTTAGGTACTAAAAACTGAAAAATAGGTAACCAAAAAGGTACTAAAAAAAGCATTTTAGGTTAAAAAACAGCATTTTAAGTAAAAAAACAGCATTAAAAGTTCACGTTTCGTTTATAATTTTGTTTAGCCGCATACCCAAACACAGAACATACCCACAATAAACTATTTCTATGCAATAAACTGTGTTTCACTGAGTGACACTCACTACACAGAAGTGCTATGACAGAACATAAGCTCACTACAAGGAAGGTAACTGTAAAGAAAGTTACTGTTACAGTCTGTGACCATAAGAAAAAAGTTGCAAGCCCTGGATAAAATATTGGGGCAAAATTTAAAAATACGTAATAATAGGTAACAAATGGGTGAAAATAAACTGACAAATTAAAAAATATGTAACAAAAGTATAAAAAGGTAGTTTAAAGCAAAAACCTCCAAAAAAGGTAAAAAAGGTGAAAAAAATAGGTAACAAAAGTATAAAAAAGGAAGTTTAAAGAAAAAACCTCCAAGAAAGGTAAAAAAGGTGAAAACAAGTTAGGTTCATATAAAAGAAAATCTTTTAAAACACATTTTGGCATTATTGGTTTTCAAATAGTTAAATCAGTTGAAAAAAGGTAAAATAACTAAAACACGGTGCTGTTCTGAGAGGTGATTTTTGGACTTTCTGTGAAACCTAATTTTTTTTATATTCTTGTTAATTAGGTCATAACTAAAATTTTAAGAGCAAAATAAAAAAAAATTGACGGTTTCAATTGTTTTAATTTGCTGTTTATTAAAAATATTATGCACTCTTTCAATTATCCAATTAAAACTAGCGATTTAATTTAAATATTTAATATTTCCATAACTAAAAAAAGGTTTTTACAATTTTTTTTATATATTTTACTGTTTTGTTGCAATAAACGTTCAAACTTTTAATCTAACCTTTGACGTATATTTATGTTCCCTTAATTAATATATCCTTAAAGGTTGCCATGAAACTTAGATCTATTAAAAATTTATTTGACGTTTGAATTGTCATTTTTAGTATACGTATTCTATAATTTTTGTTTAGTTTTTTAAAGTGTTTTTTATAAACAAAAATGAAAAATTGTAGAAAAAATTACGAAAAAATTCATGAAATTTAACTAAGGACCGGTTTATTCATCTTTAGTAAAGTTTATCGGGCCGATAACTTTCATGTCTTGGCAATATCTAGTATCCAAAGAAATTATTTGTCAAATAAATCAAAAATGAATAAATCGGCCCTAAATAAAATGTGGCACCCTTAGAATTATTGTTTAATAAATGTATACTATACATTTATCCTTAAATTAAAACTTTAAACCTGTATTACAACAAAACAGTAAAAGATATAAAAAATGTATAGACCTTTTTTTAGGAAATTAACTAATCTTTAATCTGATTTAAAAAGTTATGATAATATTTAAATAAAATCGCAAGTTTTAATTGGAGAATTGAAAGTGTCCATACATATTTTTAATAAACATCCAATTAAAACAAAATTAACCGTCAAATTTTTTTTTATTTTGCTCTTAAAATTTTAGTTATGACCTTATTAACAAGAATATAAAAAAAAATTAGGTTTCACAGAAAGTCCAAAAATCACCTATCAGAACAGCACCGTGAAAATCCCATCCCTAGTTATAACAAATAATTTTTTCCAGGCCCAGAAAATTTTTGGCGCTTGGTTCCTTTTCGATAAGCGTTATCCATTTAGAAAGCAAAAACCCCCAAAAAACAGTTAACAATGTTAGACATGACACATGCACAAACCTTATCGGCACTCTTAGCTGGGGTTAGGTGGTGGCTGTTAGCGGACGTGGACATGACGGCGCTGCTGCTCCTGCCCAAGGGCGCCCCAGCCGCCCCCTCCTGCTGCCCGTGCCACGACGAGGAGATCGCCGTCGTGGCGGCGGCGGCGGCGGAGGAGGGGCTCTGCGCCCTGGGCGGCAGCTCCGGCGGGTTGCCGCTCCCGTTGTGCGAGGAGCGCGGCGAGCCGCCGCCCGACGAGCCTTTGCGCGTGTAACTTACGATCGATTTCGCGGAGGCGGCGGAGGCGGTTTCGCCGTCCCACGGGCCGCCCCTCGCCGGCGTCACGTAGTTGCCGGGAAAGACGCCGCACTTCTGCGTGCGGTTCGAGGTGCCCTTGAACCAGCCGTCCTGACATCTGAACAAAAACAAACAAAGTCTTTTGAACTTTCACTTCTTTTGCCGCGTTGAGAGTGGAATTTTATTAGCATGCAATGGCGCATAGCTGACGAAAATTTCAACAACGAGAAGTTAGTCGTCGAAGAAATCGACATTAGTGACAAAATTTCCGATATTTACAGAGTTTTCTAAACTTCAAAAACTTCGAAACCTTCAATATTGTTAAAATATTCAAAGTTTACAAAATAAATAAAACATTAATACGCTGAAGAAGCATCGGGTTTTCGTAACGCGCGCACCATCTGGTGGTGATAACATTGTGTGAATTCAAGCGTTGCCAGACCACGAAAAAATGTTGTACTTGAAAATGAAAAACGTACTATTTGACTAAAAAGGTACTGTTTTAAAATTTTGGTTATATTTCTTGCATCTATTTAATGTTAGTACTCGTTCTCGACAACTTGACCCTCCGGCGGTCACGCAATTTAAAACATACCAATATATTTCTTAGCATTGACAATTTGCTCCGTGGTCGCTTTTTATTTTTTTGAAGCCTCAATGATCTAGCCAGTCCAGTGGTACGTGTCAATAAAAAATTAATTGGGATTGAATTTTATATTAAAAATGGCAAACAACACCAATGAACGAATTATTTTACTTTAAGTTCATTTGCAGGAATCATGACAATTTTTAGTTTAAGATTTAAGAATGTAATATATGTATATTTTGGAATTTTTTTAGTTTTCTTTGTCATTTGTTTAAGTTTTAACTTTTTTGGCTGGGAAAGAAATTTTGCAAAACGTACTGACAGACCTTTAAAAGTACTGATTTCAGTACAAAAGGTAACCCTGTGTCAACCTCTTCTATCTCTGTTGTAAACAATTTATTTAAAACATACGAACTGTACATCATTTTTAAATAAATAAATAGTTTTTTCACAAATTTTGTTCAATTTCACATCTAAATCGTGCACGTTATTTGTGTTTTACGTTGCAAGGAAAAAATTTAAAAACTTTTTTAGTACTCGATTTCGATTGATTATTCCTTATATCATTGATTAAGAAACTCAGCGTTAAGTGTGTGTATTTTATCAAAGGGATCATGGTGAATTATTGTGTTTTTAATTGTAGATAAAATTCAAGAACTAAATCGTTGCATTTTCATGTTTTGCCAAAGGATCCAATTCGGTAAGTACATTTGTTGGTGCAGAATTAACTAAAGATAACTTTACCTAATATAATTTATATTTAAGTTTGGACATTTTTAAGAAATTAGTAAAAAAATGTTTGCACAAACATAACCTTAAAATCAACCATTTTTATATTTGAGTTCTCTAAAAAACGCCGACAACTGCATTTTAAACAACAAAATGTACTTACGAATTCATGACAACATAATATATTATATAATACATAATATAATGGTATTTTACCGTTGAGTGGAGACTTTAAAGAATTCTTAATCAACGCTTTTAATAATGCTAAATGCTGTTTAAATTTAGACGACTTATTTGTTTGACGATTATTACTGAATTGAAATGTTTACACTTTCCACGTTATCATTACTAAAATGTGTATTTATTGTATTTAATTTATATTTACAGAGACTGTATGCTATTTATTTCTTCATTCAAATTAACACTGTTTATTGGAAAATCGGTAAAAACTCAACCCAGGATTTCCTCTAGAAATACACCCAAGAACACAGCAAATCGATCCACGGTTTTTTCCGATATTTTTTTAACATTTTCCGGCTTTGTAACATAAGCGTTTGACAGCTAATTATTAAAAGTTCTACTTTTGTTACGATGATAACAGCCGAGTGGTGGCGCTACTAGCGATACTTCTTTAGCGTATTAGAACATGAAAAACTTAAAAATATTTTAAAAAAAAACTGAAAATAACATTGATATATAAGTGTCCTACCTTTCTGTCACCATATAAATTCCACCTTTTCTTAATTCCAACTCATCTGCTTTGTTTGGCTTGTATGGAAACAAAGCAATATAAGCTTTGGGTAATTGCAAATCCCCTGAGGTTGAAGAATGACCATTCCTACTTCTCCTTTCGCACCCCTAATTATTACATAAAAATACATTAAAAAACCTGCCTTCAAAATACATTTGCTCCATCTACCGCATTTTTATTTCAAATATTTCAAATGAACCCGATCGCCCCTAACCAGATGCATTGTAAGCAGATTGCCGTTGGCGACGATTTAGTTATGTTTTGCATTTGCTAGTGCGAATTTCGAGCGTTTTAACATTAATTAATTTCTTTTATTTAAAATTGTAAGTTATAATGTCCTACACATTTCAAGAGAAAATTGACATTATACGCTGGTCTTTAGTGGGCAATTCTCTACCGTCAAACAAGAGACCTCTGTGGGTAAAAGGCATAATGGGATAAGTCAAAAAAAGCAATTTTTCAATAGAGCCTTTAACGTGTTCGCATTAATTCAGGAAATATATTTATGTTTAACGGGTATACGTTTTTTTTAGCATATGACATGTGCTAATACGTTTAAGACTACTGAAAAATTGTTTTTTACTTATCCCCTTTTACCCACAGACCTCAGATATCTCAATAACAAACGTTATACAAAGGTTTAAAACAAATGGTTCTATTTTGGGGTGTAAATATAAATTGATGTGGATGCGGAGATTAAAGAAATAATAGTTTGTGCAATGGTAGAAGAAGATTCAAATAAATGGATTAACAAAATAGCCGAAGAGACCGGCATCGGTGCTCTATCCACCCGCTCTTCGGTCTAAGGTCGCAAACACTTACTTGAGCGTGTGCGGCGGCGGCGGTGGCGCCCTCTGCCGGTTGCAGTTCGACCGAGTGCCTGTGGCTGTTGGACGAGTGGTGAGCGTGCGGCAGCCCCGTGAAGCTGTGACGTTTCTCTTTGTTGTGGTGATGCGCAGAATGACCTTCGGATCGGGAGTGCACTGCGCCGCTAACGTTCGGCGATCGCTGCGCTGCGCCGGATTTCGAACAGTTTTGCAGAACGTCGGGTTTTCTATAAAGAAACGCGAAACGTTCTTTTTTTTGCGAACATTTTGTTAAACATAAACGTTTTTGTTGTATTTTACGTTTTGTGTTTAACATACACTGATAAAAATGATGGTAAAATTACATATTTTTTTACATATACAAAGTCTAAAAAAAGCAAATTGGACCAAAAAAGAAAGCAAAAAAAAATTTTTTTAATTATTATTATTGCTTTGAAAATTGTTTTATCTAAAATTTTTTTAATGTGATGGTCAGGGCAAAAAGTTCCGAGGCTCATGAAATGCCCTTTTTAGTTTTTTCAATAAAAAAATTAAATTTGTTATTTGTTATATTGTTAATCCTTTTAAATAATGCGATATAACAATTATTGTAATCTCGAATATCTCGGAAACGGTTTATTTTACCGAAGTTTGAGAGGTACACCTTTTTAATGTTAGCCGAACTGTGTAATCGAAAAATTGCATCAAATCTTATAAAAACCTAACCTCAAAGTTTATATGGGACAATAAGCTTAAAGCAACCCCCGTTTCTACGACACTGTGTTCAGTCGAACAATTGTAATTATGTGTGAATATGTGTTTTGGTAGTAAGTGACTGTTCGCAAGATATCACCTTTCCAAGACTACCATAGTAAAAGTTATATTAAAAAAACTGATATGATAAGTAACACTTTATCACCCGGTATCTTGGAAACATAATTAGAAAAAATATTTATTTAGATTTTCTTCTTATTTTTACTTGCTCAATCTTTTCCTAAATTTATGCCAATAAGTTTAGGGACACCTTGTATATTAAATATTAGGGTGGCCCAAAAAAAAGAATATTTTTTTCTCGTCTCCTGTAAAAATTTGTTAATTTATCATGCTGTAAGAGCCCTGTCAAAATATCAGCTCGATTCAAAATTTTTTAGGGGTCGCTCATGATTTTTAAAAATGTTCAAAATCGTCAAAAATTGAATATTTGTTTTATTTTAATTTATTTTTTGGTTGAAAATAATAAAAATTCTGTAAATTTAAAATCAATATTTTGATTTCCAAAGGTCGCTAAAAGTTCGTTGAAAAAAATCTTGATTAACCTTTAGAAATCAAAATATCGATTTGAAATTTTCAGAATCATTATTATTTTCAAATTAAAAAATAAAATCGGAACGAGAAAAAAAATTAAAATTAAAATTTTTTTTGACGATTTTGGAAATTTTTAAAAATCTTGAGCGGCCCCTAAAAAATTTGTAATAGAGCTGATCTTTTGACAGGGCTCTTAAAACATGACAAACCAAATTATTTTCACAAGGGACGAGAAAAAAAAATATTATTTTTTTTGGGCCACCCTAATATATATGTATAAAGCGTCTTTTTAGGGATTCTTTTTGTCGCGTGGCTTCAATAGGTTGACTATAATTATAAGTTGGAAGCGACTATAGCATTTGCAGTTTAATAGTAAATAAGAGGCCGATAATTAAAAAGTTTTAAAAAAGCAATAATTATTTTTATCGTTAAACACCGCCATCATTTTTCTTGATCCATCCTGATAGTGAAAAAGCCAAAAACCATATCAAATCCCAAAGTGTTGACTGATAAAAATATGAGTATTTTTAAATTAAGTATTATTTATTTAGTTGGTTAATATAATTAGTATTATATTATAATACCTTTCATACTTATATTGTTTTAATTTAAAGAATAATATAGGTATAGCTATATTATATTGCTGTTTATAAATAATAATATTATGTAGTATGTCAAATCAAAAAATGTTTTGTTCTTGTATATTTTCGACGACAATTATCTTAAATTATAATTTTACTTTAGCTTAGAAAATTTAGATTTAATCATGTAAATTTACACAACGATAATTTACATAAAAAATGTACAATTAAATTAAAATGTAATAAAACATGGAAAGTTACATATTATATTGTGGCGTCAAAATAACCAACGACTTTTTTTCTGTTTTTCCAAATGTATTTTTATTTAAATAACCCCTGTATTAAGGCGAACAAAAGAAATAAAAACTCCCGAGTTTTTGCATTTATATATATATATATATATTAGGGTGATTCATTTCCGCAAAGTTTTTGTTTTCTTCGGTGCTCAAGCAAAATATTAATCTGCAGATAGAAAAAAAAATTCTCAACAAGTTTGAGCTCTTAATATAAATTTTAAGTACTTATTATTTAAATTTAAAGTTTTACTGTTTAAAATGCATGTAAAAAATATATTTTTTTTTCAAATTTCTAATGCTTACCCACCTTTGACAATATTGCAAATCGGTTTAATACACCTTATGGGAAATTTCACGCTCTTTAAAATTGCTTTTGAGTTTTTTTGTAACTCGCATTGGTTCACCAGTAGGAGTCGTCAAAGGACAGTTTTTGAAAAAAATCGTTTTTTTTATATTTTTTCTAACAAACCGCAAAAAGTAGGGAGAAAAAAGGGCTGAATCATAAAAAAAGTTATCCAACCAATATTTAATGAATTTACAGCCATTTTTATAACTGAAAACGTAAGAAATTGATAATTACCAACTCATAATGTTATTTAGATTGATTTTTTCTATTTATTATCATTATATTTCTCTACACTAAGAAGTTTTTTAAAATTATTGATTTCTCACTTATAATGAATATGAAAACAACAGATAAATTCATAAAAAAACAATATGAAAATTGTAACGTGGATTTTGCAATTTTTCAACATTTCTGTCATATAGCAAAAAAATATAAATGAAGATTATTTAATTTTTTGAAGCGAAATTTGAAATATGTTACATAACCTTCTGTATATTCCGATTAAAGTTTTGTTGTTTTTTTATGAATTTATGTGTTGTTTTCATATTCATTATGAGTAACACAGACAAAATAGACTTGCCCTGTTCAGTATCGCTAACATGAAACCATCGTGTCATAAATCGGGGAAGGGGGGCAAGGGAATGTATACATTATATTATATATTATATAAGAGAAGATATGTATTCTGCCAGGCCCGCATTAAATAATTTCGTACGAGCGGTATCTAATTTAAAATATTCCTAGTGGATTATCAAAGAAATTCATCTAGTTTTACGCTCCAGAATAAACGAAGTACGGCTCTGTGCACAGGAGAGAACAATACAACATCTGTGTGCGCACGCAAGGTATTGACATGCAAAATTAATAAAATCGCTTAAAATTTATCTAGTAATTACTACTTACTGGAAAAAGGAAATTGGTTGAAATTGGCTGGAACTAGTTTCACTACGACTAGGACACACTTTGACAACACATTTACCCATAATGTTCAAAGAATTTTACATAAATAATAAAGGGTGTCCCATTAAGACCGCCTATTTTAAAATTTAAAAAAAATGCCGTGTTTATTTAAAAAGTTAAGATATTTTTATTGCAAGAAAGAGGGAAGACATGGAGGTTAAATATGGAACACAATATCCGATAAATGGCCGCCTCGTGACTGACGGCACACGTTGATTCTTTTGACAAAATTTTCGATTACATTTTGGCATAGTGCCGGCTCAATTTCATCAATGACCCGTCGAATCTCATGTTTTAGTTTAGGAACTGTTCTTGGGTTATTAGCATAAACCTTTTCCTTCAAAAAACCCCAAAGAAAGAAATCTAACGACGTCAAATCGCATGATCGGCCTGGCCACATCACATCCTCGCGGCGCGAGATAACTCTGCCTTCAAATTTTGTCCTCAATAATTCCATGGTTTCGTTGCTGTGCATGGTCTGCTGTCTTTAAATCTTCTGTCAACCGAATCTTTTACGCATGAAAATGCAGGTCTTTGGCCAAAATTCGCTGTAAACTGCTTCGAGAGAGTCTCAATTGATGGGAACGGTGGCGAATTGAGGTGGAAGAATTATGTTCAACACTTTCACTAACTGCTGCAATATTTTCAGCAGACCGAGCTGCACAAACATGGATATGTATCTTTTTGGTTTGAATTGACCCAATCGTTTCAAATTGCTCGATTATAATCGGACCACAGTACGGCGAGAAGGTGCGTTATGGTGACCAAAAAATCCTCGATATCTTCAAACCGTTTCCGAAAAATTATCACCGTTTCGATAGTGGATTTTTACAATTTCTATGCGTTGTGCGTCTGTGTAAATCTCCATGACTTAACCTCAATGTTCACACATGACCACTGTACAACTTCAACGCTATACGATTGACACAAAAAAAATGACACTAAATTTAAAATAGGCGGTCTTAATGGGACACCCTTTATATCCTCACAGGTCAACTGCTCAAATATGAATGATGCGAACTGGAAAACAGGCACCCGTTCAGGCACCCGCCCGGCCGTATCATTTTCTCCCTAAGGCAAGTCTATTTTGTCTGTGATGAGTAAGAAATCATAATAATTTTAAAAAAGTTCTTAGTATAGGGAAATATAATGATAATAAATAGAAAAAATCAATCTAAATAACATTATGGGTTGGTATTTATCAATTTCTTACGTTTTCAGTTATAAAAATGGCAGTAAATTCATTAAATATTGGTTGGATAACTTTTTTTTATGAATAAGCCCTTTTATCTCACTACTTTTGGCGATTTGCTCGAAAAAATAAAAAATAAACGATTTTTTTCAAAAACTGTCCTTTGACGACTCCTACTGGTGAACCAATGCGAGTTACAAAAAAAACTCAAAAGCAATTTTAAAGAGCGTGAAATTCCCCATAAGGTGTATTAAACCGATTTGCAATATTGTCAATGGTGGGTAAGCATTAGAAATTTTAAATATATATATATTTTTTACATGCATTTCAAACGGTAAAACTTTAAATTTAAATAGTAAGTGCTTAAAATTAATATTAAGAGCTCAAACTTGGTGAGAATGTTTTTTCCTATATGCAGATTAATATTTTGCTTGAGCACCGAAAAAAAAACAAAAATTTTGCGGAAATGAATCACCCTAATATATATAGAAGATAGAAGAAGAAGATATGGTTTTAACAGTTGCTCTTTGTCTGAGTCCGCTCTATATTTCGAGATTCACATGATTAAATCAAAAACTTGATAAAAAAATTAGTTAATTTTACTTACTGTGCGATGTTCTTGGGCGGCAGCTGCTGCCCCCTGGCGGGCGGCGAGGCGGGCGACGACGGCGCCGTGCTGGACGTCGAGGACGACGTGTTGCTACTGGAGATGTTCGGCGTGGACGAGCTGCCGCTGCTGCTCACCGTCGAGCTCGAATCGGAAGTGGCCAGATGCGTTGTTTGCGCAGCTGCTGCGGCCGCGGACTGCGCAGCTGCCGGTAGAGGGGGCTGCGCGACGGGTTGCTGCTGTTGCTGCTGGGAGACGACTGTGCGCGTGTGATCGGTAGGTATCAAAGGGGTGCTGTCTTCGGCGGTGGGGGTCGGGGGGGCCAGGCGGGACGGACCCGGTTGAGCGCTAAAAAGATGGAACGCATAATAATAATAATAATCTTTATTCATGTTAATATGTACAGTAGGGTGTCCCAAAAAAAAAGAATATTTTTTTTCTTCTCGTCTCTTGTGAAAATATGTTGGTTTGTCATGTTTTAAGAGCCCTGTCAAAAGATCAGCACCATTAAAAAATGTTTAGGGGTCGCTCAAGATTTTTAAAAATTACCAAAATCGTCAAAAATTGGATTTTTTTTTATTTTAATTTTTTTTCTCTTTCTGATATTATTTTTTAATTTAAAAATAATAATGATTCTGAAAATTTCAAATCGATATTTTAATTTCTAAAGGTCGCTCAAGATTTTTTTAACTTTCAAAGTAGAGTATTTTGAATGTTTTCGAGTGACCTCTAAATATAAATATCAACGAACTTTTAGCGACCTTTAGAAATCAAAATATTGATTTGAAATTTACAGAATTTTTATTATTTTCAACCTAAAAAATAATATCGAGGCGAGAAAAAGAAATATAATAAAACAAAAATTCAATTTTTGACCATTTTGAAAATTTTTAAAAATCTTGAGCGACCCCTACAAAATTTTTAATCGAGCTGATATTTTGAAAGGGCTCTCACAGCATGATAAACTAACAGATTTTTACAAGAGACAAGAAAAAAAAATATATTCTTTTTTTTTGGGACACCCTAATGTACAGTTACATTTACACAAGTCAAGGAAAAGATACAAATTAAAAAAAATGTATATGTTAAAAGAAATTATACAATACAAAAATTTAAAATTTAAGGTAGGACATATACATCAAATATTTGATCATAGATCTAAAATAATAACATTATGCAGGGAAAAAAACAAGTAATAATTTTAATATTAAAATTTACAAAGACAGGTCACATGTTAAAAATTCGTTTAAACAATAAAACGCTTTAGTCAGTAAAAGTTTCTTAAGACGTGCTTTAAATTGTTTTAGGGGTAACTTTTTTATTTAATTCGGAAGTCTATTATAGAAATTAGGAGCAAAGTAATTTGACGCATCCCTAGATCTATTTATCCTATGAAATTCAATATGGATATTATTCCTACTTCTTGTTTGATAATGGTGTATGTTGTTTTGTGTAGTATAAATATTGATATTTGATTTTACATATACCAAGGCATTTAATAAATATTGACAAGGGACAGTTAAAACGTTTAAATCTTTAAACGATTGACGACAATCAGCTCTATAATTTAGATTACAAATAATTGAATCGAGAATACCTTAGCAGCTCTAGGAGAGTGACTCCAGATTAGAATGCCATAGGACAAAATGGAGTGAACTAGTCCAAAGTATGCATTCACTAGAGTACCCTGAGAAACAGATTCCCTTAGTTTTCTAAAGACAAACTACCCACTTTTTATTCCAAGGTCAACACCAGACTGTCCCTTATTTAGAGATGCGACTTGAAAAAAACGGTCCGTTTTTTTGTTTTTTTCAGGTTTTTTTTCAAATGTTTTTTTCCACATTTTAGGTTTTTTTTCAAAATTAGTCCCATTTGCCTAATTTTTTGTTTCCAGTCCAGTTCATGGACTAAAATTAGTCACTAAATGACAATTAGTAAATGTAAATACAGTCTCGCGCTATGCACGCGCCACCACCACCGAATTGACCAATAAGGGCCGCACTTGATTTTTCAAAAAGCTACCAAAAGCACTTTTTTCATGATTTTCCAAATTCATGTAGAGTATGGATTTTTTTTTAAACAATAGCAAATTCTTGTAGAAATGTATTCATCGGTGGTTAATTCAGAACATTCCGTAGACCAGAAAGCCAAAAAAAATTCGATTTTTTTATTACGGTATTCGTTAGGATTGAGCGTTGCACGTTTTTCATCTAAAAATCTAAAAACTAGAAACTTCAAGCTTCATATTTCTTTTTTTACGACCATTTTTAACAAAAATCTCAAGAATCGCAAAACATTTTTTTATCCTTTAATTTTTTGTATTAGTATAGAAGTTTTACATCTAATGTGGAAACTACCAAATAATAAGAAATCAGATTTTTTAGTCTCGGTCAAAATTTTCAATAATGAAAAATGTAATATATTCTACATTTCACTTTATTATTAATATACATTTTACTTAAAATTTCATTTTGAAAAAAAAACAAAAAAAAACCGTTTTTTTTCTAGGTTTTATTTCACATCTGAAAAAAAACCGTTTTTTTACATCTGTACCCTTATTAATTATAGAAATATATTTTTGACAAAATAACTATAAACCTATGATGTAAAAAAATCATCCTATTTTTTTTTAAAACTATACACCACAATTTATGGCACGCCGTTTAACTTTTTAATCAGATAAGAAATATTAAGTTAAATATTAATACTTTAAAAAATAATTTGCACTGAAAAATAATATCTACATTAATTAAAATTACCTAGATGTTGAATTAATTTAGTGTTATTTTTATGTGTGCAATATTTTTGTGACACATTAATATTTAACTTAATATTTCTTATACAATTAAAAAGTAAAACGGCGTGCCATAATTAATTTTATGTTTGCGCATAATTTTAATTCTAATAAAGAATGATGCAATTAATTTTATGTTGAAAAATTTGACGTAGATAAATTAAAATTAATTATATAGGTACAGATAAAATTAATTCTATAATTACACTCACAGGCAAAATAATCGATCCACAAAAATTTTCGATGAATTTCAATCGCAAATAACTTTTTTATTTGAGTTCGTTAATATACAGTTTTAAACAAAAAGATGTTTTTTACCATAAGTTTAAGACACTCTGTAGAGTGGCAAAACCGTATATTGTTCTAAAATATGTTTTAATTATCAAGTCTATTTCTATTTTTAACAGTTTTGTTTTTGGTTCACCTTGATATATTTATTTTTGTGGAAAATATGTTTTTTTTTAAACAACATTGCAATTTCCAATATTTTTTCTGTAGAAGAACTAAGGTTGCTATGGTCCATCCATAGCCTATGGAGGGTGACAGTAACAGTTTTGTTGAATCATCCCATATTTGGACATGTCATATACGGCTTTCAAAAGCTATCAAATTGTTTTTTGTAAATTAATGTGTTAATTTTGAGGTGTCTTCTTACTTTTAAAAATGTATGTCTCCGACTGATGTTGCCCTTTGTACTTTACTTCTTGTGACGTTTAAAACACTTGCCACGTAATACTGTGACCGTCCATCCTGAATAAAATGGCTCTGGCAACATCAGTCCATTTTTATAAGTAAGAAGACACCTCAAAAGTTAACATTAATTTGCAAAAAACCATTTAATAGCTTTTGAAAGCTGTATATGACATGTCCAAGTATGGGAACAAAACTGTCACTGTCATCCTCCATAGCCTATGGATGGACCATAGCAAATCTTCATTGTACAGAAAAAATATTGTAAATTGCAATGTTTTTTAAAAAATTAATATTTTCCACAAACATAAATATATCGAGGTAAACCAAAAACAAAACTGTTAAAAATAGATGTGACTTGATAATAAAAACTTAATTTAGAACAATATACGGTTTTGCCACTTTACAGAGTGTCTTAAACTTATGGTAAAAAACATCTTTTTGTTTAAACCTGTATATTATAAACGTACGTGTATTTTTTAGTAATTTTTAAAATGTGAGCGATTCTCCATTAATTTATCTACAATATTCTTTATTATTCGTTTAAATCCGACATCAAATAAAAAAGTTATTTGCGATTGAAATTCATCGAAAATTTGTGTGGATCGATTATTTTGCCTGTGAGTGTATTAAATATAGATGACTTTTCGACCTAGTAGGGATAACATTGGATTCCGGGTATATAAATATACCTGTATTTTTGGACAAATCGCAAGGTTTGAACTTTTAACGAGGTATATTGTGATTTGTACAAAAGAATTAGTGGATGTTCCAAGATTGGAAAATTCGCGTGTCTATGGGTGGATGGGAAAATTGGTTTCTGCTCAAAATGGTACATTGAAACCGAGACCATTAAGGCTTCTGGCCACCAAGGAAGAAGAAAGAAGAAGTCATAATTTTAATTGTAACATAAAAATTCATTGGATTAATTTTATGAGTACACATAAAATTAATTGTAAAATAAAAATGATTGTCGTGTTATAAATAAGAAATTACAACTTAAATAATAATAAAAATCTTGTTACAAAGAAAAATTGTTCAACAAGGTTTTTAGTCTCAAAATAATTTCAATATAAATTTCAAAGTAAAAAAATAAAGAACATCATACCGAAATAAAAATAGACCAAATTTAAACGACGCAAATATTAATTCAACAAACTAAATAATATCTAAAATGTTTAAAAATATAAGTCAGGTAAAATATTTAAATTTTACAAAAAATGCGTATAAAATTAAAATGTGTCATAAAAAATAATTACTACTATCTGTTTCCATTAAATTTGTATGCTTGACATAATTTTATTTAATTATTATTATGTCAGACATAAATAAATTTTATAAAAAATTATATAGGTATTTCATAATTTTAAAAAACCTACTTCAATTTTCTTTTACATTTAAAACATTTACAATTAAAAAGTGAAATTGGGTGCCATAACAATATCTTTCTATTGTATTCTTAACAACTCAAATACAAAAATGTTGGTGTTAAACACACACTTTGTTGCACTTCCAACTCTCTATTTTATTGATTGAGCATAACTTTTTGAGAAAATTTCCTTTTTAAATTTATTTAGTATTTGTTATGCATAAAAATCTATGTAGATTACAAAACTAGTCGATTTTTTTATTTATGATAAAACATTATATAATAAAATAAAATAAAATTGTTTCCTTTACTAAAAATATCAAAAAAATGCCTTGTTTATCAACCTAAAAAACAAAACAAAAAACACTGAGTAAAACTTACTTTGAGGACAGCTTCATCAAGCTCCTGGCCAAGCTGTTTAACTCCACAAAAGCCAAAGGAAAAATGCCGATTTTTCCATTCAGCTTTCCTTCAGCCCAATTCTCATCAACCCTCCTTATTACATTGATGATGTCACCTTTACCAAAAGCAAGACAACCTTCTTCCTCATCATTTGTCATCCGAAAGTCATAGAGGGCTTTACACTGGGGTATATGGCTGGGTACAGGCGTTATAATGTGGACATAGCTCAAAGGAAATACCCCTGTTTTTCCCCCACATTCACCCTGGTACCAGTTTGTGTCGATTTTTTTACGTAGGATTATTATGTCGCCCCTTTTAAAACTAAGATCCCTAAAAATTAAAAGAAAACACTAAAATTATTAAAATAGGTTAGTTGTATAAAAATCTAGTTATAAAACATGAATGTGATTGTGTTGATGTTCCATGTAAATTAACGTTTTTTTAAACCAAATATAGTTATTTTTACTAGGAATAATTGAATTGAACAAAAAGATATGATTTAGTTCATCCTGATAATATTTAATTGTATTAATAAAATGCTGATAATAATTAAATAAACTAGCTTATTCATTAGAATAAAACAGTAGCTCTTAAAATAGCATATAACAAATAAATTATGCAACACAACAGTTAAAAATAAATTCATTCATTAATTCATACTTATATGGTAAGCCATGTGCCTTGAATATTGTTATTTATTTAGTATACAGGGTGATTTTGACATTATTATGACATTAAAATACTCTAGACCTCTTAATTATAGTATATTATGCAACTAGTTTCATAATAGAATATTAAAGAACTAATGTCATAAGACGTCATTTTGTGACAAAAGGTCTTATGACATGATTTCTTTATGCTATTTTATCTATTTTGCAAAAATTCTATAAAAAAATAATGTTATACCTTATATTTAATTTGGTCGAATTTTACTTTAGATAGTTGGTATCACATTGGTTTGAAGGATTAATGTCAAAATCGATTTGCCATGGCATCCTTAATTTACTTATTTACAATAAGCGGCTGTTAATGTTAAATAGGAAAAAAAGGATTTTCTTTGGTGTTAAACAAAATTTATTGCCAGAAAAGTCTAGTAAGTACTAGAAAAATCATAGAAATATTATAACCAATAAGTATGCAAAATATTATTTTACTAGTATGCTGTTTAAAGTTGCCAACCTATAAAATCAAAATTTTGGGTGGGGTAAAGTACCTCATTACAGCACCGAAAGCGGTGTTACAATAAACGCAAAATAGATAAACGTCATTTAACGAGTTTAATTATGCATAAGCGGAGCGATTTTTTAATAAACGAGTGAAGTTTATAAGTAAAACAAATTCCATACCATTCTTTGTCTACAAAAAACGGAATGTAATGTATTTTCAGAATTTAAGGTCAATTTTATTTGACATTTTATCTGACATCTAAGTACTGTCAAGTGATTTCAACCTTAATTTTTTCAAATCTGACATCTGTCAAACGGTTTTAGCCCCACTTTTTTCCAATTTAATGCACTGGTGCATTATGGAACTTAAAACACTGCATTAAATGTAGAAGTAAATAAATACAGTTATATCTAGCATATCTAGTAGACATTCTTAAGACAGTTATATTTAGCTTATCTTGACATTTTTAGACATTTATATTTAGCTGAAGTTGACATTTGAAAATATCTAGCTTGGAATTTTTTTTTCATCCACATTAAATTAAAATTTTTATGAAACAGTACTTTCTAACAATTTAAGTGACTTACCCTGCTTCTTTGGCATTGTAGTCGTACACAGCCTTAGCATAGGGCTGATGGTGCACAGAATGTGGCGAATTTGGTTTACCGACGTTGATTTTGTGCTCCGGGGTCCCCAAATGTTGATTAACAGCAACCGAATGCAATACATTGGGAGTATTATGATTTGGAGAATTTCTATTGCTTCTTTGTGTTTTTTTGGGTAGGTGATTCCTCATGCCCTCCAAAATCCTCATTAGGAGGACATTTGGGGGCAAGTCGTCCACTTTTATGCTGACCAAAACCCTGCATTCTGGACATCTTAGTTCTTTGTGTTTGTGAATTATTTCCAACAAGCATTTTTTACAGAAGGTATGCTGACAAGGCAAAACCTTACTTGAAGTGTCCAGACGTTCCAAACACACTGAACATTCCAATAAATCGTTCAGCAAAACCTCATCCATTATTTTTCACTATGTTCCTTGTGTAGGTTCTTCTACACCTTGCACTCGTCACAATTAAAATCACAACACCTGAACTTTCCTCCTTCTCGATAATTTCGGTGTTTTGTGGTCGCTTTTTTCATTCCTGGCATATTTTTGCTATTTTATAAATACTTCCGGTAATCAAAAAAGATCCACAGTCATTTTAGTTGGGTGCGGTGACTAACTTCACTTGTGGTAAAATGCGCGATTGACAAGTTTCACGGTTTTAATTGATCCTTTGTTGCCAAATCATGCATATCCTGTTAAGAAGTGAGATCAAAAGCACAAAAAATAGCAATATTTGGACTTTAAACATTCTCTTATTAGATATAAAAGTTACATTTTTATAATTTCACTTTATTAAAGCATTTTTAACCAAATTTTGGATCATTTTTAAAAAAATGATAGCCTGCGCTATCTACGAGACAGTATTCAAAGCTCCACATTGACTGACAGCTTTTAAGGTTAATAAATTTCGTTATTACCAACATTTTTTGAGTTTTTAATACATTTTAGGTTTAAAACGACTTTTTATTATAAACAAATGTAAATTTTTTTAATCCATTTTAATTATATATACATAAAATGTTGGTTTTCGTTAAAACAAATTTAAATTTAACTACAATTTTACAGCGCCATCTTCATGTGAGTTGCTAAGGTAACAATTAAATTTACAAATAATAAAGCATAGATGGCGCCAGGCGTAAATTTAATTTTTTCGCGTTTTTCTTTATGTTTTTAATGTTTATTAGTACAGAAAATCGTTTATTTAAGTTATAGCACAAAAACGCAATGTAATTTTGTTATTTTTGTGGTGATATTTGGTTTGTTTGGGTTGTTTTTTCAAAAAAGTCAACAAAGCGGGTGAGTTGGTGCGCAGGCGTGAGTTTTCTTTGCGAAGACGCGGCATCCAGAGCAACAACAACTTCAGTTTGAGAAGAAACGTACTGCGAGTAGGAGTGCGTCATGTCAAGTGAAATTAAACTTGGTGATCTTGTTTGGTGAGTGCCTAATTCGGCAAAAAAGTGTTGGTACGACGTCTAATGCTATAATTTGGTGTGTTTCAGGGCGAAAATGAAGGGGTTTTCCACTTGGCCGTCTCGTGTAAGTGTTATGCCGCCTCGGCGGTTATTCCCTCCCATTAGTGCGCGCGCGTCCCTAAAACTTAACCTAAACCCGATATTTACTGTTTATTTATGTTCTCTAACTTCTAATTGGACGTTTTTAGATCGTCAAGCCGGGGCCCAACGTGAGGAAAAACTCAAAAAAAGGACAAAGATGGGTGTACTTTTTTGGCACGCACGACTAGTGAGTTTTATCAATATTTTTACACAACAAGGTGTTTTCAATGTGATGCCATGTAAAAAAATATATGCGAACGTATTGGAAAACACCCTGTATTTTACTTTAGGTTTAGTTTTATTTGTATGTCGATTTTGGGTAATCAAACAACTGTAAAATAACGAGAAATTTAAAATTTAACCTAAAATATTTAATAATAAATTTTGTGGTTATAAAGCTCTAAAAAAGAAATTTTAAAAAATCTACAATTGATTTTTGTTATTTTATATAAATATTCCATCATTTTGATGTAATTTTTTAAGTTAATAAATTGGAAAAAAATTTCAAAAAGGCTTATTTCCCTGTCAGATTATTTTATAAAATTTCAAAAAAATTAAAAAACCTGTTGCCACCTTTTGGTTCTGTCATTTTAGCTTTTTAAAGACATTTTTAGTGTAAACAATGTTAAAAATTTCAGTGTATACAGATTGGTTCATTTTATACAGGGTCTTAATGAAAGGTTTTCAAAAAATTTACCAGGAGGTAGACTCACTTTTTTGGTTATTGATTTTTTGCCATTTTGGACCAGTGTTAAATAATAGTTTTTAATGTAAAAAAGGTCATCTTGTCTTATTCCAATTAGACACAGTTTTCTGTTCTAAAATTATGCATGGATATTTTTATATTTCCTATTTAATACAAGTTATTATTTAATTTACAAAAATCCACATAAATTTTGTTTTAATAAAATGATGGCACTGTTTTTAGAACAACATATGTAGGTAATTGTAAATAATTTTAAAAAGCCACCTCTTAAGTGTCATTGATTAGTAGCATAGTATTTTAAATATTTTACTTTACAAAACGACATTTTTTGATATTAAGAAAGTCAATGTCAAAAACACCCAAATGGCATCAGAGACATGCGTAATAATAATAGTTTATTTGCTTTCAAATAGCACTTAAGGTAAGTATAATAAGTATTAGTAGTAATAATAATACCTAATGATAATTTTACCAAATACCAAAATCGCATGCGCACTACAAAAATTTGTTCGCAATTGCGCATGTCCCTGACATCCATTTGACAGTCCAAATGCTTGGTAGAAACAACTGGTAAAAATGATATAAACTGGACCACCCTGTATATCTGATTCTCAAATATGGCTTATATTTAAGTATGTCAAGACATTCCTTTAAATCATATATTTTTGATGATTTTTATAAATTATTAGTTTTTTATAATTTAAAAAACTTTTTTAATGTTGAAAGTACTGTAGAAAACCGTTTTATAAACGTTAAAACCATATTTAAAAATATTAAGCTTGATTAAGAATCTAAAAATTCATTTTAAAATGTTAAAAATTAAATTTCTTTTTATACAACCCTATTTAAAAGTGTCAGCACCATATTTTAGAATATCAAGGCATATTTTAAATGACTTTTATTTTTATTTGACGATTTTTAAGATTGTTAAAATTGTTTTAGAATGACAAGATATATCATGACATACATAAGAGAATGTCAAACACGTTTTATTATGTCCATTCTACTTAATAATGTAAAATAGTACAGTCAATCTGTATTTTGACAGAGATTAAGAATGTCAAAATTTATTTTAGAATGTTAAAAACTCTTTTTAGACAACCCAATTTAAAAATGTTAACATGTTAGAATATCAAGGCGTATTTTAAAATGACACTTATATTTTTATTTGACGATTTTTAAGAATGTTAAAACTATTTAAGAATGACAAGATATATCATGAAATGCTTAAGAGTGTCAAACACGTTTTATACTGTCCATTTTACTTAATAATATAGAATAGTACAATCAATTTGCATTTTGACATCGATTAAGAATATCAAAATTTGTTTTAGAATGTTAAAAACACTTTTTAGAGAACCCCATTTAAAAATGTGAACACCATATTTTAGAATGTCAAGGCATATTTTAAAATTACACTTTCATTTTTATTTAAATACTTTTGAGAATGTTAAAACCTTTTTTAAGAGTGTCAAACTTTTTTAAGAATGACAAGACATTCTTAACAATGCCAAACACTTTTTAATATGTCCATTTATAATAATGTGGAATTGTACAGTTAATCTTTATTTTGACATAAAACAAGAATGTCAAAATTTATTTTAGAATGTTAAAAATAATTTTTAGACCACACTATTTAAAAAATTTAACACCATATTTTAGAATATCAAGGCACATTTTAAAACGACACTTTAAATTTTATTTGATGATTTATAAGAATATTAAAACCATATTTAAGAATGTCAAACTTATTAAAGAATAACAAGACATACACTCACGTGCAAAATAATCGGCCCACACAAATTTTCGATGAATTTCAATCGCAAATAACTTTTTTATTTGATGTCGGATTTAAACGAATATTAAAGAATATTGTAGATACATTAATGGACAATCGCTCACATTTAAAAAAAATACTAAAAAATAGACGTACGTTTATAATATACAGGTTTAAACAAAAATATGTTTTTTTACCATAAGTTTAAGACACTCTATAGAGTGGCAAAACCGTATATTGTTCTAAATTAAGTTTTATTTATCAAGTCACATCTATTCTTAACAGTTTTGTTTTTGGTTCACCTCGATATATTTATTTTTGTGGAAAATATGGATTTTTTTAAAAAACATTGCAACTTCCAATATTTTTCTGTATGAAGAACTAAGGTTGCTATGGTCCATCCATAGGCTATGGAGAATGACAGTGACAGTTTTGTTGAATCATCCCATACTTGGACATGTCATACACGGCTTTTAAAAGCTATCAAATTGTTTTTTGCAAATACATACTTAAGAATGTCAAACACGTTTTATACTGTCCATTTTACTTAATAATATAGAATAGTACAGTCAATTTATATTTTGACATTTATTAAGAATGTTAACACCATATTAGAATATCAACGCGTATTTTAAAATGACACTTATATTTTTATTTGACGATTTTTAAGAATTTTAAAACTATTTAAGAATGACTTAATAATATAGAATAGTACAGTCAATTTGTATTTTGACATCAATTAAGAATGTTAAAATTTATTTTAGAATGTTAAAAACACTTTTTAGACCACACTATTTAAAAAATTTAACACCATATTTTAGAATATCAAGGCACTTTTTAAAACGACACTTTTTATTTGACTATTTCTAAGAATGTTAAAACCCTATTTAAGAATGTCAAACTTATTTAAAAATAACAAGATCATGACATATTTAAGAATGTCAAACACGTTTAATAATTACTATTATACATTTTACTTGATAATATAGAATAGTACAGTCAACCTGTATTTTTAAATCGATTAAGAATGTCAAAATTTATGTTAGAATGTTAAAAACACTTTTTGGAGAACCTTATTTAAAAATGTGAACACCATGTTTTAGAATATTAAGGCACGTTTTAAAACGACACTTTAATTTTTATTTGACGGTTTCTAACCCTATTTAAGAATGTCAAACTTATTTAAGAACGACAAGACATATCAAATGAATGAATACCTATCTAGGCATATTTTAAAAATAAGACATTTAAACCTTCTTTTATGATTTTTTATCATAAGACATCTTGATGTTAGAATTCGCTTTCAAAATACTTTTAAATCGCCCTGTATAATAATTATAACACCTGTTTAACACATTTTTTAGCGGCTGGATAGAAGAGACCAACATCAAACCGTATGCGGAATATAAAAATAAATTTTCTAACGGTTGCAACAGTGCAAAGTTTAAACAGGGGATACACGAGATTGAGGACTTCATAAGCAAGCAAATAGTTAGTGAGCCTAGTGTAAAACAAGAGCGAGTCCTAATTTATTTCGATTATTACAGGAAAACCCCGAATTTGAGCGCATAGAGGAAGACTCCATTATGGAGGATGAGTCGGATGACGACAAATTCAACATGTTGGCTTCTTCGTCTGCACCATCGCCCAAGAAAGCCCGAAAGGTGGGTTGTGTGTGCAATTTTTTTTAAAGGGGGTTTGATAAAACAGACTTTTATTTTGTAGAGTTCCGATTCAAAGAGATCATCGGACAGTTTTCGCAGTTCTGTTACCAAAAAAGTTAAGCACTCACAGTCACCAAGGGAAGAAAATGGCGTTTCTTCTTATTTAGGAAATGAGCTTCTCAATCTTCCATCTGTTATGAGTGCACCAGTAAGTAATTTTTTTTTTATGTGAAAGATTTTATAATAATTATGCCCTTAATTATTAAAATATTAAAGTCAATTTTAAATATCTTCAGTTTGTAAATAAAAAGAAAATATTTAAAAAGATTTTTAATTTTTTTTAATATGAAATTAATATTTTATAATAAGTATGTCCTTAATTATATTAAAATATTGAATTCAATTTTATAAATATCTTCAGTTTGTAAATAAAAAGAAAATATTTGAAAAGATAAAAAAAATTATTGTGAAATTAATATTTTATAATAATTATGTCTTTAATTATTAAAATATTAAAGTAAATTTTAAATATCTTCAGTTTGTAAATAAAAAGAAAATATTTAAAAAGATTTTTTATTTTTTTTTTTTATGCGAAATTAATATTTTATAATAATTATATCCTTAATTATTGAAATATTAAAGTCAATTTTAAATATCTTCTGAAAAGATTTTAAAAAACATTTATTGTGAAATTAATATTTTATAATTATTATGTCTTTAATTATTAAAATATTTAAGTCAAATTTAAATATCTTCAGTTTGTAAATAAAAGGAAAATATTTAAAAAGATTTTTTATTTTTTTTTAATGTGAAATTAATATTTTATAATAAATGTTCTTAATTATTTTAAAATATTAAAGTCAATTTTAAATATCTTCAATTGGTAAATAAAAAGAAAATATTTGAAAACATTTATTGTGAAATTAATATTTTATAATAATTATGCCTTTAATTATTAAAATATTTAAGTCAATTTTAAATATCTTCAGTTTGTTAATAAAAAGAAAATATTTAAAACGATTTTTTTAATGTGAAATTAATATTTTATAATAATTATGCCTTTAATTATTAAAATATTTAAGTCAATTTTAAATATCTTCAGTTTGTAAATAAAAAGAAAATATTTAAAAAGATTATGTATTAAATATTTATACTTATAAATTTTTAATAAATCCATGAAAATATGTCCTAGGCATGCCTAGGAAACAATTATAAAAAATATAAAATAACAATAAATTAAAAAAAAAAAACCTGGAAATTTATGTAAGAAGATAATATTATGATTATTTTATAGTCACGACAAAAAAATATTTTATAAGGGCTTGTTGTGGATATGCAAATTTTTCAACAGGAAACCAAGTAACTTGAGGATTTTCTGTTACTCAAATATATTTCCAAAATTTTGAATAAATTAGCATGCATTATAATAAAGGTTTTTGGGAAAAATGTATGCTTGTTTATATTTTTTCGTTACAAGAAATTTGCGATACAATTAAATATTATTAACCAAGTGAAGAAAATGATTACAATCAAATCAAAAATTAAATAAAAATTAACATTTTATGAACGAATCCTAGTTTAAACTAACCTTAATAATACAATTGGTTTTGAGGTTAAGTTTTCTAACCTTGTTTTTTTTTTTAATTAATTGCCCCTAAATACTACTTTTTAATGTAAGAAAATTGAAATATTTCAATGAGAAGTGGGGTCATGTGACACATTGAAAAGGTATCATAACCAACTACTTATTTTTCAAATTGTACAGGTTGGAACAAAAAAATTGACAATTTTACCAAACATCGCCATTTTCGCGAAATTAAATTTTTTTTCGCCAAAAAGTCGTAACCGTATGATTTTTGTAGTATCTTAGAATTTTTATTGTATATTTTGAATCTTCGCATACGAGTTTTTTATTAAAAATTCAAAACGCTTTCGATGACCTTGAAGTCACGATGTTATAACGGATGTGTCAAGAATTTCGAATTAATCCAATATCTGTTTCTAGCATGTTTTCTAGGTTATGTTTAGTTTTTCTTCATAAATTTATTCTGTGGGTTTTATTACTCCCTGTATTTACTTCTGTCCAGTCTGACGTAAATAAATGAGCACTAACTTAAAGGTTATGTAGTTTACTGCCAGTACTGTCACCAGTTGACTGTTTTTTGTAATTTATCCAGTACTGACGCAACACTTAAATTAGAATGGCTACGCAAGCGCAATCTCTGCATTTTACTAACCTTATTTTTGGCTGCTGCTTCAGCTGCGAAAGTATGTAAAAAAAATGTATACACCTTTTTCGAAGCGGACGACAATAATAAGGAATATTTTGATTAATATTTCATCAATATTTAATGAAATAATTATTCTCAGCTCTTCACCAAATACACACCTATCGATTTCTTTATTCGACAACCATTTTTGCTGTCTAAAAGTTGTTTTTTACTGGAGCCACAGCAACTCTGCAACCAGCTGCTTCAGTAAAATTAAATCTGCCGTAAGTTTATAAAAAAGGTAGTATTTACTACTGAGAATGCGTTTTCAGTACTGCCAGTAAATTACGGAACATAACCAAAGTAACTTGCTTGGTCAATTCGTTTTGACACTTATAATTTTGTTGTTTGTTATCGTGATTAAGAATTAAACTGCCGCTATTTAAAGAAAATGTGTATTTACTGTATTTTTTAATTTCTGGTGTTTCTGGGGTCTGTAGATCAAATACCTTCAAGGTATTATGCGAATTTTAAAATACAGACGAAACAAATATTAATTAATGTTAAACATTACTTCGACTTCCTTATCTTTGTTTGCGTATTTTTCGACTTCCGATATACAAAAAAAATTGCAACCAAGAAGAATGGGGTAGTTAAATTTTTTCTGACCTATACTTTTTATGGTTTTATTCAAGGCGTTTTGTAATATTAAACATTTCTGTGAAATCAGAATTTCAATTGAGTTTACTGTTTTCGAGATATTTACAAAAAATATAAATTTTTATGACGTCACAAACCTCGCCATGTGACCAACATTCTAAGATTTCTATTGGTTGAAAATTACCCTGTTGTCAAGTTGTCTTGTTAATGATTTCATTCGGTTATGTCAGAAAATACCCGAAGAGGTTATGTACAAATACTGTTACTGTCAGTTGAGTGAAAGATGGTCACCAAATTCATTAAGTACCTATCTTCCTTATTACGAGGTATCATATTAATGTTTGATATTTTAGAGTCCAAGATATATCTAAAAGAATATAAAGAACTAGGCATTATACTAATAAAATGCATTTACGACAAAATATGATTATAATTATAGGTACCAACCATTCCACAAGATTCCTCTGCTTTGGAGTCCGTTATTAATAAATCACTTATGTAATATCAATTACAAATAACATAACAATAACATTGATTTTCAATAATATAAAAAAACATAACCCAAAAAAAATAAACGTCAAAAAATCAATTCTTCTTCTTCTTCTCAACTAAAATTATAGATCAAGTGGTTTTAAAACTAAAATATTATAACATGGCGCCATCTATCGTAAGAATCTTAAACTTAACACACTGGCAACCATAGAAAAAGCTGGCAACGTTATCAATAGCCTAGTGACGTAATTAGGAGATTTTTTTTGTAAATATCTCGAAAACGGTAAACTCAATTGAAATTCCGATTTTACAGAAATGTTTAAAATTACAAAACGCCTTGAATAAAACCATAAAAAGTATAGGTCAGAAAAAATTTAACTACCTCATTGTAAAATTATGAAAGATTCATTTGCAGTGTAAAGCCTGATTTATAGATTGCCTTCCTTCCTTCCTCCCGTAGAAAATGAACAATACGAAAATCGTAGTGCCACGGTTTTTGTATTGTTTATCTTCTACGGGAGGAAGGAAGGCAATATATAAATCAGGCTTAAAAACTGTTGCCTATCGTAATTTTTTTTTAAAGGAAACTCCACCAGTGGATCTGTCAAACTTCAGCGACCTTTTGAAAAACAAAAACATAACGCCTTCGACGTTGACGTTCGGGTTTTTGGGCGTCGGCGTCATCGGCTCCGGCATCGTCAAGAATCTCATCAACTCAGGGCACAGGGTCAACTTGTGGAGCAGATCATCCAGAAAGGTAAGAAATATTATTTCTTTTTTTCTTCTTCAGAAAATGCATTTTTATGGTTTTAGTGTTTCCATTGGGCAATTTAAACTTAAAATTATAATTTAGGTTGAATTTACCCTTCCTATAATATTCAGAACAAATCTCTTAGTCGTGACTTCACAAGTATCACAATTCAACTACCTGTAGGTTAAAATGTGCCCTGTTGTCAATTCGTGCCGCTTTAACATTTAACGCAGTCAAATAATTGGGGTTATGGATCTGTCAGTTTAACGCTGATTTCGTCTTATTTTCTAAGTAATACATTGGATGTATTGTTATGTATAAAGGTCTTAATGAACCGCATTTAAATGGGAAATTTGGAAAAATTAATTATATCATTTTTGCCATCTTTTTGAGGTTTTAGATGTCAAAAATGACAGTTAAAAGATGTCAAATAACAATAAATAATAAATCACTATTCTCATGGCTTGCTCAAGCGTCGTATTTCCATCTCTCCCTTACTTATGCACAGCCACATATTCCTTACGCCACGAAAACTTAAATGAGTATGATTGCTTTTACGTCGGCTCGCCTTAGAGTGTTTCATGTTCCTTGGCTTAAACTTCCGTAACAAGTTTGGATTTACCACGACCGCAAAGAAGTTTCAATTCGATTCGTTACTAGTCTCATTTTATCCCTATACGCTAAAGAAGTATCGCTAGTAGCGCCACCAACTCGGCTGTTATCATCGTAACATAATTAGAACTTTTGGTAATCAGCTGTCAAACGCTTGTGTTACAAACGAGTGTTTTTGAGAATTAAGCCGGAAAACGTTGTAAAATATCAAAAAAACGTGGCACGATTTGTTGTGTATTTCGAGAGGAAATCCTGGGTTGAGTTTTTATCGGTTTTCCAATAAACAGTGTCGATCCGAATGAAGAAATAAATTTCGTACAGCCCCTGTAAATATAAATTGTATCTATTAGATACAATAAATACACATTTTAGTAATGATTAACGTGAAAAGTGTAAACATTTCAATTCAGTAATAATCGTCAAACAAATAAGTCGTCTAAATTTAAACAGCATTTAGCATTATTAAAAGCGTTGATTAAGAATTCTTTAAAGTCTCCACTCAACGGTAAAATACCATTATATTATGTGTTATATATATAATATTATGTTGCCATGAATTCGTAGGTATATTTTGTTGTTTAAAATGCAGTTGTCGCCGTTTTTTAGAGAACTCAAATATAAAAATGGTTGATTTTAAGGTTATGTTTGTGCAAAAATTATGTTTTACTAATTTCTTAAAAATGTCCAAACTTAAATATAAATTATATTAGGTAAAGTTATCATTAGTTAATTCTGCACCAACAAATGTACTTACCGAATTGGATCCTTTGGCAAAACATGAAAATGCAACGATTTAGTTCTTGAATTTTATTTACAATTAAAAACACAATAATTCACCATGATTCCTTAGATAAAATACACACACTAACGTTGAGTTTCCTAATCAATGATATAAATAATAATCAATCGAAATCGAGTACTAAACCAGTTTTTTAGTTTTTTCCTTGCAACGTAAAACACAAATAACGTGCGCGATTTAGCTGTGCAATTGAACAAAATTTGTCGAGTAAGACTTCTGCCTTCCTATCTTTTGTGAAAAACTACCTATTTATTTAAAAATAATGTATAGTTCGTATGCTTTAAATGTATTGTTGGCGATTCTTAAATTCACTCAATACTCGATACTTCTTTAGCGTATAGCGTTTCCATGCCAAAATTGTTTTTGTTATTTAAAATTTCGGTGTTTTTTGGTACTGGTTAGAAACGTTTAGACTTTTTGTTACATCTTGAGCTCCGCTTTTTTAACGATACCAGTTTTGTTTCTATGCTATGTTTCGGTAGCAACCCTGGTTATGGAACACCAAAGAAGCATTGCTAGCCAACTCATGCAATAGTTTTAGTACAGCTTACTTCAATTGGTGACAAATCCGTTGATTGTCTCATATTCTGAAGGTGTTTAACATTTTGAAACTAAATTTCAAAGTTTTTAAGCATAAGCCAGAAATTTTTTGAAAAATAAAAAAAGTGTGCTTGGGCATCACAGAAGTTATTGAAGTGATTTATTAAAAAAAAATGTTTATTTTAACTCGTCACGCCGTTTAATGTTATTTTTTTAAAAGAAACAGAAACTAAAAAACAATCAAATGTTTTGTTTGAATTTGTATTTTTAGTTCATTTTACGTTAAAAAGGACATTCTTAAATATGCATTGATATAGATATTCTATATCAATGAAAATATGATCTAACTCTAGATTATTTAAATTTATTTTCATAGTAGTCGTAGTAATATGCAAATTCAAAAAATTATCCTAATTATGATATGGAACCCGAACCTAATCAACAAATTTTCGGTATATGAAATCAAAACAAACAAACTTAATTAGAATAGTATTTATTTCGACGTCGAAAAACGTCATTTTGATAGTTAACAATATAATGAAATCACAATGACAATATATAAATTAACAAGAGAATAATAATAATTTCTTGATAATAAAATATTCATTTATATCTTATTTGGTACCCGCTTACAGTTCAATAATTAAAAATTAAAAAATATAAAAGTCCCTATATCAGTGTAGAAATCACTTTTAAAAAACATTTAGCTTTAGTTGACAGAGCTGGGAGAGAAAAGTTACATACTTAATAAATCTAGAACTCATAAACCTCTTTTTTTATTATAAAGTATTTTTTTTTAATTCAAATTCAACTAAACTACCTCGCTACACAAGCTTACTTACCTAAAGAAACTAAATCACTTTCCAGTCTTAAAAAAATCGAAATTATACATTATGGACTAGTAAAAGTAAATGGTACAGTGAGTCTAGAGTCTTTTAAAATCCTATTTGGTTGGCACTAAATTAAAAAAATAGGTAGCCTTCTACACTGTGATAGCGTATCACATTTAAATTTCATTTATCCCCTAAAGGGCCGTCTCGTCCCCGGCCCCTTTGGCGACGTGTTTCTCAGCCTCGATCATGCATTGCGAGCTGATGCTGGCGTTCAGGTCCAAAAAACACGCCTTGGAGGTTGAAGGGCCCTCGTAGGGTGGCAGAGGTGGCAACGGCGGCAATTCCGACATATTTTCTATGTGGTTTATGTATATATCTCCCAATGGACTCTTCAGACTGTCCGAGTCCAGAGATCTCTCCGTCGGGGTGTAGTACAGAGATAATCTGCTTTGAGACAACTCGGAACTGTTTGGATCTTCCAGATTGGCAAGCTTTTCGATTTTCGCCTTGAGGTAGATATCGATGTTTTCAACGTCGTTAGCATCGAAAACAATTGATTCAGCCTTACCGCAAGTCCCGGCTCTGCAGTTCTCAAAGTAGAGACTCGGTAGGTTCTCCAGGACTTTGTTCAAGGTTTGCTGTTGGTACTTGTAGGACTCCCTTAACTGCAGCACCTTATGCGCGCTGAATTTTCTGATTTTATTCCTCTGGAAGACGTAGTTCTCCCGCACCCAGTTCAACTGTGTCGTGGAGTAATCACGAACCTTTTTTACCTGCAAAGAAGCCTTTGTTACTACTTAATAGAATGCGCGAACAAATTGCTCGCTCATACCTGATCGTTGTATTGATCTCTCAACGTGGTCAAGTGCTGCGTGCCGACGTCTCTGAAGTGCCCCAAGTGTTTGGCCTGCGACTGGTAGCTGCTCTGTATCCATTCCATTTGCTGGTTGCAGTTGTCCCTGATCCTGTGCACTTGCTGCGTGTAATTCTCCCGCAACCTCTCCAATTGTTGGCTCTTGTATTGTTCGATGTTGTCGAGCATCGCGTAGATTTGGCGCGCGCGCGGCGACACGCGGTCGCGCTTGCAAAAACTGCAGAAGTTGTTGAAAATTCCGAACCTTAAAAATAGAATTGCGTTTATTAATAGGCGGGTTATTTTTGTTGCGCAATACGTGGCTAAAAGTCTCAAAAGAAGTTCAAAGCACTCACCTATTGATGATGTATCTCAGGAACTGCACCAGTAGGGTTAAGCCTAGGAAGCCGGCGGCGCTCTGTGTGCCCACTATGAGACTTATGATTCTAACGTGGTTCCAGTCTGTGGGGTCAATGTGTAACAAAACATCCTCCGTTTGATTTGCCACAGGATTGCTGGCGTAACAAGTGTATCTGCCGCAATCTTCCCTGGTGACATTCTTAATCCACAGTGTGCCATTGTCCAATACTTGTATTCTTGGTGGTATTACTCTTAAGGGAGTCATGTACTGGCTATGAGCATGGGGGTGTTTATCAAAAATCCCTGGAACGAAAGGGTCGGGGTTCCAGTGGTAAACTTCTCTTTTCGGAGTGACCCAGGTCAGGGTGGGCAAGGGGTAGGCAGCGTAACGGCATTCTAACAAAGCATCCGACTTAAGTCTATATAATCTCGTTGGAGTTTTGTACTCTATTCTAGGACTAGTGCAGTTTAGATGGTGCAATGTGAGCAACATATCGTTGGGGTAAGCGTAAGGGCCGCAACTTAAATCCGACATTGTCACGTTGTCTCTCCTAGCTTTCTCTGCCCATGTGTAGAACCAAAACATTCTGCAATCGCATGCCCAAGGATTGTTGCTTATATTCAATTTCTGTAGGTTGGTGAGATTCTTTAGGGTCAGCGGCAGAAATTGCAGTTCGTTGCCGCTTATATCTAGTTCGGTGAGTAGAGGAGTGTCGCTTAACACATAAGCTTCGATTTCTTTTAAATATCGATTGTTCCTTATTCGTAATGTTTTCAGACCCGAAACTCCCAATAGTTCGCTGTTACGAATCGATTCAAGGCTAGTATTATCAATTGTGAGGTGTATTAAATTTGGACTAAAGTGCAGCAAGCCAAATGTTAAATGCGTGACTTTATTTCCGCTTATATCTAGTTGTCTAAGATTGTTCAAGCCTCTAAACGTTCCGCTTGCCATGTTATCTATAGGATTGTTGGCTAAATTTAAGTACTTTAAGTTGTTGAGGCGATCGAAAAGACCTTTGGCTATAACGTTAAGCTTATTGTTTGAGAGATCCAACCTTTGAAGCTCCGTTAAATCGGCAAGTGCGTTTGAAGTCAACTTATTGATTCTGTTGTCGTTTAAAAGCAAAACTTCGATGTACTTGTTAAGCATGAAAAAGTGATCTAAAATTGTGGCTAGATGGTTGTACGATAAATCCAGCATATGCATGTGCTGCATAGGCTTGAAAACCTGGAAAGGCAACGCTATCAGATTATTGTGAGCCAAACACAACTTGGACAAGTTTAGATTGCTAAAAACGTATCTAGGAAGATCTACTATGGCGTTATTCGATATATTTAGCTCGTTCAAACTGACATAATCCTTAAATTGATGATCTTGCAATTTTGTTAGATTGTTGTAAGCCAAATCCAATTTTTTCAATTGGTTGGGCTTCACTAGTAAGTCACTAACGTCCACGATCTCGCTGCGCGTCCACTTTAACTGATGCACGTTAGTTACGTCCAGATTTGCGCCTGTGACGCGGTCCAAGTCCACGTGGGTGACCGCAGGGTTGATATTTAGGCCCTCGGTGGTTCTGTTGCGACATATTAATGTTGTCTTGAGGTACTGGCAGTTTTCTGGAGGACGCAGCAGCGTTAAATCGCCATGGCGCGTGTGAGATTTGACTGTAGGTAAAATGAATAGGATGAAGAAACATAATTTCACCCCAGCGTAGTGTGGCTGGCTGATTGTATCCATTGCTTATGATGCATTGTTTGGATGGTCGTTTTGTGGCCTATGACTACCTGAAATGATATTTTTATGAGCGATAACGGCCATTTTTATCAAATCCAAAGCGGTTAATTGTTATCAAAAGAGTCAATTAAAGATAGCATTGTTGGAATAATTTAACTTTTGTTGTGGATATAGTAAAATTACTTTTTATTAAAATACATTATGAACTTGGCCTAGACTTTAATTAATCCAGATAGTTGCAATGCAATAAATTTACATTTATTCTAAATATAATTTTTGTTGGCATTATAAAATTTAATATCGAGATACCCAACTAATTATTTTTTCGAACGACTGACAGGTTTTTATTGGGATAAACAGTTTTGTTTAGAATAATAAAACGTGTTTATTTAGTGGCGATTTAGATACATATATCTAAGAAAAATTTCTTTTAAATGCGAAGGACAATCGCCCCACATAAATTTCAGGACTACATTACACAACAACGACAATTTAGCAATAGTGGAAGAAAGAAAACTAATTGCAGCGCTCTATAGACATAAATACATTACGTACCAGCTCACATCAAAGACACAAATCTACAAACACAAGGGTTACTACTTTTATATTTCATATTATTATCATCGATGAATCGTGTAAGGCGGTGGAATGACGCACTGGGCCAGAGGAACACTTCACACGAAAGTTTCAATGCAGAAGAGAAACGTATTTGATGGTGAGACGGCAGCTGTTGTTCCCTTTACGTCGAATTCACTGGCTCTGTGCGTTTGACGGTTTTCGGACATGACAGCGTCGGCGCGCGCACCCCGCAAAGTGGCGGGGGCACGCAGGCGGACCCGACCATTGCGATCGATACGAAGGGGAGGCCGCGCAGAACGCCGAAAAGCGTTGAGAACGGAGGACGGAGTTTCGTGCATTTGAAAGATTTTATTGATATCCGTGTGGGAGGGTTTTGCATTAACTTTGGCCTCCAAAACAAACAATGCCTTTTCTATTTAAGTATATTTTGATAAACGCCATTTTAGTTAGTGCCTTTTTCTACGACAAATACTTATTATTATCTAAAAATTTAATATTTGTATACCTATACGAAAATAAAGTAAACATCCCAAAAAACATTTTTCACGTAATTTTTACCTATTATTATTTTGATTAAATTTAACAATTATTGATACTTTAAAATATTTGTTTTATTACTATAATTGCAAAATATTATCACAGTATTAAAAATACTTACACGGGAAATGTTAAAGGTACAAAAAGTGACAGTTATATTAATTGAAATTCCCGTTAGAATTTTTTTTTAATTTCTAATTTTTCTGTGTAAATCAACATTTATACCTTGAAAATAGACTAACAATCGATATAGAAGAGAATGTTTTATGGGCACTGTACGCAAAATTATTAACCCTCTGTCAGTTACTACTACGGCGAAATCAAAAGATCAGTACAAAACTATTTAATACTTTTGTATTGAGATTATAAAATAATTTTAACATTTAGTATTATTTTACAAGAAAGGCATTTTATTTTAACGATTGTATGACATTTGACACCTGTCAACTAACTTAAAACTAACTTCAGCCCGTGACTAAAAACCTATTGCTAACTTCAGCCCATAAAGCCCTAAGCCACAACTTGTCAATATGTATTTTAAGTAAGACTTATTTGTGGGCTATTTTTAGATTTTAGCGAATGCGTCTTTAAAAAATACCTTGATTTCGTATTTTGCACTAAAAAGTTAGAATTCAAAATGACAATGAAAATTGAAAATAACTTTTTATGGCCCTTTCCAAAAAATAATTTAAATTACTTTTAATCTTCAAAATGCTCTGTAAAAAAGTTAAATTTGAGATTTGCCCTTATGTGATAATTGGGACGATATGGCTCATGTGGACCTCCCTTTAACGTATTTTCGCAATTGCGGAAGTTCTGCACATTTATGATAGTCGAAGCTTATCGAAACTTTCTATAAATGGAGAGATTTACCGAAATTGACAAAAGTATTTATACTTCCGCATCCGCTACTGTCCGCTTCTGCAAAAATTATGTTTATGTCCGTTTTTTTCTTTAATTTTATATAGTTTTTATTTGCATTTATAGATTTTATATATAATTTTAATCGAACTTAAGAATCTCCGAATAGGTATTAAGTTTGCCTAGCTAAATTTCAATTATCTATTAAATGCTCAACTTAAACGTAAATATTTTTTGCATATAAATCCGTGCTCTATGTTTCTCAAAAACTATGTTCAAACTAGAGAAGGGAGTTTCTCATCTTTACCTGTCCTTTTGCCACAGGTATCCGTAAACAAAAGCCTTTTAATTTGCTTACTTCAATAAGTTTTTTTCTTCACATAATACCTAGGTATTATAGATTTTTCTGTTTTTCCATTCATAAGAAGTGTTTCCGTAATTATTGCTTATCTTATTTCGTATACCTACTTTTCTCCTATCGATTTGGGATTAACTTCTATTAATAAACTAAACGTATTATATTGTAAATTTTTTGTATCCATTAAGTTTATTATTTAATTAACTTTAACTTGCCTAGAATAATACCTGTTCTAAGGTCTAAAGTTCAGGGTCGGTCAGGGTTAGAGTTATATCGGGAATCCATTTTATTACAAAGGGCAGCGCGCCCTTAAAGAAATTTGAGCGCTTTTGCCAACTTAATAAAAAATCTAGTTGCTACACAAAAGTAGGTCGAATTCGGTATAAATTCTCTACACAGTGGCATAATTAGATTTCAAACTAATTGATAAATAATCAAGTTATACATAATGTTTTTTTAAATTTGATACTTTTGCCCTATTATTTATTATACAAGAGTTAATTTTAATGTCTTGTTTTTCCTAATATATTCATTTTGTCGCACCGCGTATACGGTTTCTTTTACACAATAATTCTAATAAAGGAATACAATTACCACATTCAAAGTTTATTGTACTGTGTAAAGAAAGTAATTATTTATTTATTCATGACGTTTAGCTCTAATTATTTCGCATTGTACACCGGTGGACCTAAGGAATGTCTAGATGTGTACAAAGTTGGACGTAAGTAATACAACAAGTAATGATTTAATTTTTCAAGGTTTAATTTGATGTCACTGCAGATTATGATTTATATTTATTAATTTGAATTTTATTTATAAGTTTATTTAAATTAAATAAATAAACATGTTAAGTTATCACGCTAAATTGTTGGTGAATGGTGGTTTTGGCCCCTGCTCAAGCAGGCAAATAATGTCAAAAAAATCGGTAGAAATAAGAAAAAGAAGACATAAAATAAAAAAATATTCAAAAACTCTGTTGTCTTTTTAATTATAATAATTTTGCCGGGTTATCTTAAACCATACGGCCATTTCAGGCATACGGACGGGACAAATAACAAAACTGTTTTTATAAAAAAAAAATTGTAGGTAATTTATTTTATATTAATTTTGCATCAAAATTGTCAAATATATTCTTCTTTTATTAGGCTATACATTAAATTAAAAAAAACGCAAGAAATATTTTATAAAAGTAGAGATAATTTTAATAATTGACAGGTGTGGACGGGACAAGATAAATCTTTTTTAATAATTATTAAAATTATATCTACTTTTATAAAATATTTCTTGCGTTTTTTTATTTAATGTATAGCCTATAAAAGAAGAATATTTTTGACAAAATATTATAAAATAAATTATCTAGAAATTTTTTTATAAAAACAGTTTTGTAATTCGTGCGTTTCGCGCGCTTGAAATGGCCGCATACTCAAGACTGTGAGATTGTGTGATATAATAATGTTATTATTTGACGTGTCTTAAATTTCCTAAAAGGGTGTGCACGTTTTTATAATTTTTATAAATATTATGTTATTTAGCACCACAGTGCATAGGCGGAGTTAGACACAAATCTTTTGGATTAGTATGTGATAATGTGTATCTACATACATACAAATTAAATTACTATTTTCAGAAATCTTTAGGCATAATATATGTATTTAGTAAACATTAAATATTATAATTTTTAAAGAACATATTTATTTATTTTATTTAAAATGTAGAACTTGGAAGTTTGTACTGGACAAAATCAAATAAAAGTATAAAAAAATAACTTTAAAAAAATAATAAATCACAATGAATAGTACCACGATAATCACTCATAAAATCCGATTTTCCTAAACGACACTGACTAGATGTATACATTACGTCTCAGTACTATTATTGATGAGGGTAAGAAAATGAATAATGTTTAGTACAGCCAAATATGATTTTATGAGTCGCAATCGTGTATGTGTGATCTTCGCTTTTTGGAAATCAGCAGATTTCAAAATGATAATAACATTTTTCCATTCTGGTGACGCTCAATACAAACTTTCAATACTCAAGAAAAATTATCAAAACGATTTTAATTAGCCATTTTTTATCCTCCTCATGGCCGAAAGATGGGCAATAAAAGTGCAATTTTAAAAAGTTTGTAAATTATTATTAAGCCATCTCGATGTTTTTATGACGACCATTTCAGCTTTCAAAATATCCTGCTGTATTTTAAATAGCATTGGTCATTTTATGACTTTCTGAGGAAAATCTTTCTTTTAAATGGCCAATCATTGAGTCGTGTATAGCATAATAAGTTTTTATTCGCAAAGTATTTTTGGCCATTTTAGATCCTTGGTTTCAGAATTATAATAATATAGAAAAAAAATAATTCATAAAATGTTGGGGGTCCACGCTCCCTCCTAACCACGGTGCCAAATTTAAATGCCATTTCTGTTTCAGTGTGACGAGATCAAATCCCAAGCTGACGCAAACAAAGTTGGACAGGTCGTGACGTATCAAGCACCTTGTGACGTTGTACAAAATTCGGACATTATTTTCAGTTGTTTGACCGATCCCAGAATTGCAAAAGAGGTAGTAAAAACCACAGACCACCAAAACAAATTGACGGATTTGTTTACGTTTAAAAAGCGAGTAAAGCATAGTTTCACATTCTAAACACCGTCGAAAGAAACACGGCTTCCAACGTTGTCAGAAGTATAGATTACACGCCTTTTTGGACGTTCATCATAACATAATGAACATTAAAAATTACCAGCAATTCGTTTGAATAATAAAACAATTGTAAAAAGGATTTGTTCATCATTTTCTTTAGATATTTTTCTCTATTTAAAGAAAGTAAATCATTTAATAATTATTAAAATTAAATATTAACAACGTTGGTAAATTCGTCATATTTGACAGCATAGAAAAAGGTTGACAGCTTGTTGTTTTGTGTTTTCGTTTGTGTATTTCTATCGTGTTTAAGTTCATTATGGAGTTTAAATACATTATTTTTTACTAAAAATAACAATACATGGAAATATCGTTTGTAAGTACCTACCTTCTAATTATTTTTGGAGTACGCAATACGTCACTGGAAGAAAACATAAAATTCTATCTCCAATTTAACGCTTAGACTGTGACCGTTTGATGACGTCACTGGAAGAAAACATAAAATTCTATCTCCAATTTGACGCTTAGACTGTGACCGTTTGTTGACCGCAAACAAAGCATTGTTATTGAATGGCAATGCGCCGTCCATTTGTTTTGGTGGTCTGTGGTAAAAACGCGCTAATCGGGCTAAAATAATTTTTCGACGTTGTGTTGTAGATTGTGCACGGTAATTGCGGTGTGGTGCACTCGGCAGCCGACGGGGACGGCTTGGAGAACAAAGGCTACGTCGAGATGACCGGCGTGGATCCGGAAACGTCGAAGGACATCTGCGAGATAATCAAATCGAAAGGCGGCAGGTACCTGGAGGCGCAAGTGCAAGGCAGCAAGAACGAGGCCGACGAGGGCAGCCTGGTCATCTTGACGGCCGGCGACCAGTCCCTCTTCCTGGACTGCCAGTCGTGCTTCAAGGCCATGGGCAAGGCGTCGTTTTTCCTCGGCGACGTGGGCTACGCCACCAAGGTCAACTTGATCTTGCACTTGATGAAGGGCATCGCGCTGGTGGGTCTGGCCGAGGGCCTGGCTCTGGCCGACCGTTGCGGCATCTCCTCGAAGGATTTGCTCAAGATCTTCAACCTGACCAACTTGGCTTGCCCGTTTTTGTCGTCCAAGGCGGACCAAATAGTTACGAAAGACTTTAACAGGGTGGAGCAGGCGATCCAGCACATGCAGAAGGACATGAAGTTGGTTCTGGACCTCTCCAACAACTTGAAGCAGCCTCTGCTGATGACCTCGACGGCCAACGAGGTGTTCAAGCATGCGCGTCGCCTTGGCTACGACGACCACGACGTGTCTTGTATCTACATGCGGACGAGGCATTAGGAAATTGCCGATTGTTAAGTTAAATTCGAATGCGTTGCACTGGCGTGCAATATTATACTTATATTGTTCGGTATTTTTAAATGGTCCCAGGACCAGACACATACTGAATGTACTTTGTTTAGTTTTATCCCCCTTCCCTTTATTTCTTATCACTTTTATAAAATTTACCATATATATTTTTAACGTGTGACTTCTTTGTAATGTTTTAATTTTCGGTTCAGTTTAAATTAGTAACTTTATAAGACACATGTTGTGCCTATAGATTAAAAATGAAATAAAGTTTCTAGTATTTCTATTATTTTCTTAGTTATTATTATTATGGATTTTCTTTAATTTCTTTAATAAAGTATACTATTTTTTATATATCTTTAATTAATACTTTTTCAATAAAAAATAAGGTAAGTAAAAGGCAAAATATGTTTATTCAATGTGGGGTTTCCAAAATATTCACAAAAATTACATTTTTTTAATGGAACCCTGTTTATTTTTACATATTTTAAAAGGCAATGTACTTTGAAACAAAATTATTATAGCATAACTAAACTTAGAAATAAACAATTAATAGACACTTGAACTTTCTGATTCTAGTTGCCGAAGTCCAGATTAAAAATACTAATTATTATTTACTTTTGTTATTTTTGAAGTTAATTTATAATTGTTAAATTATTTTAAAAATATTAATAATTATCGGGAAATATTTATTATATCTCGGAAAATGGATGGTTTCTTTGGTGTATTTTTAAAGAATGCAAAATAGGGAAGTTTACAAGTAGGTAGGTAACTAACTACAAAGATAATAAGATAGGGTGTATAATACAATATAAGATAATAATTATCTTTGGGTAACTATTGTTATTAATAGGTCCTTGGATCTGGTGAACTGTTTATTTTTTATAATATTTCATTAAAAAATTGTTAAGTAATACTTATTATTATTTAACAAGTTTCATTCACTTTTACTCCTTTTTGTTATAAAATGGATATTTCTAATAAATTTCTCCAAAATGTTTACTACAAAGGAGTTAAAGTAAATGAAACTCTCAGTCCCTGCTTAAATATAACAGGAATATTTTTGAAACATTTGAAACAGTACAGTTTAATGTTGCTGTTTTGTTTCAGACATATTTTATTTAAACCTTCTGCGGACACTTAGGTATATCATTCAGAAATATTTCCAAAAAAATTTAAAAATATTTCAGTTATACAGGTTGTCTTAAAAGTCAAGGACAGCAGAAAAGGGTTGGATAGGGGATAGCATTTTAAGGCGAATTGTCTGCCGTTTTTTGATCAGACGCACCAGTTAATTAATAAAATAAAGTAACCAATCACAGGCGTGCTCTAGCAGAATGATTAGAGGTGGGACAACACAAACTTTTGTGGAAATTCAATGGCTATGAACGTATTATATTGTGAAATGACCTTAATTTTATTTTTCACTGTCAGTGTTTTTTTAACGACTTAATAATAAATAAATAACTTAATACAAGGTTTATGGTGATATACTTTATTTTACCTTTTTTAAATAAGTTAAAATAGTTATTTTATTAATATAAATAATAATTAATTTTAACATTAATTAACATTGTAATAATCACAATCCAGACAACAAACCCTGTTTTATCTTGTTTCGCGCATACTAAAAATCACTGCAACACTTCACAGAATCTAACGGCGGCCATTTTTATGTTTATACAGATTAAAAATCATTTTAAACGTTGTGTTCATAGATGACCGAAGGTGTTTCTTACAGTGGCACTTGTAAGCCTCAAATGAGTCCTTTAAGTGTCAAAAACAACCATTTTAAACCATATTCTATCAGGGCTGTCATCAAACTATCAAATTTAAATGTGTGTGTGGAATCCACACTGTGGATTATGGTAAATTAACTTTAAAATTGAAATTTGACAGTTTAATGACAGCCCTGACAGATAAGGTTTATTTTTACCAAAAGAGGAGTAAAACGGTTGTTCTTAGCACGTTTAGGCTTAAAACGATTATTAATCTGTATTAGGGCCACTAATTTTCCCTAAAAAAAGAATGTCTCAAGTTAAAACTAACCTAAAAACTAAAACACTGACAGTGACAATGTCAACCATATAATAGAATTTCTAATATTAAGCTGCACATTATAGTTCTCCCACCTCTAATCATTCTGCTAAAACACGCCTGTGATTGGCTACTTCATTTTATTAATAACTAATTAATGGTGCGTCTGATCAAAAAACGGCAAAGACTATTCGACTTAAAATCCCACCCTCTATCCACCCCTTTTCTGCAGTTCTTTACTTTTTTGAGACCTCCTGTATAACCGAAATATATTATATTTCAATAAAATATATATTTTATAGCACTTCTTGTATCTCTTTAATTAAGTTTTTGAATTGTAAGTAAAACGCAAAGAATTTTATAAACACTTTATTCAATATTATATATGAACATATTAATAATCATCTATACATACAAGGGTATATAATATATTTACTCATCAACCAATTGTATCAGTTGGCAACCATTGAAAAATACATGATTTGTCATCTATTTTTATGTATTTGAAAAATAAATACCTGGATTTGTATGTAATAAGTCACTTGTGGTAAGGGGGATATTTTTCAATGGTCAGGTCAAAAGAGTATTAATTTTTACAACATTTATATTAAAATTACATAAAAATAAATAAAAACTTAATCATAAAACATCGATATTGCATTTTCTTATTTATATTTTTCAAGCTGAATATACCACATCTATATACATCATATCAGCTACAAATTTAATTTGTATCCATAAACTTTATCAGTATAATCAACTTAGCACCGAATCTAAAAGGCTCTCGATTTCAATTGGTCACTTTTCTAATCACGCTGGGGTATCGGAAAATTAAAAAAATCTAAAATATCTTACAAATCCTATTCTATAATATAACGCCGGTCCAATGGATGGCACCAACAGTTTCCTTAAAATGCTTTGATAATAAAATGATAACACAGACTTTTTACATAGTCTAAAACTTGTTTGTTCCAAACATCACAATTTACGACTAATCACATCTGAAACAAAAGAAATTTTCTGTAGGGGGTTTCGCAGTGTAAAAAATATACTTACTTTGACTACGGTACCGTATTCTTCTGGGCTAACTGAGCCCTCTTTTCCCATTCAGCTTTACGTTGGTTGAAATTCTTAGGCTCTACGGTTGGTTTCTCGCCATTCAGTTTTTCCTCTTTGCGGGATATTTTCGTTATAATCTCTTCGGATTCTTCGTTTTTAGACCAGAAATTTGATGTTACACGTCTTTCAGCGAACGAAGGTTTCTTAAAGCTATTTTCGGTGTTGTTATAGGACAAACTGACCGACCGTGGGAAGTTGTTGATTGTGTTTTTAATGCTCGGCGAGTTTCTCAGTGTTACATCCGCAGTAGATTCTATAATAACCTCCTTGAATGTTTTTTCCGTTGCTTCCACTATCTTGGGTTCTTCCTTTGGAATATTCTCTTTGGAGTCCGATTTGCGTTTTTCCTCCGATTTCCTCCGTTCCAAACCGAAATTCTTCACCTTCTCCTCCGATTTTCTTCTATCTTCCTCCAAGGATCTCCTAGCTTCCTCAACTTTATTTATGCTATTCTTCTCTTCAACCTTCTTCTCCTCTATAACCTCCTTCTCTTCCAACTCTTGAGATAACGACTCAGCATCCGAATCTCTGATCTTCATCGACCGTCTAGCAAACACCTTCATTAACTCGGGCTCGTCATCTTTTTTCTTAGCCAGTGATTTGCGTCTTAAAACGACGCCTTCCGAGCTGTCGCTCAACAAATCGAGACTATCTTGTGAGGAAGAGCGGTTATCTTCGTCGAGACTTACAGAGAGACTCTTCTTGGGTGTTTCAGGGGTTAAAACCTTCTTTGGACTGTTTTTCTTGAACTTGAAGCTCAGGGGAGGTTTGCCGTCCTCCTCTGGACTGCTTTTCTCGATGATCTCCATGTTAACATCGCTATCAAAGTTCAATGTTTTGGGTCTTGATTGTTCTTCGATTATTTTTGGTGATTTCATGGAGAAAATCACGTTGGTGGTCGGTTTAATTTCGACTTTATTGAGTTGTTTGCTTAGGAATTCTGGTTTCGCTACTGTGGTGGTTGTTGATTCGTGTTTTAACTGTATTTTGGTTACAGAAACTTGACTCTCTTTAATATTGATAGTTTTGGATGACTCTTTTTCTGTAACCTCTGATGATGATGTAGTGAAACTATCCATTGTGTTTGATGATGTTATATTAACCACTGCTGTATGTGATGGACCTGAGATTGTTATACCATGATCTTTTATGATTTTGCTTGGAAAATCATCATCAATATCATTGACAATTTTATTTGTAACTTCCTTCACTATCTCTTGGTGATTTTCTGATGGTTTAATATCTATTTTGAAGTTGGAATCATCCACTTGCACAGAGTCGGTTGAGGCAGCTTTAGCCATGGTTACTTTACTAATATCATCTTTGGGAGCCTTAAAACTTTGACTTTTAGCCACAGGCTTCACGATTTTCTCTTTTTCTGGGAAATAAGATAATGATTTATAAGTATTTTCAGTGTCTTCACTAGCAGCAAACGATATAATCTTGTTGTGGAAAGCTGATACATTCCCTAACTCGATCTTGGGTTTTATTTCCTCGAAGGTATTAATTTCAGAATGTCTGCTGGCCATTCTACGTGTTACCTCGGTTTTTACTATCACAGGAGGGCTTCTTGGAGGTTTGGGAGATAGTGGAGGTGATTTTGGACTAGGCTGTAACGATTGTCTTTGTTTGATACGGTTTTCGAGCTCCATTTGTATGGGGGAAAGATTTTTGATGTCCGGAGTTGCTTTTCTGTCTTCTATGGGTGAAGCCGGTAGGTTTCTAGGTAGAACTCTTTGTCTGTTCGAAGCTGTGGCATTTCTTGGAGCAGCTATTGGTTTAGACTCAATTCTAGTCACACTACTACTAGTAGTACTAGAACTAGTAGTAGTTATACTTTGTTGCTGACTTGTTTGAATGTATTGCAAGTGTTCTTGATGTTTCTCTTTGCTTCTACGCCTTTTACCACTACTACGTATTATTTTGGCAAAGAAACTTTTGTCTGATTTCTCCTCTTTGTGTTCGAAATGTTCCTCTTTTTGTATGCCGGCGTTCGACTTGCTCCGACTTAATTTAGGATCGTTTGGACCTACTAGACCAGGAGGTAAAGAAGAACATTTCAGTTGCGTTTCTGTTAGTGATATTTTGTAGCTTAAGTCAGTTACTGCAAAAGCAAAGCTTGGTTAGCGATATTTTTTACGTATCACAAGTTTACCATTAAGTTTTGGATACGAATATTTCATATTACAATTAGTTAATTTTAGGTACTCGGGTCCAAAACCGGGTAAATCTGTGTTACAAGCCAATAAATTATGAATCTTACCTTTACTGTCTATGTAATCTATATCTGGAGTGGGAATTCTTGTTGAGGAATCCTCATTTACCTCTGGAGTGGCTGGTAGAGCCGAAGCCTAAACAAAAATATTTAAACCCTTCAAAAGATGTTCCTTTAAAAGTCACTTACATTTTTCTGTCTTCTCGGTGCTCCATGGGTTTTCCTGGGTCGAACTGACACCCTGTGATGGGCCGCACTGTGGTTCAAAGGTATCGAACCTTTGCTACCTTCTAAATCTATCTCGCTGATTTTTTTCTCGTTCAGAGATATTTTAGAGGATTGTCTCGAAGTCAACCCGAAGGAATCTTCCTCAATTTCGGAACTGTCCATACTGAGAAGCGACCCATCACTGCATGTGCTGTGTGACTTGGTAGGGAGATCCTTAAAAAAGATAAGGATAAGATATAATTAGGAATACAAACTTATCGCAAATTATAAAAGTCGTCTCATTTGACTTACGATAAAAACATTTATAATGTAATTTAAAATTATAAACAACAATCTCATATGTGATAAAAGTGTGATAAAATGTACAGTTTTTAATCATCATTTTACGATACCATTAGAATATTATGCCAAAATTACCCGTAGTAGTGGTAAAACATGTAGAAGCATTCTGATATTAATACCTTGGAGGAAATAAAATAAGCTCGAGTTAGGGAATGAATCAACTTCCAAGATTATATCGTTTGCTGCTAGTGAAGAAACTGACAATACTTATAAATCATTATCTTATTTCCCAGAAAATGAGAAAATCGTGAAGCCTTTGACTAAGAGTCAAAGTTTCAAGGCCCCCAAAGATGATACTATTAAAGTAACCATGACTACACTGAAAAAAATTTACGAAATTTTACACATCCAAACACACATTTATTTTTGTTTTTTTACTTAAAAAATGTGTTGTTCCATATAAAACATGTACACACATACTTACATATGTAAAATAGCATCAATTTATGTATTTTTTTAAATTAATATGTAGTTTTTCATATTATTATGTAATAAATCCTTAAATTTATGTGCTTTTACAATTTTTAATGTACTTGTACTATTATTTTCCTAAATTTTACATTTACATGACCTTTGCATTTTTACACATTATATGTAGTTTTACAGTATGTTTGTACATATACATTTAAATACGTGGCATCAAAATAACCAACGATCAGATGTGTAAATTTACTAAATATTTTTTTGAGTGTACAGCTGCTTCAACCTACTCTGTGCAAGTGGATGATTCCAACTTTAAAATAGATATTAAACCATCAGAAAATCACCAAGAGATAGCGAAGGAAGTTACAAGTAAAATTGTCAATGATATTGATGGTGATTTTCCAAACAAAATCATAAAAGATCATGGTCCATCACATACAGCAGTGGTTATTATAACATCATCAAACACAATGGATAGTTTCTCTACATCATCATTAGAGGTTACAGAAAAAGAGTCATCCAAAACTATTAATATTAAAGAAAGTCAAGTCTCTGTAACCAAAATACAGTTAAAACACGAATCAACAACCACCACAGTAGCGAAACCAGAATTCCTAAGCAAACAACTCAATAAAGTCGAAATTAAACCGACCACCAACGTGATTTTCTCCATTAAATCGCCAAAAATAATTGAAGAACAATCAAGACCCAAAACATTGAACTTTGATAGCGATGTTAACAGGACGGCAAACCTCCCCTGAGCTTCAAGTTCAAGAAAAACAGTCCAAAGAAGGTTTTAACCCCTGAAGCACCCAAGAAGAGTCTCTCTGTAAGTCTCGACGAAGATAATCGATCTTCTTCACAAGATAGCCTCGATTTGTTGAGCGACAGCTCAGAAGGCGTCGCTTTAAGACGCAAATCACTAGCTAAGAAAAAGGTGACGAGCCTGTGTTAATGAAGGTGTTTGCTAGACGGTTGATGAAGATTAGAGATTCGGATGCTGAGTCGTTATCTCAAGAGTTGAAAGAGAAGGAGGTCATAGAGGAGAAGAAGGTTGAAGGGAAAAATAACATAGATAAAGTTGAGGAAGCTAGGAGATCCTTGGAGAAAGATAGAAGGAATTTGGAGGAGAAGGTGAAGAAAGTTGGTTTGGAACGGTGGAGAAATTCAGAGGAAAAACGCAAATTGTAAGTATGAAGTGAAAATTACAGTCACCAAAATTTTTTCGTGTTTCCCTGTAAAATCGTTTTCTTGAATCATGATAAAACATTTTATATAATATAATTAACAAGGCATGCGAAATGAAAGCGTAACAATTTTATTATAGTGAGTTTAATGCAATTGTCACTTCCTATACACTTAATTGCAAAAAGCTCGTGAAGTGATTTGAGCACATGATACGTATTTCCTTTACAAACACCAATTGCATGATGCTCTTCAACACAATTAATGTATTCTATTGCAACAAATTAACAAAATTAAGTTTATATAATTATTGTAGAAAGTCAAATAAAAAGAGTTGAGTAATTGACATTTAATGTTTAAACAAAATCCTCATATATAAAAATAATGGTGTCGAAATTTTATATCCTTGGTATTTTACAATGATGTGTCGTGTGAATTTAAACAACCCAACATTTGTTTGTTGTAATTTTATTTTTTTATTATTTTTTTTTTTTGGTCACTATTTACCCTGTATAATTCGAAACCTGTTATTTGACCCACTGAAATTGTTTATATGTTATTGTTGTGTACAAGTAATGTGGGAATACAAGTATGTGAATTATAAAAGTTGTGAATTTTCTTTTAACAATACTTAAAAAATATAAACTAAGTAATTTTGATACAGGCTGTAGGTACTGAAGGAAAAATTTTTCATTGTAATATTTTATAAAATCGTATAAAATTTTGTAGAATTTCACAGAAATACACTGACAGGCAAAATAATCGATCCACACAAATTTTCGATGAATTTCGATCGCAAATAACTTTTTTACTTAATGTCGGATTTAAACGAATATTAAAAAATATTGTAGATAAATTAATAAACAATCGCTCACATTTTAAAAAATTTCTAAAAAATTGATGTACGTTTATAATATACAGGTTTAAACAGTTTTGTTTTTGGTTCACGTCGATATATTTATTTGTGGAAAATATGGATTTTTTAAGAAAACATTGCAATTTCCAATATTTTTCTGTGTGAAGAATTAAGGTTGCTATGGTCCATCCATCGGCTATGAAGAATAACAGTGACAGTTTTGTTGAATCATCCCATACTTGGACATGTCATACACGGCTTTCAAAAGCTATCAAATTGTTTTTTGCAAATTAATGCAAAAAAAATGGATATGTCTCCGACTGATGTTGCCAGAGCCATTAATTTAATCCAGGATGGACGGTCACAGTATTAAGTGGCAAGTGTTTTAAACGCCACAAGAAGTAAAGTAGAAAGGGCAACATCAGTCGGAGACATTTTTAAAAGTAACACATTAATTTACAAACAACAATTTGATAGCTTTTGACATGTCCAAGTATGGGATGATTCAACAAAACTGTCACTGTCATCCTCCATAGGCTATGGATGGACCATAGCAACCTTAGTTCTTCATACAGGAAAAATATTGGAAATTGCAATGTTTTTTTTTTTAATTCATATTTTCCACAAAAATAAATATATCGAGGTGAACCAAAAACAAAACTGTTAAAAATAGATCTGACTTCATAATTAAAACTTAATTTAGAACAATATACGGTTTTGCCACTCTACAGAGTGTCTCAAACTTATGGTAAAAAACATCTTTTTGTTTAAACCTGTATATTATAAACGTATTTTTTAGTAATTTTTAAAATGTGACCGATTCTCCATTAGTGTATCTACAATATTCTTTAATATTTGTTTAAATAAAAAAGTTATTTTCCATTGAAATTCATCGAAAATTTGTGTGGATCGATTATTTTGCCTGTGAGTGTATAAAGATTGGCGTTTAGTAAGAAAAATAACAATTTTTCGTCAGCTATTTCAATGTACAACTGTAATAAGTTTAGTTATAAGACGCTCGAAACGATTGAATAATAAAATGGCTGGAATACTATTATAAGTAACCTATTTTCTTTATCCCAAAGAATCCAAGTGACAAGTCACTAACTTTGCTTAGAGATTACGGAATATATAAGCATATTTTCTTTCATGTATTTTTGTTAATCACACTGTACTATATATAATAGGTGATTAATTGTATAAATATTAAATCAGGTTTAAACAAAACCTAATAAAGAAATAAATCTAATTATGGGCTTGATACTATCAAGGACACTTAATGAATGCTTGAAATGCACTATAATTTAGTTCATATTTAATTAAAAATAAAATAATGTTAAAGTGAGTTTTTTACTTTGTTTTGTTGTCTACATGTTTTCTGGGACCTTTTCAAGGAAAAACGTCATTAAAAATCTAAGCCTACTAAAAATATGTTACCTGGACATCGCCTATAGGCAAATAAATCCTTATCCTGTTAATCCAGGGTATTCTAGCTTCGTTTACACATTCGTTATTGTAACAAAACATCGAAACACATCTTACAAACGGAATCTTATCGCAATAGCAAAATGGAAAGCATAAATACGCCGAGTCGAGCTATACGCTAAACTGCCGTGCTTTCTACGGCACGCGAATATAATTGTTATTGTTAGATGTGTATAGAGCAGTGGCGGTACAGTGTGCTCCCTTCTTCTATCTCCACAGATATCGTTACGTAAAGCCAGCTTTCCTAACCAACAGATGATTTCAATGCCTTTTATGGTGTTGGAAAGAATAGGCCTGATGTTTCGAGCGGTAACTTTTTTGTTGGTATACATGGTGTTAAACCCAACTAAATATTCGGCAAAGGTTAATTTTTACATTCCGTGATTTACAGACGCTTTTAATAACGCGTGGAATGTCAGAAGTACCTACTATTTTAGGTAAGGTTTTTCCTGTAAGGTTAAAGGTCAAAGGCGCACGGTTATTAGCAGAGTTTATGACCCTGCAGGCACAGGCAGTCGTCTCACAATAAATACATAGACAACATCCGCTATTTGGGTCAAATATTTTGCTTTGTTTGGCAGGTTAATAAACGTATAGTACCTACAACAAAAACTTAATTCAATAATGTATCAATGTGCTTGATGTTATGTAAATTTTTACACTAAAAATGTCGTTTTTCAAACAAATAATATGTATTATTGTACTTACAAGATACAATGTACGAGGTGTGTTCAGAAAATAACGGGAATTGTTAAATTTCGCGGGTTGTCATAAAATTTTCTTTATTATGTTGGTATACATGCCCCCGAAGTATGATAAAAACTTTAGCTGTTTTCATTGTTTACTTTGTCTGTGGCAGCCGCTAAGGTTAGACGTGTTTTATGAACTCGGCGATTTTTCTTTCGTTAAAAGAAATGGATCAATGAATTTGTATCCAATTTTGCTTAAAAAATTAAATAAATTCTGTGAAATGTTAACAAAGGCCTATAGTGAGTCTGCTATAAGTAAAACAAGAGTTTACAAGTGGTATAAGAGTTTCCAAGATGGCCGTGAAGACGTCGAAGATGACGAACGCCCCGAACGCACAAGCACATTAACAACCGATAAAAACATGGAAAAAGTGGAAGAAATGGTTATAAACCATCAGAGAAGTCGCTGATGATGTTGGTATATCGATTGGCTCATCCCATGAAATTTTTTCGAATGTTTTGGGTATGAAACGCGTGGAAGCAAAGTTTGTTTTAAAATTGTTAAATTTTGAACAAAATTTTTGGCCAAAAACAATACTGTAATGATGCCCCAGCCTCCATATTCGCCAGACATGCCTCTGTCTGACTTTTTCCTATTCCCAAAAATACAGAGAACCTTAAAGGGCCGTCGTTTAGCAAGCATAGATGACATTAAAAGCGCATCGCTGAAAGAACTAAAGGCTATCCCAAAGATCGAGTTTTAGAAGTGTTTCGAGTATTGAAAGAAGAGCTGGCACATGTGCATAATATCCAATGGGGACTATTTTGAAGGCGACAACATTAATGTAGACGAATAAATAAATATTTGTTTCAAAAAACGAAATTCCCGATATTTTCTGAACACACCTCGTATGTATATCTGTATCTATCTACACATTTGTTTGCGACTCACCCCTGTAAAATCTTTATTTATTATGCGATTTTAACAGGATTAGCTGGCCATACACAGGCGTTATTTCGCGCGGTTTATCGTGGCGTGTTGGGATGTAGCGGTTAGTATGCACGAAAGAACGGCGTGGCAAAAAAAGCGTCATGTTCCATACACTTGATAAAGTATTCAAATGATTTAGCAAGTGATTGCCCGTGGTATATCAGTTTCAAAGGAAAAATCGTATGTGAGTGGGCAAAAAGTGTCATTTATCGAGTCTTTTGAAACTGCATGTGATCATGTACAAATTTTCAACGTGAAATTTTGCCAAGCAAAGGTAAACCGTGACGCGGAATGTGGCGTGTGGACACTCCACACTCCAGAGGAAAGCACGTCTGAAATCCCTTCCCGTTCTATCATTGCACGCGGCGATACTTACTCACGTACATGATTTTCCATATGTTTTTGCAGATAACACGATAAACCGCGCGCAATAACGTTTTAAAGTGTAGATCTTGATAAACTGCATTTTTAGACATTTTTACAAAATACAAGGCCTACAATTTCAATTTTTGAGAGTAAATTTTTAAGAATTCATATTGGCGATTTAAAAAAACTATGCACTGCACTGGATTTACCGCCCCTCAACACGACTATGCTAAATTTTATTAAAATTTTTTAAGTAGGAAGGATTTTGTAGCTTAATTAAAAATGCACCATAATTATTATTTATCCATGAGAAAAACATTGATATAAAATTAAACTACATAATTGTAACATAATATAAATATTCATACTCTCGTATGTTCATTTTAAATTTGTTTACAAAATCGTTCCTACTAAAATTTATTTAATAAAATTTAGTATAGGGTCGTTTTGAGGCGTAGTGAATCCAGTGCCGTGCATACATTTTTTTTAAATCGCTAAAATGTACTCTCAAAAACTGACATATAGTCCAGGAAACAAAGATTGTAGAAGGAAAACTCGATGGTAGTCGGGTTTTATTTTTTTTATGTAGAGTATTTTATAAAAATATGGCGATTTTTGCTCCAAAAATTCAGTTTATCAAGAAATACACTTTAAAACAAATCCGCACAATAAATAAAGATTTTGCAGGGGTTAGTCGCAAACAAATGGGTCACACTGTATGTCACCCTGTATCTTGTATGATAATACTTTCAGCTTACAAAATTTCCCTAGTTTTTTTTTAATGTTGAACTTCACTGATTTAAAGTTTTGATTCCTTTCATCATATCAGAATGTTTTTCTGGAAGTAGAACTTTAAAGTTTAACGATAACTTTAGGGTATACCGTATAACAACAAAAATACGATTTAAAAATGTTATCAAAATATTAATAATTAATATCTGGTAGAAAATAAAAAATTATAAACATTATTTACAAAATTTCCAAAAAATTTATTTTTAACCATTATGCAGAGTTGTAATATTTTTGATAATAGCAATATCAGTATTTTTATTCAAATTTGTTTATCAAAGTGACTGACCTTTTTTCCTTATCTCAAATTTTGCGATTATTTTTACAATTTCCCTGTTTTTAAGTACTTTCTACCTGCTTCTAACTTTACCCACCTAAATAAATAAACAATTGAAATCCATAAATCGACCCCTATTTCACGGGGGTTTATTGAACCTAGTTTTTTGTTGTCTATGTTGCAGCCGAGGGTTGTCAATAATATATGAGTCATGTCTGGTGTAACGAGTGGCAAGCAGATGTCCTGAACTTGCCTAATAACGCCAAGCGTAAAATTTGTAAAATATGTGACCATCAAAGGTTGACAAAAAACTCTAAACTCTAGAAAGGGACCTTTGCAAAAAAATTAAATTACAGATAACATTATTTTCCTTCCATTAGATTGGAAATTTGAAAATATACCTAGGTTGACAAAAAAACTCTAAACTCTAGAAAGGGGCCTTTGCAAAAAAATTGAATTACAGATAACATTATTTTCCTTCCATTAGGTTGGAATTTTGAAAATATACCTATTTAAAATTTTCCAAAATTTTTTAGCTCAAGTTCAACTGACATGATAACATTTTAGCTTTATTTTTGTACTAGTTTATAAACGAGCTGCCTACTATACTTTTTCTACGACAAATACTTAATATTATCTAAAAAAAATATTTAAATTAAATATTTATATAAAAAGACTTTTATACGAAAATAAAGTCCAATATCCAATAAATATTTTTGACATTATTTTCACCAACATTGCCCGTTATTATTTTAATTACAATGCTTTCAAATATTAAAATAACTGATTATGTTAAGAAAATATTTTATCCTTTGATTTTTTTATTATTACTACAACTGCAAAATATTATTATCACAGCGTATTAAAAATTATTACACATGAAATGTTAAATGTACTATGTTCCACACCTTAAATTTGACATTTAAGGCTTTTCAGGTTATGTATCTGTCAAAGTATAATCAACGAAAAAAATATTATTATGTAGAGTGCTATTAATATCTCATGGCGGATGACCTTGGGTGCGCAAAAGTCTCAAATCCGTCAAATCGCGCTATTACTCGCCGACCTAAAAGCATATTACATAGGTAAACAATGCTGATATTTATTGACATATTTAGAAGAATTTCTGGGCTAGAAATTCTATAATATTTGTTATAATAGACGCTATGTCTCTCAAGGTCAACCGCCATGAGATATTAATATCACTATAAAGTTCTTTTTTTTATCTGGACTGCGGCAACATTGCAAATTTAGGGTTTTGGTTGGTAAATAAAGTTGTCAAGTTGGTCGCATTGATTAAACGCTGTGGCTCCCGTCCCGAGGCGGGACTTAAGTCATAATTTTAAGATTTGTTATGTTATAATAAAATAATAATAATAATAATAAATTGTACCTGTATACATGTTAAGGGCACGTTAGTTACGTCATAAAACCAAACCAACCCAAACTCAACAACACAAATCTAATTGTGGTTATGTATAAATTATTGTAGGTTACATTGTGTAGTTGTCAAGTTGAGTTGTCGAAATTCGTAGTTAAAAATGCAATTAATTTGGCTTTGGTGGTGCTTGGATGAGTAAAATCATATAAAAAAGTAGTTAAATATAGGTTGCTTTACGGCCCAGAAGAGAAAGTATTCCTAGCGGATAATAATATTCGCTTTGAAAAGAATTTAAATAAAAGAAATTAAAATTTTTTTGTGAACGTAAATGTTGTCCAATGGTGAATAATGTGAAAATAATGTGTGATATATGTAATATTTATAAAACCAAATTCGTTACTTTTTTACTCCAAAAATGTCCATAAGGCGATGTACTTTTTCTTCCATTGTGGCATTTGGCATAATTTCATCAAAATGAAGTTTTGCCCTCAAAAGGGCTTTTACATTCGAATTCGTTGCTATTATTTTTGGCATAATTATCTTTTTATTTATAATTGACAAGTAAATTATCAATAATAAATATTATTGTCAATTTGACAGTGCCATTTTTAAATACTAAAAATACTAAGTCAAACTGGCATAAGCCACCAACCTAACAAAAAAAACGTCCAGATAAAAAAAATCATCTAATTTTATAATTTTAATTTTAGAAAAATCTATTTTGACAAAAATTAATAGGTATTTTGGATTTTGTTGGAATTTGTTTTTGATAACCTTGTAAAATTTAAGGCCTATAGCTTATAAATTCTTAAGATAAAATTAAAATTTGTTTATACAATTATAATTTCCGATTTTTTTTGTTATGGCAAAAAGAAAACATCATTTTTATGGTTAAAATTAGCATATAAAAATTCGACTTAAGTACAGTAAAATACCGTTTCTATTGCACTATTTGAAACGTATAAAATCAATTTTCCTTTTTTTTAACATAAAACCATTTTTTATTGTTTTATCATAATTGTCGTACTCTGAGTGAAAGTCCCCCATTACACATTTAGAGCGTAACGCACTGTTAACACCATTTGATTCGATACATTTTATTTTTAAAATAAATAAAAACCGCATTTTATTAGAAAAAAAACCCAATCGTTAAATTAATTACCTACTGTTTGGCAACATTGCAAAGCGTTTAAGACATCTCCGATGCAATGTTGCTAAATAGATGTTGTGTTGCGTCAACGTTACAAAAAAGATTCATAATTAATTAATTTGCACCAACAAGTGCATTTCAAAACGACCATTTCAACAAATGGTTCTCATGCATGATGATTTTTCTGGTTTGGTTATTTTTCAACTTACTTTAGTGGCAGTCTTGTTGGTGGAGTGGCCATCGTGCGCCGTGGGCGAGTTGCACGGGCTGCGCGGCAGTCCCTCGTCGTCTTCGCTCGTGTCGCCTCGGCCACGTCTCAGTCTCAACCTCTCGCATAGTTCAGTCTAAAAAAAAAATCAAAAAAATTTCAAAAAAATTTATTTGGCAACATTGCAATGTCTTTAAACTTGGCAACACTGCATTTTTTTAGAAGTTTGGCAACATCGCATTATCTACTGTCAAGTGTACGGTGGCTCAAGATCATTAACATTAACTTAAACCATTCGAAGGTTTAAAATTTCCAGAAGTGGGAAAATAAATAAATTTGACAACATGGCGTTTTTAAACAGAGCCCCTTTGGCGACAGTCCTTTATAAATTCTATATCAAACTTTAAATTTTATCCGTTTGAAATCATTTTTGAACACTGTGCTAGCAAAACAATTTTCAAATTAAATAAATAAAAAACAGTGTTTTGTTTTTATACATTTATACATTATACAGTTTTATCAAGTAAAGGTCGAAACAATAAACATTTTTATTTAAGAAACCCTTTAAAAAAACAAAATACGTTCATTTTGCAACACTGCATTATGTATGGTCAATTTGACCATCGGTCAAGGTGAAAAATGTCAAAACATAAAAACCACAAGAAATATCTGTAAAATAAACAGTTCAAAAAAAACATTCAAATCGGCAACGCTGCACCAAATTAAATATGGGTGTCATGTAATTAATGTTATATATTAAAATGGGTTGTTCCTTAGGGTCCATAAAGAAGCACCTGAAACTTTTTTTTTCTAAATTCCAAAGTCTTAAAATAATTTATAATAACCTTTATCCTACCAAAAAGTACGCCACTGATCGACTAGGAACTTTAGGTTAATCTGGTGGATTTATTATGTTATGGTTGGTAACAACAGTGTTTCCAAAATCTTTCAAAAAAGTTGCCAAGCATTGTTTCAATTTAGCTTAATTACAAAAATGACAAAATTAACAATGCAAATTGTCAATTTGGCGTTTTTATTAATTGTTGGTTATTTCATTTTTGTACTGAAGGTAAATTCAAACAAAATCTGCCAACTTTTATGACAGAATCTAGTGCATTTCTTTTAAATTTTAGGTTATGTTTTCAAATTGTAAATATCTTAACTAAGGGAAGTGCTTTTGGATTTATTTACACAAATTAAATGTTTAAAGTTTAACCTGTGAACTGGTCCCAATTTCATCTAAACAGAGAAAAAAACTGATGAAAAAATTAAGCTAATAGCTGGATCAGTAAATAAATGCAGAAGGGTATTAGAGCTTTAAGGGCATAAAACTTTTGTATTTATTGAGTTTTTATTTATTTTTTGCAAGAAAAATTTTTAGTAACAATTTTTTACATCTGGCAACGCATAGCTACTTTGTTGGTTGGTATCTATGTACTCACAAAATACAGGTGTGCAGAGATAAAAAAGTGTGTAACCAGTGGCGTATCACAAAAAATATAAAAAACTTCTAAAGCATATTTTTTCTTTATCTTTGGAAAAATGTTTTTTTTAATATTTTTCCTTTATGTCAAAAGGTATTCAGTATTTTAATATATAACATTAATTACATAACACCCTGTATAATAAGTTAAAATAAGTATTATAATTATTTAAAAAAACTTATTTAAAAAAAGTAAAGTAATTAATATTAATATTAATAATAATTAATTTTAACATTATTATTTAATTAGAGATATTTGAATGAATATGTAATAATCACAATCCACACAACAAACCCTGTTTTATCTTGTTTCGCGCATACTAAAAATCACTGCAACACTGCACAGAATCTAACGGCGGCCAATTTTATATTTATACAGATTAAAAAAATATTAAACGTTGTGTTTCTTCCAGAGGCACTCAAATGAGGTAAAAACAACCATTAAACCTTATTCTATCAGGGCTGTCATCAAACTATCAAATTTAAATTTGTCGGGTATGTTAAATTAACCTTAAAATTGAAATTTGACAGTTTAATGACAGCCCTGATAGAATAAGGTTTATTTTTACCGAAAGAGGAGTAAAACGGTTGTTCTTAACACTTTTACGTTTACAAGCGCCTCTGTAAGAAACACAACGTTTAAAACGATTATTAATCTGTATTAGGGCCACCAATTTTCCCTATCAAAAGAATGTCTCAAGTTAAAACTAACCTAAAAACTAAAACACTGACAGTGACAATGTCAACCATATAATTAAGGTCATTTTACACTACGATTTTATATAGAATGTCTAATATTAAGCTGCACATTATAGTTCTCCCACCTCTTATCATTCTGCTAAAACACGCCTGTGATTGGCTACTTTATCCAACCCTTGAATTTTGAGACACCCTGTATATTGCATTGCATAGCCTACCTAGATTAAATAGAACATTTAATAAATTTGTGCACATTTTAAAAATATTCAATATGGCAACAGAGCATCATAATTCCAAAGTTAACTAACAATTTGAAATTATAAAAAGGTTTCAAATCTACCTATCCAATCCAACAAGTTGACAAGGTCACAAATGTCAAAATATTAAAAGTCATCAGAAAGATCTAATCGATAAAAATAAGTTTTTAAAATCAAAATTTTAATGGTATAAAATAGCCAAAAAACTAGACTAATTTGTTATATTTATTATTATTTGATATACCTATTTGACTACAATAGGTTTTAAGCATTTTAATTTTTTTAATGTAAAAACAATTTAATTTAATTAAATAAATATAACAAAAAACTAATAAACATTGTATTTATAAAAGCACCTTTGAAATATATTTGTTTTGCTACAACTTATATTAGATAATAAAAGAAATAGTTTCGACCAAACAGGCAATAGAATGCGGTAATGTAATAGTTATACTGCCATCTAACGGGAAACGCTTTGACTAAACTACTGCACACACTACTTGATGAAATGTATAATTTACAAATTTTCCACGATTTTTATTGTTGATGGTGATGGAAAATTATAAATTGTGTGAAAAAACCATAATTATATCTTTACTGCCTACTCTTAACCTAGTTTTATAGTTTTAATAGTGTTTTTAAATTAAAAGTCAATTTTTGTTTACTTGTGTATATGTTTATGTCTATGTAAACATTTTAAAGATGCCAAACCATTTAAATTATTTTAAGACTTTAAAAATGCCCCTGCAGCTACCTCAAAAGGCAAATACATTTTTATCTAAATACAACTTCCTGCTTAACATATTAATAATATTAAAATAAATTCCAAACATGCATAACAAAATATTTGCACTATTCATTATTTACATAACAACTACATTTCTTAATGGCTTTGATAATATATGCTTAAATAGATTATAAAAAAATGAGGATAAATTTTGAAACCATTTGCGACACACTTACGCAAAATTTGTACAGCCAACCGAACATTATGTCGAACAAAAACGCTGCTTCTCATCAGTTTTTAATTAAGAAATTCGGGCCAAACTGTATTCAACGTTCACATAAAAAAAATTGGCCACGCCATATAGAAACACCACTTGAATGTAGACAATAAAAACTAACAAGTTTATCTGAACCGGAAATATTGGTGAGATAGTCATTTCAAATTCGTAATGGTTCATTTTAAATGAAATTATCAATTCCAAGAAGCATTTTAGGTAGATTTTGTACAAAATTCTACTCATGTTGTAGGTCAGTGTATGCCGATAATAATACGACAGGACCCTGAAAATTTTATTAAAATCTGTCTACAAATAAAGTTACCTAAACTGAAATCGGGATATTATGGTGTACAAAAATAAAATTCTAAAATTTTAATGCAATTAAAATAAAAATTTCAGGGTATACTAATAAAAATACGTTTTTTTCAACAAACCATTTTTTCTTTTTGACTTACCAGAGATTTAAAAAGTCTACTCATGCTTATGCACAATAAAACAAACTAAAATTTTCACAAAACTAGACAAAATGCGTTAATACAACAATTTTATTGTATTACTAAGCATGGTTCATATTCACTATAACTAATGCCCACTGACGTTTAAGAAATTCCTAAACATATTTATCACTTAATAGCATTTAAAGGTATTATTGGTTATACCGGGGTCATTAAATGTAAACAACAAAATATTAGTCATCCAGTTTGTTTTGTTTAATTTTGATTTGACTAGGTAGAGGTTTTTCGATTGCTTTGTAATTTTTCAGAAAAATTGTTTTATGGTTCGTCGATAAGCTGTACAATATTTAAAATTATTGAAAACAGAAATACCAAGTAGGTACTAAAATATTATTTTTGGACAATAAAAATTATAACGGGAATGCCGTTTTTTATGGCATGTCATTAATTGCATCCTGTTTGGCAAAAAGAACAATAATTCTATAATTAAAAACTTTCTTTTAAGCTTATTATATACATATTTGTATGCTAATGATCAGGAACATTAAAAACAAACTTAAAACTTATTAGAAAACAATTTATCATTTATTTGTCGACATAATCAATCGTTTTAGAAAATTTCTTCATTTGTTTTTATTTTGTTTTGTATTTAAAATTAATTATTCTTCTTTTTTTAGTGTATATGTAAAGGTTAGTAGCTTGAATAATGAATAAATTTATTGTAATCATTATATCATTATTGCATAAGATAACTGTAAATTAACAATCATTATATTCGGTTATTGTATTCTTTTTACTTTTTTACTTATTATTGGTTTTACAATTTGTACGGCATTTTTAGTGATACCAACGAATTTAAAGTATTTCTGTTAGTACACCTTGAAAATTTCATCTAAATATCGCCCAAGAAATAAGGAAGTTACATAGACTTAAATCTTGATGTATTGGTGGCCACAAATTATAACTTCTATACCTTTAATGCTGAAATTTTCAGTATATTCTAATAAAAATAAGATTATTCCACCAATATAAGAAAATGATATTATATTTTTCTATATATATTAAAAACTACATAAAACAGTTATTTACAACTTTATTTAACACTTCTAAAGACAGATTTGCCATGAAAATATCTTCAATAAAATTATTTCCTGTTTTTTTTAAATTCGTTGCAGACATTTTGTAATACAATGGGTATAAAACGATGAGTCAGAGAGATTTTGTTTCTTTCTTTCTATAAAACAGTTATCGAAACCAGAAATTAATTATTGCTGTGTGGGAAGATATTATAAATGAAAATAGATTTAAAAATTTTCATTGCAAAAACATGTTATGTTCCTCAACATTTGTAAACTAATAATTGGAGAGTTCGGGGCAATAATGGACTTAAGCCTCATTTGAAACATGTTCAGTAAATGAGGTTTAAAGTTTTGGATGAGTGTTGCTGTTCCCGAACAGTGTTGCCGGATTTTAAAATATTTATCCAAACGAACAATTCAATTATTGAGTTTAAATAACGAGTTTTATAACTAATCTATTGTCAATATTTATTTCTCTTTAAAATTTGTTTCTTCTTAACTGTAAAATATTACGAAATGAAAACAAGTAAAAAAACAAATAATGCTTGTATTTTTTATGCGCATATATACAAACACACACGTAAGTAGCAGATGTTTTACGTGAATGTTAAGTAGCATTAACAATAAGTACCGAATTTCTTACTTAATTGTAAGTTTGTAAGTTTTGCATTTGATGTATGAATTCGCATTGTGTGTAAAAAAGTGAATTTGTTAAGGAATCCGTTTCCTGGTAATTTAATATTGGGTTTTAATTACTACATAAAATACATGAAATCAGCGTTTTTTTCTGTAAATAACTTTTACAGGATTGTACGTAGCCCAAGCTTCACATAGACTTAAAAATAATTCTAGGGTGGGTCACATAAAACCTTGTAAAAAAATAATTTTGAATTTTTCGTTTTTTTAACATACAACCTTGTTAATGAAAACAAGTAACTGTTTTCGCACAGTGAGCCATTCATGAACCCCAATTGAATGCAAATGTGTTTCTAAATCGCTGGGGATTCCGAATTTTAATAATCGGGCGTACAGCCTATAGCTCTATAGAGCTCACGCCAACCCAATTTTATAACATCATTTGGAAAAAACTAGATTAAATAAAGCCAAAGTAAATATTAGTTATGTATACCTAGATCAGATAATATATACAAATTTCCGGTTTTTAATCGTCCTCAATAAATAAAAAAAACTGAACCAACAATTACTACGTTGACTTGTCTGGATTAATAATATAATATATAAAAAACCTGTACTGTTATAAACAAGAACCGTTTAACATATGTTGTGTGTGGAAAATGCAACACAAGACTTCGCTGATTGGGTATTTTATTAAATTTAATTTTTATTTTAAGTAATATTTTGTGGAACCGTAAAAATCCCGTATAAGAACAAATTAACAGGCGTGTGACCTCGACACGAAACCAGAGTATTTAGACTGATCACATTCTAAAAACCGCATTAAATGCGAGCTGAATTGAACAATTAAGAGGTGTAGCAGAAAAAAATAGGTTACCTATAAAATTTAGTGGGTTAGGGATGCTAAAAATAAAATTATTTTATGGCCGGGACCTTAGCTGTTGTTTTACGATTCGTTAAAGGTCAGTCAAGACAAATATTGGACACCTATAATAAAAGTGATTTTTTTCTTTATGTGCTATAAACATGCGACATTCTACGAGATAAATAAAATGTAATTAATTGTTTATACCTGAAAGTTTCAATCAATTGTTGGGAAAAATTGATTTGTCATACCACATAATTTGTAGTTAATTTAATTTAGTGAAGGTCGCTTTAGTGAACTAAATGGTTTTAAATTACATACCTACCTATAAGGAATTAGTTGTAAAAAATTATATCTACATATATGGTCGAATGCACGTTTATAAAGCAAAGTCAAATTATAACCAAAACTTTTAACAGGTTCGTCAAAACTGTGAAAAACATTTTGCGATTTTTGTTGTTATTTTTACATTAAGCGATAAGCAATTTTAGCAGGGAGCAGGGGACTGTCTCACGTAAAATATGCTTTTTAACGCACGTAAGTATCATGCTACGTCCGGGGGTAATAAAAAACTGCACATTAATTAATTAATTAAAAAAGAATTTTGAAATTTTTCAAAATTCTTAGTATTTTTTTAATTTTCCAAAATCGTTTTTTTATTTGTTATCAAAATTTGGGCAAATAAAAACTGCCCAAATTAAAAAAAACTTGGATAATCGAAAACTGGCCTTGAATACATAAATTTAAAAGAAAAATCGCACAGTAGGTTAAATTTTAAAACGGTGGGATAAATTTAAAAATTTAATAAAATTTCGCACAGTTTCGCAAAAATGGTTGGACAAACTCGCACAGTGGCATACATTTAAAAAATAGTAGGACAAATGTACAAAATATTGAAAACTTCTAAAATTTTCCCATACTCTTATTATTTTTAAAATTTTCCAAAATGTTGAATCAACCTGTGTGATTTTTTTTATTTGTTATCAAAATTCGGGCAAATAAGAATTGCTCAAATTTGAATAAAATTGTATAATCGAAAACTGGCCTTGACTGCATAAATTTAAAAGAAAAATCGCACAGTGAGTTAACTTTCAAAACGGTGGGACAAATTCGCAGTGGGATAAATTTAAAAATTTAGCAAAATTTCGAACAGTGGCATTAATTTAAAAAACAGTAGGGTACGTTCAAAAAAATGGTAGGACAAATTCCCACAGTGGCATAAATTTAAAAAATGGTTAATATGGCATAATATTAAAAACTTCTAAAATTTTCAGTTTTTCAAATTTTCCAATATTTTTAATATTTAATAAATTTTCCAAAATTTTGAATCAACATTTGTGATTTTTTATATTTGTTATCAAAATTCGGGAAAATAAGAACTGCCCAAATGGGACAAATTCGCAGTGGGATAAATTTAAATATTTAGTAAAATTTCGCACAGTTGCATTAATTTAAAAAACAGTAGGGTACGTTTAAAAAATGGTAGGACTTAATCACAGTGTGGCATAAATTTAAAAAATGGTAGCACAAATTTACAAATTAAAAATTTCTAAAATGATCGGTTTTTCAAATTTTCCAAATTTTCATATTTTATTTTAAAAACAGACATTTTTGGTCAAATTTAAGTTGTCAAAGTGACTTAAAAATTACCTTAAAAGTGACATTTGTGACCTTGGGCGTTTAAGGTAGTATCCCCATTTCAAGAGTTTGATGTCATTTGTTTATTAAATTGGCAGCAAAAAATTTGAAAGAACAATTTTAAAAAATGCAAAAAAATGATTATTGAGATTTCTATAAAAAATATACAGAAAAAAATCAATTTTTAAGCCATAAACAAATGAAGACACTTTTCGACTTATAAAATCGCTTTCCTATATACAGACTGTATAGAATCAAGTAAGTAAGGCTGGAGACAAGGATGACAAATTATATTCTGATCAGAGAAAAAGAAACAAACTTTAATTGGGCGTGGTTTAAACCAAGCCATTCGTAATTACGAACCATAGTTGACAGGTTGTTTTAAATCAGAAGAGAACGATTATAATTATTTAATAAATAGTTCAATTTTATTTGTTTGAAACTTAAAAAATAACAAAAAAATTAATAATATGTCAAAAATAATTTGATTTAGTTAATTTTCTTACTTTTAATAATAAAAAATAAGAAAAACAACCCTTTTAGGAAACAATAATAGCATATGGCAACAGCGCGGCATGCAGCCAGATACAAGGGCATGCAGTTTGATCTACTGTGTTTGTTTAGTAGCTCCGACGCTGTCGTAGGGAAATGTGTATAGTTTTTAAGAAATATATTTTCGCCATTAACTGAAATTTAATGGATTTTAAACAATACTTAGTTTTTATTTGCAGAAATGCATTAAAACAAAACAAACGAATTCGATAAAAATAAAATCTATAAATTCTCAAACAAAAATAATTCTAAAATAACGAAAATAACTTTTTTTCTAAATTAAATGTTAAAATAGACCACCACCAGCAGTTAAACAATACCCTAGCCTATCATAAAAATTCCTGCGCACGTTAAACAGCATTTCAGGACTAATATCTCCGAATGTATTAAATATTTGCACCCTTAATTAATCGAGATTATTAGCCCTGAGCTCTTGTAATTCATAAAAGCAAACAAATTCAATCCCTACCACAGTGGGCGGGGTTTGGCACTTGTTTTATTTAAGTGTATCTATTCGTTTTAATACACACTGTATATGTATATATTAGGGTGAGCCAAAAAAACTAACCTATCGGATTTATGGGTTAAAATGAACCTACATACCGAGCAAAAAATTTCCCTGCAAGGCAAAATTTTTTGCTCAATTTTAAAAGGTGTCGGTGAGCATTCTAAGTTTTCCATTGAAATAACACGTAAAAAAATCTTTTTACATTAAAAAGACTATAACTTTTGAACCGTTTAAGATAAAATTTTTTACGTCGCGGATTCTTGTAGAGCATAAAATTTCCCAAAGAATCTATACCAGGATTATTTTATTTAATTCAAAAATTCGTATGTTTGAAAGCTTTGAAAAGAGTAAAAAATCACTAAAACTGAAAAAAGATTTTTTTACGTGTTATTTCAATGGAAAACTTAGAATGCTCACCGACACCTTTTAAAATTGAGCAAAAAATTTTGCCTTGCAGGGAAATTTTTTGCTCGGTATGTAGGTTTATTTTAACCCATAAATCCGATAGGTTAGTTTTTTTGGCTCACCCTAGTATATATATACTAATTTTACAATTTAGATAGAACAACTAAAAACGTAGAGAATAATTGCTAAAATATTATTTCAAAATACATTAAAATTTATACTTTGATTGAACAAATGTAACACCCGAACCGATGGAATGACCCTATAGGTATCTTCATTTGTTTAGTATACAACCTTAAAACGTATAAAATCGTGTTTTTGATTAAAAACCAGTGTACGAACCTTAAGTTTTTGGTCATACGGCTGCGAAATTGAAAGGGAACTGCTACTTTGCGCATTGTCCAATTCCATTTCGCTGGAACCGGAATGAGGCGACTGGAACACGCTGTCGTGGCTAAGGCTGAGCGTCGGGTGCATAGAAGACGTACTCCTGAAAAAATATTTAGACAATTTTTTTTTTTTGGTTCAATTGTTTTCAATTTTTACCTTCTTCTGACGTCATCCTCGACATCGGACAACTCGCTCGTAGACCTGCTACGAATGGTGTCCTTGGGAACATCGGGTTCCACGGTGACGTCATCGTGTGATTGCTTTCTTTTAAACCACCTTTTCGGGTTCCAAAACTTTTTCTTAGTCGTTGCTAAAACGAACAAAAAATAAATATTTTTGCATAAATGTTTATATAATTCACAAAACAGTCAAAGTAATAACATTGTTATTGTTTATAACCTGAAAAATTGTCCCCATCAAGTTTTGAACAATGACAGATTACCTGGTAACCATGCACTCACGTGCAAAATAATCGATCCACGCAAATTTTTGATGAATTTCAATCGCAAATAACTTTTTTATTTGATGTCGGATTTAAACGAATATTAAAGAATATTGTAGAAAAATTAATGGACAATCGCTCGCATTTTAAATACTAAAAAATAGACGTACGTTTATAATATACAGGTTTAAACAAAAATATGTTTTTTACCACTCTGTAGAGTGGCAAAACCGTATATTGTTCTAAATTAAGTTTTATTTATCATCTATTCTTAACAGTTTTGTTTTTATATTAAGGAGATTCTTCTAAATGAATAATGCACTTCCCTGCTTGTATAATTTTTTTTATTTTCAAAACCGACTAGTTTCGACTATTATAGTCATCCTCAGGGTTTACGTCATTTAAATAAAATATACAGATTAAAATTAAACATTTGTGTGTTTATAGTTAACAAATATCAAATTCATTTCAGACTAAACAAATAAAATTAAATTATAAATAAATAAAAACACGATTAGAAATATTAGGGTTATGTTGGGATATTTGTTGTTAGTGTAGTGCACTACACTAACAACAAATATCCCAACATAACCCTAATATTTCTAATCGTGTTTTTATTTATTTATAATTTAATTTTATTTGTTTAGTCTGAAATGAATTTGATATTTGTTAACTATAAACACACAAATGTTTAATTTTAATCTGTATATTTTATTTAAATGACGTAAACCCTGAGGATGACTATAATAGTCGAAACTAGTCGGTTTTGAAAATAAAAAAAATTATACAAGCAGGGAAGTGCATTATTCATTTAGAAGAATCTCCTTAATATATAAACATACCACTGCTAAAATGGATTACATAATAAAACAAAAGTTTTGTTTTTGGTTCACCTCAATATATTTATTTTTGTGGAAAATATGGATATTTTAAAAAAACATTGCAATTTCCAATATTTATCTGTATGAAGAACAGGTTGCTATGGTCCATCCATAGGCTATGGAGAATGACAGTGACAGTTTTGTTGAATCATCCCATACTTGGACATGTCATACACGGCTTTCAAAAGCTATCAAATTGTTTTTTGCAAATTAATGTTTAAATTTTGAGGTGTCTTCTTACTTTATAAAATGGATATGTCTCCGACTGATGTTGCCAGAGTTATTAATTTAATCCAGGATGGACGGTCACAGTATTACGTGGCAAGTGTTTTAAACGTCATAAGAAGTAAAGTACAAAGGGCAACATCAGTCGGAGACATTTTTAAAAGTAAGAAGACTCCTCAAAATTAACACATTAATTTACAAAAAACAATTTGATAGCTTTTGAAAGCTGTATATGACATGTCCAAGTATGGGATGATTCAACAAAACTGTCACTGTCATTCTTCATAGGCTATAGATGGACCATAGCAACCTTAGTTCTTCATACAGGAAAAATATTGGAATATTGGAAATTGCAATGTTTTTTAAAAAAATCCATATTTTCCACAAAAATAAATATATCGAGGTGAACCAAAAACAAAACTGTTAAGAATAGATGTGACTTGATAAATAAAACTTAATTTAAAACAATATACGGCTTTGCCACTCTACAGAGTGTCTTAAACTTATGGTAAAAAAACATCTTTTTGTTTAAACCTGTATATTATAAACGTACGTCTATTTTTTAGTATTTTTTTATTAAAATTGTCTATTAATTTAGCTACAATATTCTTTAATATTCACATCGAAAATTTGTGTGGATCGATTATTTTGCACGTGAGTGTATTTAAAATTTTAGAAATTGTTCAATATCTCTGAAATTATTAATTGACAAATAGATAAAATAACATTTCCTGCTTATTACAAATTTCTTTGTTTTCAATGACAAAATTATATACCCAAATTATTGTTAAGGCTTTCTCTTTTTTGATGCTTGATTAGTTTGTAAAACATGTCAGAAATAATTAGATTTAATTCATCAAAATGATTTTATAAAGGTTTTCACTTTTATAAAATATATTTTTAACGAATCGTGACATTACATAAAAAAGATTTATAATACATATAGGTACGTATTTTTTATGTAAGATGCGGGCATTCTTTGAATCCATAGTAAAAACCGTTTTCATTAATATTGTATGATTTCCTTTGTTATTTACTCAAGAAATGATTGGATTAAAATATGTGTGCTAACCAAGTTTAAAAATACACAGGGAAATATTATTTCGTAAGGAACGTTTTGATTTAATATGTATAAATAATATTTCCCTGTGTATTTTTAAACTTGGTTAGCACAAATATTTTAATCCAATTATTTCTTGTATACATATGCCATATGAATAGAAAATTCTATTTGGAGTTTGGAATTTAAAATATCACAAAAAGAATTGATAGAATTTGACTTTCGTTGGGCCACCCTATATATATTATAAACAAACGTGTTTGTAAGTAAAACATTTAAGCAAATTCATACCACAAAAAAATTCATAATTAATTATGAGTTTACCTAACGATAAATTAATTCAGCTATTTGCCTTAAAAAATGCGCAGCATAGGTAAATAATTAATATGAACAATTGGGGCAGAAACTCATCAAAATTTATGAGGTAATATAAGTATTTGTAAAATGGCACAAATACCAAAAGGTACACAGAAATATAGCAAATTTTTGCTAATTAAATATTTACTAGTTTGGAAACAAAATCTACCTGTTTAAAGATTTTTTTGAGAAAAAAAATCGGAATTTTTTAATGAATTTGTTACTTTTGATGGTCACTGTATGCATGTATGTACAGTGTTGGAGGAAAGTAATGCACGTGTTTTTCATATTTTTGTCTCCTAAAAAATATTTTAAGTTTTAAGATTTTTATAGTCCACACTGTACACTTAAATTTAAACAAAACATACGCTAAAGAAGTATCGGGTTTTCGCAACGCGCGCGCCATCTGGTGGACTTCGATAGCATTTCGTAAATTTAAGAATTGTCAACAATACATTTAAAGCACAGATTATACATCATTTTTAAATAAATAGGTAGTTTTTTTACAAAAGAGAGGAAGGCAGAAGTCTTACTAGACAAATTTTGTTCAATTGCACAGCTAAATCGCGCACGTTATTTGTGTTTTACGTTGCAGAGAAAAAATTAAAAAACTTTTTTAGTACTCGATTTTGATTGATTATTCCTTATACCATTGATTAAGAAACTCAACACTTAAATGCTTATATAGTTACGTTAGTGCGTGTATTTTATCTAAGGGATCATGGTGAATTATTGTGTTTTTAATTGTAAATAAAATTCAAGAACTGAATCGTTGCATTTTCATGTTTTGCCAAAGGATCCAATTCGGTAAGTACATTTGTTGGTGCAGAATTAACTAATGACAACTTTTCCTAATATAATTTATATCTAAGTTTGGACATTTTTAAGAAATTAGTAAAAAATAATTTTTGCACAAACATAACCTTAAAATCAACCATTTTTATATTTGAGTTCTCTAAAAACGCCGACAACTGCATTTTAAACAACATAATATACCTACGAATTCATGGCAACATAATATTATATATAATACATAATATAATGGTATTTTACCGTTGAGTGGAGACTTTAAAGAATTCTTAATCAACGCTTTTAATAATGCTAAATGCGGTTTAAATTTGGACGACTTATTTGTTTGACGATTATTACTGAATTGAAATATTTACACTTTTCACGTTAATCACTACTAAAATGTGTATTTATTGTATCTAATAGGTACAATTTATATTTACAGAGACTGTATGCAATTTATTTCTTCATTCAGATTAACACTGTTTCTTGGAAAACCGGCAAAAACTCAACCTAGGATTTCCTCTCGAAATACACCCAACAACACAATCGAGCCACCGTTTTTCTCTCAAAAACACTCGTTTGTAACATAAGCGTTTTACTTTTGTTAGCAGCCGAGTGGTGGCGCTACTAGCGATACTTCTATAGCGTATAACTACCAAAAATATAATAAATACCATAAAAACCACTTATCGAAAAAACTAATGATTTGCACATTTCACAGACCTCCCTTTAAAGAGTCCAATTGGATACTGTAGAAACCATCTTGTGGCGGAAAAATTTCTGATTGGAGCATCCCCGTCCAAAAAACTGTAACAATAACCACACCTTCGCGCGCACGTTGAACGTGATCCACTGTTTTCGTGATAAATTCACTCATTCACTCATTTTTAACCGATTTGAATTCGACGTTCTCGCTTGGCCGCCACTGTTTCCTGCACTGAGTCCAGCAGACCCGTCGAACTTTTAGTCGTTGGTTAGGATGAAAGCAATTGTTCGAGGCACACGGCCGGGTAATTTTTTAATTGGTTATGTTAATTTTTTCGCTTTTTTTTAATTGGGGCTTTTGGAGAGTGACTTTTAGCGAAAATAATTACATCGCTGTGGTTATGGTCCACCGTGGTATTGCTTACGCATTTAGTTTCGTTTTTTGCAGATTGTTGTCGATGGTCGGCGCACCTTTATGCTTTAGGTGTGCCAGCATCAATAGCAGTTAGTATAGTTGACAAAATTTAATACCATACAGCGCATTTGTTGTGATCTGGCATTGTTAACATTTATTTGTTTATTTTGTCTAATCTACAACAAACATATTCTTCAATTTTAATTGTAGTTAAAGTTAATTTTTTTTATCTGGACTGCGGCAACGTTGCAAATTTGGTGGTTGGTTGGTAAATAAGAAATCAAAATTGGTTGCATTGATTTAAACAAACTAAACTAGTTATAAATGTAATTTAAAATTGTAATGGCTATAAAAAAATGTACCACCCTTATTAAATTTTCAGTGTCTTATTGGGACAAAAACCTACGATTTGTCAAAGTAATGAGATTATTTTTATTTACAGAATAAACTTTATTTACTGTTAATAAAATTCTCATTTACTATAATGAAGCAGCAATGTTGAGCATTTATAAAAAAATGTTCATCCAACAAAGTAATGGTTGTTATCATATTGCCATGGCAATAAGAAATACTTTATGTTTATATTAAATCTTTGTCGAACTTAAAATGTTTTTGTTAAATCTACAGCTGTGTGTGAATTGCGCTTATATAAAGTAATGCGCAGTTGTTATAGTAAAATTTGTTCATTTTACTATAGCATATTTGTCTTTTATAAATTACTAGCGTTGTAATTCAAATTAATTTTATTTCAGTTAGAAAATCTTTGTTAATAGCTTACGTTAAGAACAACAACAAAAATATTTTATTGCTCTAAAAATACTTTTTTAATATTTACTATTGTTTTGCAATGGTAACAAATTTTTTGTTATTTTCCTTAAAAAGAGGGGGAAAGGGCCAGCGCTCTCCTTGGTGAACATAACTTTATAATCCACAGCCTGTGTTTATATATAATCTTATTGATTTCACTTGTGCGAGTGAAGTGTGGTTAAATCTAGCATGATAAAAATATCAAAAAGATCACTAAGAAAATTAAAATTTCGACGTTTTCTAAAAGAAATATTTAAGGTCTATTCTATAAACGAAGCAGACTTGTTGTTTAAAAAGTGAGTTCATATTTTTTTATTGTACATCATTGTATAATATGAGTTAATTTTTTTGTTATAATAAATAATTTGTTTTAATGCCTTGCAATTATTAAAAAAACTACCCAACACCCAACAGTGGGTTGAAAATGTGACCATTGTTACAATGAAAATAGTTTATTGAATTAACAATTAATTTGTTGTTAAATTTACATAAATTTAATTAATATTACAAAAAAAGTTTTATTTTAAATGAATGGGGATTTGTAAAATTTACAAAATGTCTATAAATAATACCACTAACACCAATAATTTTTATTTTTTGGTTTTTGTGTCAAAAATCGTGTAAAATCGCAAAAATTCAATAAATCGTGTAATCTGGCAACACTGTTTGGAGTCTATCCGTACCATTGCAAATCTGGTTTGAAGAAATGCAGGCTTTTTTACGAAGAAAAAAATAACGACTTTTACTAAACCTGCTTGATTTTCCTTAAATTGTAGTGCATTTATTTTATCTGTCGGTTTCTTTATAAATATTTTTGGAGCATTTACGTACTAAATTAATGTTATGTTATCTATATGTAAATAAACGTTTTAAGCGAAAGGTTTTGAAATAGCGAGTATAGCTAGTAAAACGGTTGGCCAACCGTTGGATTATGTCCAGAAAGGTCTCTATAAATACCAAAAGTCGACACCAGAAACATTTTACTTTGAATGCGGAAACCGCTAAATACTAAAACTCGCATTTTCGAGACAGGTAGACATAAGTTATATGTAGGTCTGTTAAGTAAAAGTATGAAATTTTTGTCAAAATGATAATGATAAAAATGTATTGTGATATTTTTAAAACATTTTTTGTATTTTATATAAAATTCATATTACACAATTTTAAAATAATATTTTATCAAAAATTGTAAATTAAATTCCTATAATCTTTAGATAACAGTTTATTACCTTATAAGGTAAATATTTTATACTAATAATGAGTGGTTATTTATATATATATATAAATTTATAAATTTGAATCGCTTACAACAATAAAAATAACTATTGTTAAACATTACATTTTACGTTGTAATATAAAAACCATATTTGTGTGAGATTTTTTTCGTCATTTTAATTAAGTTTTATTGTTGGTGCCTACGCCATCTAAATTTTAATTGGGCCGTTATGTAAAATAATTGCCTAATCAATGGTTTATTTGAGTATTCTGTTTATGCTCGACATTTCAATTATAAGTAGGTATGCCATTTAATTCAAATTTTAATTAAAAGTTGAGAAAGGTAGTGAAATATTGGAGATCGGTAAAGCGAAAATTAACACGGTGTGCATGAACGAAGTTTAAGTCACATAAAAAATCATGAATTTTCAAAAAAATTCGAAAAGAGGAGCAGCTTGGATTTTGGTAAATATCATTTTTAAGTCACCAAAGGATCCCGAACAAGAAACTGCAATTAGTTTTTGGCGGCATTTTTATATGACTTAAACTTCGTTCAGGCACACCGTGTATAGTTTATTCCAAAAATGAAAAAGTACAGGTAAATGTTATGCGGGTTTACTTACTGATTTTTTCTGGTTCCCTCTCATTTTCTGGCTGGGGGGAGGATTCCCGCCCCACGCAAGACATCAGGCTTAGGGGGCCTGCCCCCGATGAGTGATGGCCGCCCACTGCTGCCGAGGACATCTGAAAGAAATACAAAAAGTCAAAAAAAACCAAAAAAAAACAAATACAGGATGTAATTGCAAATTAAAACATAGTTTTTCATTCCGAACAACTTTTCATTAGTGGTGCCGTCTAGACAAGACAAGACAAGAGTTACTTACTCTTGTCTTGTCTTGAAAATTTTAAGACAAGAGTTGTGTAAGTCTAAGTCTTGATTAAAAAAGCTTAATGCGGTCTTGTCTAGAATAACTAGTCTAGATTATTATTTAAGAGTCTAGATTATTATTCAAGAGTCTAGATATAAATTATGCGTCTGCGCAATGTAACTCCCACTCTTGTTTTAGAACCAGTCACTTCCGCCACGTGCAGACACAACCCTTGCGTTATGTTTTTGCACTAAATTAAGCAGTAAATTTATTATTATTTAGGTTAGTTTTTGTTGTTTTACTACTGGTTAATACTAAGAAGCATTTTAAAATATGAAAACAAAGCGTTTACTATTTTCCTGCAATGCCGATAAAAAACATCGCAAGTACAATTGCCAAATGATAATAATAATTTTAATGAAGAAGAAGTGGAAGATCCTTTTCCGTGTGATTCGATAGATGAATATAAAAGTTATGAGTCTGGACCAGACGATTTTTCTTCAACAACAATCTACTTCAAAGACCACTCAACATAAGAAAAAAACCCTTAATAAGGTTATTGACAAAAATAGTTTCAAATATATCTAGAAAATAAGCCTAACATTAAATATAAAATATATGTATACCTACCTATATTCTTTTTAATAAAAAAATAATAATTAAATGAAGTGAATAATAAAATAATAATTAAATAAAGTGAATATTATTTTTAAAAGTTAAATTTGATCTAGTCTTCAAAATAATCAAGAGTTTTGGCTTAAAGTCTTGTCTTGTCTTGATTATAATCAAGATTTTTGGCAAAGGTCTTGTCTTGTCTTGATACACTTAGACAAGATATGTTGATGGTCTTGTCTTGATATTCTAGACAAGACAAGACAAGAGTCTAGAATGTGTTAGTCTTGACGGCAACACTACTTTTCATAATCACAGTTTTTGTTATTGTCACAAATAAAGGTAGGTACTTTACCTACTCTTGTACCAAATTCATATTTTTTGTAAAACCTCGTATATGCCTGAAAAAATTTGATACCTGATAATTTTATTTTAGATTTTAGAACATGCAGAACTTTTTATAAAGAATAACTTTCCTTCGTAAAATTAATAATAAAAAAGTTTCTCATATGTTGCCAACTTAAGTACACTCAGAAAAATGTACATGCACTGATAATGAAACTAATTTTGTAAGCAATTAATAAAATAATATTATTTAACTTAAATTTAAAATTGTAATGGCTATAAAAAAATGTACCACCTAAGGTACATTTTTTATTAAATTTTCAGTGTCTTATTTGGGACAAAAGCCTACGATTTGTCAATGTAATGAGGTTATTTTTATTTACAGAATAAACTTTGTTTACTGTTAATAAAATTCTCATGGACTATAATGAAGCAGCAATGTTGATCTTTAATAAAAGAAATGTTCATCCAACAAAGTAATAGTTGTTATCATATTGTCATGGCAATTAGAAATACTTTATGTTTATATTAAATCTTTTATTTGTCGAACTTAAAATGATTTTGTTAAATATATAGTTGTGTCACACAACTTGTTTGTGAATTGCGCTTACATAAAGTAATGCGCAGTTTTTATAGTAAAATTTGTTCATTTTACTGTCTTTTTTAAATTACTATCGTTGTAATTCAAATTAATTTTATTTCAGTTAGAAAATCTTTGTTAATAGCTTAAGTTAAGAACAATAACAAAAATATTTTATTGCTATAAAAAGACTTTTTTAATATTTACTATTGTTTTGCAATGGTAACAAAATTTTTGTTATTTCCCTTAAAAAGAGGGGGAAAGGGCCAGCGCTCTCCTTGGTGAACATAACTTATAATCCACAGTCTGTGTTATAATCTTATTGATTTCACTTGTGCGAGTGAAGTGTGGTAAAATCTAGCATGATAAAAATATCAAAAAGATAAAATTTCGACGTTTTCTAAAATATTTAAGGTCTATTCTGTAAACGAAGCAGACTTGTTGTTTAAAAAGTGAGTTCATATTTTTTTATTTTGTACATCATATAATATGAGTTAATTTTTTTGTTATAATAAATAATTTGTTTTAATGCCTTGCAATTATTTAAAAAAAACTACCCAACACCCAACAGTAGGTTGAAAATGTGACCATTGTTACAATGAAATTCAATTATTGAATTAACAATTAATTTGTTGTTAAATTTACATAAATTTTATTAATATTTTAAAAAAAGTTTTATTTTTAACAAAAAGGGATTTGTAAAATTTACAAAATTTCTATGAAAATACCATTAGGGTTTCATTAATACTACGAAACGTTTTTGTAAACAGTATAGAACTGTTTTTTTGGACAAATAATAATAACCATATTTATCAATGCGTTTCTGCATCTGGAAGAGAGTTATTTTATAAACATAACGTAAATTTACTTTATAATTAATGCAAATGCTATTACTGAAAGCAGCATTGTAGATAAATAATTTTTATAAAAATGATGTTTTTGCCGTAACAAAAGCAATTGTTGGACGAATAGGGATCTTTACTTTATTAAGACAAACTACTTTTTTGTTATATTGATTAAAAAAAATTCTGAGTGTAGCTAATACATGTTTCTCACGAAATGATGCCAAAAAAGCTCTGAAAGCTCTAATGCGTTGTTTTTTACTATCATCCCACTTGGAGCTTTCCAGAGGGCAGAACGGCCTTCAAATCCAATTTGCGGAAAGAAGAGAAAAACAAACGGACTAAAATTTTAGACACCGACAACAAAAACCAAGTTTGGTCCCTCGCAAGTGCCAAGGTCAACGAACAGACACGAGATTTACTCGTCATACCCTTATCTCCACGTTATGCCTTGTTGCCAAGTTTATGAACAATAGCATCAAGGAAACAATGAAATGCGTCCTAAACATCACTTTTTACTTAAGAACAATTTGAGATTGATTTTTAGATTGTCTTTTTTTCTAGAATATGGCAACACTGCGATGCAAGAAAAGTGCATAATAACACACTTAATTAAAACAATCAAAAACAATTGTTTTTTAAGAGATTTTCCTAGTTTGTTGTCTTTTTGCACGATTTGGCAACACAGGGTGATCGATAGTGCACGACCTCGACCACGAGGGCCACATGACCTTCCCCACACGAAAAACAGTCGAAAATCCGTATACCTGCCACCCTTGTTTTCTCGCGAAAATTTTACGCCCAATCAAATTTGCATATGAATAGGCTGTACTTGGTAATGCAATTTTACAATTTTTATTGTGTTGTGGTAGACTCTGTATGTTTTTTTTGTGTTGGTAACAGAAGGGCGATCAATTTTTAAAATCCAAAAAGTTGATTTATAAGAATATACATAAGGGCGATTCCATGATTACTAACGGGACAAGTAAAAAAACCAAAATGTTTTATGAAAATTTTTGAAGATGTGTGGTTCCTATAATAATAATAATTTCATGCCAGTCCTCAGCAATGATTAAGTTATAATAACTATTATTTTGTCTTGTTTTTGTTTGTCCCGTTAATAATCATGGAATCGCCCATATATGTATCTACATATATCAATAATTGAAGACCTTGGGAATTTAGTCTCTCTTTTGTTGGACACCCTGTAGGTATATTTTTTCTTGATTTTTTAAAAATTTTCAGGGTTCTTTAAACTGTTTTTAAACTTTTATTTTATTATTGTTTTTAAGAAACGTTTCACATTTTTTATATAAATAATAATTGCTATAGCATACTAAAAAAGTAAAAATTTCACAGAAATGTTTTACATTTTTTAATGAATTCACTTCACTTACTTAATGGTATATAAAAAAATAATTGCTGCTAAAAAAAGTAAAAATTTCACCTCTTAAATTATTAATTTTCAAGTCCATTTATTATGCCTAATGTTTTTAATTAAATGAAATATATCTTGGAATTTTTAAATTGCAGTCTACGAAATTTCAAGGTCAGAACATTATTATTTTAAGCAATAAATATTTTGTTTTAATACATAATTCTGGTATTTCAATCAGTTTAAAATTTAAAATAGATTCATCCTTGAAGAACTATGTATTTTGAAACTTGCAACAATATTAATTTTAAAATGTTTACTCACCTTTTTAATGCCTATTTTTCCACAGAAAAAACGCCATTTTTAAAACCTACAACAAAAAAAAACAAATTAACAACTAATTACAAACCTAACCTAAATATTTACATAAAATTTTTTAGACACATACATAAGCCACCTAATACAACAAATCTTATAATAGTATATTAAAGAACTAATGTCATAAGACGTCATTTTGTCGCACGCGGACAATTTATAAAACGAGCGACGAAGGAGCGAGTTTTATAATGGACAAGTGCGACAAAAGGTCTTATGACAGCATAAAGATGCTATTTTATCTATTTTGCAAACATTTCATAAAACAAATTAATTTTATACCTTATATTTAATTTGGTGGAATTTTACTTTACATAGTTGGTATCACAATTTGAAGTTTGAAAGGTCATTATATTCTTTTTCTATGTCATTAACCTTTCAAACATTATCACATTCTTTCGCTATGGCGTCGTTAATTTAAAATAAGTATTTACAATAAGCGGCTGTTAAAGAAGAAAAAAGGATTTTCTTTGGTGTTAAACAAAATTTATTGCACGAAAAGTCTCGTAAGTACTAGAAAACAAATCATAAAAATATTATAACCTATAGGTATTCAAAATTGTATTTTACCAGTAGCCAACCTATAAAATCAAAATTTTGGGTGGAATAAAGTACCTCATTAAAGAACCAAAAGCGGTGTTATAATGAAGTCATTATGAAACCAAAATAGATAAAGGGATTTTATTTTTCTATTATAATTTCCAACGTCATAGGTGACTCAATTTTACTATTTTTAGTAAGTTATGCACGTTTTTGATAAAAATAGACGCCCTTTGACGCGTTTACTAATGAAGTGAAATGGCGATTTTTATAGGTTTCTATTGATTCATCAGATATATAGATTTACTAGAAGTTTTTGAAGTTTTGACTGGGATATTATTCAACTTATTAATGGATATTGCAAGCTTGATTAGGCTTAACACAAAAACATACTTTGGATGGACAGAGAAAGTAAAAACAATAAAAAAACAAAATTCAACCAGTAGTTTTCAAGATATTAAACAATTAAAAATTTGGCAACGCTGTGTGTTTAATAAGCTAACATATCTTTATCTAAGGTTAACATAGTTGACAGATGTATTTTTTGCCAGTCTGTGTCAATAAAATAAAAACTAATAATTATAACTTTGTTTAAAAAGGTTTTCTATCCTTTACGTAAATCTATATTCCTAATCTTAAAATAATAATAAATAAATAACATTTCATGTTTCCAGTCTTCACCAGTGGCGTAACAAATTCTAAGTGGGCCCCCCCGCAAAACGATTTTAATGGGCCCCCTTTACAATAAGTAAAAAGTTTATTATTACCCTTAGGTAATTTTTAAATTAGTTTATCATAGTACTTTTAAACTCATATTAATAATATTATACACATAATATTTTTTTAATTAAAATTTTTGACAGGTAGGTAAAGAGTGTATACGATAGACAGGCATAACTTATGTCACATAAGATAAGCAAATAAAAAAGGATTAGGTCAGAAAAATGGATGTGTTTTATCGACAATATGCTTTTTTTCAAATTCGCACATGCGTAAAAACTTAATTAAGTTCATGTGTAGTTATCGTTTGTTAATTATAATTATATATATATATATATAAACAGAAAATATTTGGGTAATTATTATTTAAATATTTTTTTAAAAGAATCTTAATAAGATATTATATATTATAGAATTACGAAAATGATCCTGCAAATAAAAAGGTATATAGAATAAGCCTAGATACAACCTGTATCTGCAATTTTTGGTAGTAAAACAGAAAATATTTAATTAATTTTGGTTTAAAAAATCTTATTCTATTCTATAATATATAATACTTTCTTTAAATTTTTTTTTTAAATATTAATTACCTAAATATTTTCTGTTACGATAACTACACTTGAACTAAAATAAGTTTTAACACATGTGCGAATTTGCAAAGAACCATATTGTCGATACAAAATTTTAAAATACTAAAATACAGGTTGGCTCTTTATCCACCATGGTAATTCTATAAAGTTTATATTTTGTCGTATTGCATTTAATTTAATTTTTTAAAAATTGTTAAATTTTAATTATTTTTAACGAATAATTTTTGCATAACTTTCAAACCAAATAACAATAGAATTAAAATATAACAAATAACATTATTAACATTTGAAAAAGCGTTTAATAGATGGCGCTACAACCGCATTTTATTTCTCGCGCATGTTCAAAATCAACGAATGAAATAAATAGGTTTAACAAAAAATACTTATACGTTTAGTTTTTTAAGATTTTTAATTTTTTTTAAAGATTGAACATTTAAAAAATTAAATATTTCTTTAATTTATTGGTTTAAACTTTTAAAGAGTGATGTGAGCCTTGGGCCCCCTGACCCTCTGGGCCCCCCCGCGGTGCGGGGTCTGCGGGGGTGCTTATTACGCCACTGGTCTTCACTGAAAATCAGAGAAAATTCCAGTGAACAAACTAATACTAATAAGATAAAATAAAGTAAGAATGACTCAAAAATATATTTTAAAATAATCTTCAAAAAGGAAGATGAGAATCAATTTATTTTGGGAACTTGTGTGTGTCATTTCTATTGCCAAAAAAACATCAACAAAATCTGAAATCTTTATAGGTAGGTAACTTAATTAAAATTGCAAGGTATATATTCCACTGAAAACGAGTCTAATAAAATCAATAGATCAAAACGTATCAATCCACTTTTATTTAAACAATCACTAGGTACAACTAGGTTAACTCGAACTTAAATAACTTCGTTAAATAACCTTTTGTTATGTCACACACACCTTTCGATGAACTGACTTTCTAACACAAATCTAAAAAAAATTAATACACCCACCCAACAAACAAGACTAAACAAGTACACAAAACCAGGCAATTACCGTCAAATAACTGTAAGCTATCCTTATTTGGAAAATTATTACTAACTTTATGTGGCAACGCGTATATATTATTTATAAACAGTTAAAATAGTTATGAGTTTGTGGAAAATATTACCAAAAACAATGGTTGGTACCTAATTAGTTGGAATTTATCTTTAGGAAGCAATACGGTTATATATCTGAGTGTGTGAAATAGTTTACATTAATTTTGGTTAAAAATGTTATAAATTACACTATCTTGAGGTTTATTATTGTTAGGTAATTGGTACTTTCTGGTCTTTTTAATTGTCATCTGTACATTTTGACTTGATATAGGTACCTATAAGACCGTGGACCAGAGAATAACAATAAACCCCAACCAATTTATTAGCTATTTGCATTTAAAAATTGTTAAAAAACAAATAAATCGCAGTGTCTGTGCATCTTTGACATTTATGCGTAAACTGTTGACATCTACATACTTGATTTGTCATTTGGCGACAAAACAATTTCTTGTTTATTTAACCTTGCAAACCTTAAGTAAAACATTAAGGTTATCAACACCTGGGCAAGAAATTTAAATATAAAACTGTTCTGTTCAGTGAAAAACTGAAAAAATCAACGATTCGTGAACTGATCGTGTGCACCATTTAGAATAGAACCACTTTTAAACAGAGCACAGAAATCGTTGAAGCAAAATAAGCAACAATTCAATAAAAAAATCATGTTAGCATTGACAACATTTTGCAACAAAGAGTCGACTTGATTTAACGTGTTAAAATGTCAAAACATACGAGTTTGTTGATCCACACTCGGCTAACTAGATTAAAAGTTCACGGTAGGTACCGAAAATTTTTTTAAAGCTCACCTTTAAAATTTAATCCCACGCAAAATGCACACTGAAACACCCTCACAAAACATCAAAAACGCGCACTTTTCAGTTAAAAACACACGACTTTAACGCGAAATAAAATCAACACGGACTTTTGTGTCCTTAAAAACACGTTTTTTGGACGAACTGAACGAACAGAAATACAAAATCAAACTGTCAACTGTTGCACGAAGCAAGCGATGTTTTTAACCGGTGCTGCCAGCAACGGTGACATTTTAAAAACATATTTAACAAATACTTACAGGAAACTGTATTGAAGACTTTAGATATTCGCCGATGTGTGGCTAAAATTTGAATAAAATTAAATATTAATTTAATCAAAAATGCGATCAAATATCGAAAATATGTTAATATATCACTGATTTACTGGTTTTATTAAAATATAGGTACTCATACCTATTAAAGGTATAATACTTTCAAGAGTCATTTTTTATTATAATTTATAAAATAAAAATAAAACGATTAAACAACAAAAATATATATTTAGGCACATAAACGTATTAGAGTATATTTAAAAGATCTATAGAAGCTATTCAAGGCATATAATCACAAATTTAGTATGTATTTATACTTAATAACATTAAAATTTTGGTACTTTGAACATAGGACCATGTCCAGGGATAATATAGTCAGCAATAGACAATATTTTCTGCCTATTAGCCCTCTGTAGGTCAACATTAACACTATTTTCTTGCCACAAATTCTCATCCTGTGCATCGCCCTCACATTCGAATAAATCCCCCGTTATAGCATATAAACCTTGACTTGTACAAACTAGTACGCTCACATCTTGACTAGTATGCCCTGGTGTAGGTATAACCTTAATATCGCCGTTAATAACATACTCTTCGCCCCCTTTGAAATCATGATCGTAGAACTCATCAGTGTGGCTTACATCATAACCTACAATATGTATGGCGTGTTTAAACAAATAATTGCAGCCCATGTGATCGGAATGGCCGTGTGTGCACACTACGTAGTTGATGTCAGATGGTTGCAGCTGGTATCTTTGCAATTTCTCCGTGAGTTCGTCCCCATCCCAGGCGTTTAAGGTGTCTATGATTACGTTTTGAGGTCCTTTAATTAAGGTACAGCTGCCTCTGGCGTAGTATTTATCGTTTTCGTCGAAGGAATAACCTTCAAACAACACTATCGGGACATTTTCCATCTTTTGAGGTAGGTTTTTGACTTGGGCGTGTTTGAGGTTAGATTTTTGACGTTTGAATGTCAAACTAATTATAATGTGTTATCTTGGTTGCATAAGTGGTGCGCAGAAATTTTATATTTATATTTGCACAATTCCACACATAGAAATAGGATATTCCCTATGGATTGGGTATATTTATATGTATATTATATGTATGTAACACATAACAATACCTATGGATATTATATTAGGTGGTAGGTAATTATTTACAAATGTTTATTTACTTTGGTGTTAAAAGGTGTTAAAATTTTTATAGTTAAATAAACATCCTAAAATAGTAAAATTTTATAAATAAAGTTGTTAATTATTTGTTAATTGTATACCTAACTAAATAAACTTAAGTTAATTGGACTGAGGAAGTCTAATTTAACTTAATTTAACTTCTTTGATATTTTATTCAATATTCGATTAAAATGAGTTTTTAAGGTGAGATCAAAAATTCTTTCATAAATTATGATTTATAATATTCAATAATAATAATAATAATTAAGAATTTATTTAAAAAAATATATAATAATATAAGAGAAAACCAAAAATACAAAATTTTGCACAAAGTGGATAAAATAATCACAAAACTTCAGGTAAATATTGACTTTTATATCAATTAGGCCTCTCTTATCTGAAAACCTAGAAATATACCTACTTAGATAACGCTCTGATACCGCAGATAATTCACAATAAACGACAAACAATAGATTAAACTCCAGACAAATTAACCAAAAATTAACCCCACCACCTAATAATCCTACCTACACATTATTAGCGTTTAAAACCTCAATTTATCTCAAACTTAAAACTCATTATGCTTTAAACTGCCCGAGAAACAACGTGGCGCCATCTGCACATTGCCCAAGTAAATATCTCACCTGTTTTTCACTACCTGAACAGGTGAGTGGGGTGCGATCACGTGACCGTTGACTTTTTACGTAAAAAACAAGTGAATACAACAACCGCGCCTACTCCGCGCTACAGACCGCTGCAACCTTTTGTTTAGTATTTTTTGTACGCGCGTGAAGTAAAAAGTGTAATATGTGTTTGTTTCTATGGTGATTGGTGTTTGTTTTTGGTGCTTGCACGATGTTTTACATGCGGACGTTTTTATTTTTCGTATTTAGTGCAAGTTTGGTGATTTCTCAGGAAGATAGGGATTTTTATGTTAACGGTGGCTCACCACAGAATACCGTAGGGTCGAAAACGGAGCACCCTGGAGGTGTTATAACGAACGATCAAGTGGTCTTCTACAAATCCCAGTCACCTTATTGGCTGAGAAATGACATAATCATCGAGAGATCCGGGGAGCTGGTTATAGAGCCAGGGGTTGAAGTTAGAGTGGAACCACAAGTTGGTATCACGGTCAGGGGTGTCCTAACGGCTAAGGTAACTTTCTTTGTTATACAAGTGGCTTTGAAACAAGTGCATTTTTATAGATGGTATTTCCGTTAGACGTTTGCATCCTCTTTTATGGTGTTATCTGTGGTAAATTGGTACCATGATGTTGAAATATGTATTAATTAATCATCATAATCTGATAGCGCGATTTTATTAGTTGTTTTATTTTATTATTTTCGCGGAATTTAATGATTTTTAGATGTATGACTGAAAAGTATGAAAATGGAAAAAATATTAATGAATTTTCTACAATAACATCTACAAAAATTAAGAGTTTTAACAAATTTTCGTCCTAAAAAACGTTTGTGAGAATATTGACTATTTTCCAAAATTAATTATTTTTTGCAAAATTTAATGTTTAATTAAGGCTAAAAAGTTATTAATATTATATTAATTTTATTAAAAAAGAAGAATGAAAGCCAAAATAGTATATTAAAGAAATAATGTCATAATACGTCATTTTGTCGCGAGCGACGAAGGAGCGAGTTTTTTAATGGACGAGTGCAACAAAAGGTCTTACCACATGAGTTCTTTATGCTATTTTATGAATTTTGCAAAAATTCTATAAAAAAATAATTTTATATCTTAAATTTAATTTGGTCGAATTTTACTTTAGATAGTTCACAGTCATTGGTTTGAAAGTTAATGTCAAAATCGATTCGCCATGCCTTCCTTAATTTACTTATTTACAATAAGCGGCTGTTAATGTTAAAGAAGAAAAAAGGATTTTCTTTGGTGTTAAACAAAATGTATTGCCAGAAAAGTCTCGTAAGTACTAGAAAAATCATAATAGTATAGGCATGAGCGAGCTTGCGAGCGAGTGCTTAAATTAATGAGTGTATAGAAAAGTTTATATACTTTTTCTACTACAAATACTTATTATTATCTTAAAATGATTTAAATTAAAAATTTGTATAGAGCGCCATCTATGAAACAATAGGGGAATCTGTGTTTCACCGTCAAATGTCACATTTTTAAATTTTATAAACACAGATTATAAAGGTTTAAAATCGAAATGTATTTCTTGAAAATTTTCACAGTGAAAGTAAAGAAAACGTTTTATGAGGACTTTACAGTGGAGTCCGTGCCCGAATTTAAGTTATAGTTTACTGCCGGCGAAATTAAAAGGTCAGTACAATGTTCATATAAACTTTTCAAATATTGGCGTTGAGAAACTATTTAATACTTTTGTATTTTTGTATTGAGATAATAAAATAATTTTCACATTTAGTATTATTTTACAAGAAAGGCACTTTATTTTAACGATTGTATGACATTTGACAACTGTCAACTAACTTAAAACTAACTTCAGCCCGTGACTAAGAACCTGTTGCTAACTTCAGTCCGTGAATAAAGCGCAATAAAGCCACAACTTATCAATAGGTATTTAAAAGGTCACTTAGTGTCATGGAAACATGTACGATAAAGGGAGTTTTAAAGGTGGGAGTAGAAAAAATATTATAACGAATATGAAGTCAAAAAATGTAAAATATATTTTCTGTAAGCGTAATTGTATAGAAATATATGCCTTCTATATTGTTGGATGTCTATTAATTAGCCAACAATATTTTCTTATATCATTAAAATGCCATTTAGGCAGAAACATTGGAACAACTATTTTTTTTCAAAATTGTTGTAGACCTTAAGCCAATAATTAAGTAAAAATACCTAATTGAGAAAGATGAAACTCATTTTATTTAAATAAACGTCACAACTCTTGAAACCATTGACCAGATATTTTTTTAAATTGAAAGCATTAAAAATTTCGTGGCACAGTGAAAAACTGCTTCTATATCAGACTTAAAGGGTTGTTAACTATAGTTTATTTTTAAGGGTAATACAGATTCCCAAATTAGAAATTACGTATATATCGTTGGCACTACTTGTTGATTGACAAAAATAACCATTGCACCACTTCTACACTACTATTTTTTGTTTAAAAGCTCTGCTACTTCTACAAAAATAGTCCGATTCTGTTAAAATGTTTTGGGTAAACTATTTTTTTTAATATAGTTTTTCTTTAAACATATTGTTACAACAGGTTTTTTAAATCAGTGAATTATTTAGGCGAATTTACAAAATTAACAAAAACAATTGATTGGGAACATTTGCAGGAAAACTCATAATATTTTTGGAATTTACTTTACGAACATAATATACATATTATGCTGAAAATTTTACTAAAATTGTATTACTCATCTGAAAGGTCATTCCAAATAGGTTGATTTATTTTAAATTATCTTTCGACTGTGTATCTTTAAATAACAATATGACATGCTTAAAAAAGCATTACTTTCTCTTATACCTAGCACTATTTATTATTAGGCAATCCTTTAGTAACACTACTTACTACTGTATAAGAAATAAATATGTTAATTAAATTAAAATAATAACACAGGCAAATTAAAACACAATGCTGAACGTATCGCTAAATAAAAGACGTTTAATTAATAAATTATATGTTTTCTTATTAAATTTAAGTGTGTCAAAGTGTTTTTCGTAATCCATTGTTGTATGGGAAAAAAGAAGAATTTTAAAATTATTATTTTAACTTGTTATTTAAAACATACCATAAAAATCGTTTTTACCTTCAATTTGAGAATTCGGTGAAAGTTTGACAGAATCTTTTTTAAAAGCATGAATTAAGAAAATACTTAATGAAAACAATAAATATTTAAGTAAGATTCGTTTACCTACTAAACCCTAGTTATTAGTAAAGTGCTGATTATAAAAAACGTAAATAAATGTGGAAATAATGACCCACATACCTCAAAAATAAAACACACGATTTAATACAATTGCTACTAATTTTTTTATCAGTAAATAGATAAAACAATTTGTACTAATTTGGTTATCATTATACTGTTTTAAATAATTTTTTACACTTATTTTCTTCGTTTTTTTTATTTGAACTTCACACAAATTTTTGAACTTTTTTATATTTGCTTTTAACATTTTTATGTGTTGATAAAAATTAAATTGATAACACACCTTTTTTAATCTTGAAAAACGTTGTTAGAACACGTTACAACATTTTCTGAATCATTTGGTTTAAATAATTAGTTGACTCATACTGGTGACCCCTATAAATACATAGTAAGAGTATCCTACCTATTAAGAATAAATGCATACTTGGAATTTTATACGTTAATATTATTATTAGTAGTAATACCTATTTGTAGTGATTCATTGATTTTTTTATTATTTTAAGAAAGATTTATATTCAACAGTGTTCCCAACAACATATGTAAATTATATGTTAATAAACTCATTGGGAATATTAAAATATTCTAGAGTATAAACAATATATTGTATTGGTTACATATAATACCAAAATTTTTACCTACATTATAATTGACAGTCTAGACCTATAAGGCTTCCCAATTTTAAAAGGGTAATATTACACATATTATGTTAGTAGAAATTAAATATTTTATATCGAGAAGAGCAAAACCAACATCTGCTTTAAATTCACAATAAACACGGATTTTCATTAGAATGACGACTTTTTCAAAGATTTTGCAGCTTTAACTACCTTAAAGGATTATAAATTAGCCGAAAGATCCTCATTTTTACGAAACGTTCATGCTTTTACACAATCCTAAGACCGTATCAGACAGGAAATGCATGCTCTGTTAGAAAAATGTTAACAGAGCACGAAGAATCTTGACTTGAACCATAAAAATTAGCGAAATCACGAGAAGTAGTACCGTTTTTTAAAACAAAGCTCCTCCACCATTTTTCATACCGGGCATTCATTATTTGTCGATATGAGCCTATAGGGTAAACCACATAGTTATTGGTTTTTTTCTTATAAATATATAAAAAGAATAGTTTGTTTGTTTAAACTTTATTTACGTTTACTTAAAAATAAGAATATTTGAATTTTTATTATAGTCTTATAAAAACATTCAAAAAAGTATAGTAATTGGACACATGGACCATAGTTATTGGACATACAATTTTTATATAAACATAACAACTTTACATCAAATAACATAAATTTTTAAATAATTTTTAAAGATAAATTGCTGTTTTATTTAATTTTTTTATTTCGTTTTTGTAAATATCATATAATTCATATATTCCTTTCTCGGATTCCTCACCCCCAGTGCCGGTTTAACAGGGGTTTTTTGGGGACTATAGCACCGGGCGGTAAATATTTTTAGGGCGGTATCGCGTACCGCACATAATTTAAAAAAAAAATACTTATAGAAGAAAAAACTTATAGAAAAAAAATTATTGCGACACTGCGTCGGCGGATACAACGGATACAAATGAGAAAAATGTTGTTAGAGTTAAAGCAGCTTCTCCATCAGAAAAACTTGATTTATTGGAAACGGAATAATTTGAACTTTTTGGATAGACGTTTTGCAAAGGGTTAATGAAACCAATAAAGCAGTCCAAAAACAAAATATGGATTTAAGCACAAATGCTCATCTTTTGTCATTTTTAGTTGAGAACTTTGATTTTTTACGTGATATCATTTTGATCATTACGAGGAAATTAACAGGAAACAAAATTATGCTCAGAAGCGGATAATCATAAGAAAATTACAATTTGAAGAAAATAATTCAGAGGCAAGTTTAAGCCAAAAAAAAAACAATGCGAACAATATGTTTTATTTTAATAATTGACAATCTATAATCCAAAATCATTTGTCGATACGATAGCTAGAAATCTGGCACAAACAAATTTGAATTTTTGTTTAATCTAAAAGCATAAATCTTCGTGGAGGATTTGGATGAGTTTTTTCCTCAAAAATGTGTCCAACTCAAGAAACTGATAACTTCCCTTTCGGAAATAAAAATAGAAACTCCATTGGAATTAGTATAAGTTTTATACGAAAATAAATTAATATCTTCATTTCCGAATATTAATAATTGTCTGCGAATTTTTTTTTATAATGGTTTCAAATGCAAGTGGTGAACGATCTTTTTCTGCTCTAAAAAGGGTAAAGAACTACCTATGAAATACAATTCCCCAAG